AATAAAAAAAATATGATTTATAATAAGTTTTTTACATCTTTTTGGAAAGTAACAAACCAAAGCATTATACTTTTAATTAGAACCATAAAAGTTCTAACGAGTTTAATGTTAGTTATAAACAACATTAAAAACCTTTTAACTTATGATCTTTATTTTATGGAAGATTGCATTTTAAACGAGAAAGTATGTAGATATTTCTCAGATTATTGTCCTGCTTTGCTAATTTTATTCCAAGTGTATTGTGCGTGTCGGTCTGGGCTTTTGCGAAATAGTTTAACATTCTGGGGATTTTCTGGGTATTTTCGGAACCGATGGGCCAGCATCTCCACCTCCAGCTCCATCTCCATCTCCGTATGGCTTGTTGGCGACGTTTCATTAAGCGAGCGGAAAATGACGCATGCTTGGCTCATTCGGGCACGCTCCGCTTCACAGGACATTTGCGGTTATCCTTTATTGTCTGAGTGGCAGCGTGGCAATCTGGCAATGTGGCAATGGGACCTCGGCGATGGAGATGCGCCACTCATCCAACCCAGTTTCCGTTTCAAAGCAAACATTCTCATCCGAACCAATCCTACAGCTCTCAATGCAGAACAAAGCGAGGAAAAGTGCTTGAAGTCCATTTGCTAAATAAATTTGATAAACAAGAAGCGCCCCTCGGCGAATACAGAACTACACTTGGATAAATCCTAACTAACTAATTATAATATTCTATATACTTTCTGCTTTATATTTTGTTCTAATTAAAAAGCATTTTCCAAAAAATAGCATTCCAATTGTGGCGGACTTTTTAAACATATTTTAAAAGTATTTTACAGCCAACTAATCACTTTCTGAGAATAAAAAGACTTTACATTCGTAATCATAAATATTGAATCAATTTTATTATTGCATTACAAAATAACCTTTTGAGTTTTTTAATAAACAAATAAAAAGATATTAATTGATTCTAGGTTTTTCAAAGAGAAACTATTTATTGCTCTCGAAAATACCAAGTGTTCTTAGAGGCAAGTTTTAAATTGGTTTTGACAAATTGTGTTCTGATTTGATTCGTTTTTCCGAGTGGTGACCTGATAACGCTCCCTGAAAAGCGCCTGCCCTGTGTCTCTCCACTCTGCTCTCCTCCACTGACCCCAATTGGCAACAAAGTGGGTGTCGCAGTTCCTCGGGCTGTGACGGAACTTGAACATTCAATCTGCTGAAAACACGGCAGCAGTAAAAAAAAAAAATAAAGCAACGACATGCTCGACGGGCAGACATTTCAGACTTTGCATCCGCCTTTGCAGTCGCCGGGGAATATTAAATTCTTGATGCTATTACCCGCTTGTTGATCCACATCATGCTAATTAGCCTTAACTTTTTGACGTCGCAGTTGTCGGGGTTAAAGATAATGGCCAGCCACCACAGCCCCAACCCCGTCGGACATTATCGGGTTTCGGGTTTTTGTGAATGCTAATTGAGGGGTGAACGTAATTTATACGCTATTTCAAAAATGAAATATCGAACGACGTCAGCACGGAATTCGACCAAGGAGGGCATTCCACATGTCTGCCATGACAGCTTTAATTCCCTCTTTAACTTCTACTTTTCAACTTTCGCAAGGAAAAAAACTTTTTTCTGGAAGTTTCTTTGATGATTTCTCAATTCGATAAATTAGGTAAACCAATTTTTCGAAAACTTTTAAAGATTTTTCACAAGTTTTGCTGAAGTCTAGTTATTGTATTAAAAGAATACATAGAAAACAAACCAAAGTTTGTGAGTTTTTTGTCACATTTAATTAAAATATTTTTTGAAGTTATTATTTTTAATACTGAAACATATTCGCTGGAAATTTAATGATTTAAACCAAAAAAAAAAAGGTAGACAATTCCAGACTAGTTTTCTGCTCTCAATTCGATTTCATGGAGACTGAATTGCTGTGAAGCTTAAATAATACTGTTTCGCAATTTATAAAATTTAATTAATTTTCCGGATCTGTCCAGTCATGGACAGAAGTCGCCCGACCGAACCGAGCGAGCGGCTCCTGCCAAAATCCACAAATCGCCGCCAACTATGCACCATCGGCAGACGACACCGCACAATCAGTGACCATTGTCCGTCCTGGGGGCCACTCCCCTCTCACCTGGCGGGAGTCCTCCGAAGGAAGGGAACAGTGAGCCTGCACCGGCGGCCGCCGCGCCCAGGACACAAATCAAATTAAGAGCCGACCGACCGGACCACACCGAAAAAACATCACTAACTGAGAGAAAATGTGTCCTTATTTGTTTGAAACTCAACTGAAGAAGGCATTTTAAATAGAAGAATTATTTCAGAAATTTTAATATATGTAATAAATGTTTAGTTAACCAAATTAAATCTAAGCTGAAGTCCGGTCTATGTTTACTTCTAATATGAAGTATTTTTGTATTTTGATAAAAGCGTTTGACATCCTTTTGATCGCTATAATTAAAACCATACTTTTTGGGGATTAAATTAAGATGCTCTTCAATTACAAAATATTTATTGCATTTAAAGTTTAAAACGACTAATTTATTCATTTCAGTATGAAAATAATTCGTTTAGAAATTTGTTAGATATTTTTTATATCTGAATTAATAACGCATTAAGTAGGATTTCTTTTTATATTTCCATTTTGAACACATAAACTGTTATAAATGTTTTTCTGAGTGTAGTTATGGCTTCGAATTCTATATCAATTTAGCTATGTGCTCTCAACCAACAGATAGTTTATTTTATTTTTTTTTTTTTTGCAGTGTACCAAACCGAATCAAACCAAACCGGATCGGACCGGCAGTAATTACGGAAGAGTGGCGGTGGGCGGTGGGTGGCAAAGGGATGGCAAGTGGCTGGCGATTGGATGGCGATTGGGTGGGTGGGTTGAGTGAGTGGCGATGGACACCCCACCAATAGTGCATAAATCACTTCGCATTCAGCGAACACGAAATCTATGCCCCTGACGCGCCCATCGAGGACCGTCTGGTGATTTATATTGATTAAAACTAGATTTCAATTCCAGACGAAGCCGCCATTATAAATGAAAGATAATCGTCGAGTTTTTTCCCCGAATGCGAGGAGCCAAAAACAAATGAATTGTGCAAATGGACTAAATGACTTCCAATAAGCAGTCGTTTATAATTGGATGTGTTCGTACATCAAATTTTTTTCTCGGCACAAAACCTGATTTGCTTCCAATAAAAGTTACATTTGGTTTCATTGATTTTCCTGTTTATTTGCATAATTTTGGGTTTACATGTTCCTAATTTCCCTAATTCGAAAATGTGGTTACCGCATTTATTACCATGTCAATTTAACATTTCCGATTGACGTTTTATTTACAAAATCTGACAACACTTAAGCAGAGTTTGTATGCCACGATAGTTGGTTGGAATATCAAATACTATTAATTGTTGATTTGACTCTTTTTTAGAAGAGTTAATTGGATCCTTTCGGAGGAAGTTATCCTGAAATAAAATGTGGTCGCATTGCCTTTTCGCCGTGTCCTTGTCAGCGGGATAAAAGTGAGCAATCAGAGTCACCGGGAAATTCATCCTGCTGCTTGTTTGTAATTCAACCAGCCAGGAGTTTTCCACTTTCCACTTGTCGTTTTTCCGGTGAAAAGCGTTCGATTATCACCCGTGTTGTCGTTGTTGTTGTTGTTGGCCTGCGGTCTCCGTTCGTTTCTATAATATCCGACTGAGTTCCTGGATCCGACTGCGAGTGGGCTTCGTGCGGTTCGTTTTGTGGATTTGTTTTCGGTTTAATTAATTTTAAAATGGACTTCTACCTTGGCGCTAATTGCACTGACTTTGATTTATGTGTTCAGATAATGACCAAATTGGTTTTCTGGGCAGCCACTTGCCAGCCCACCTGTCGTTGTCTATTCGAGTCCTGCCAAGGATGTGGCAGGATCTGGGCCAGTAGCATTCCAAGGAGATTAATTCAAGAAAATGGCTCTGAAATGGCTTTTGCGCCAGAGAGCAGAAGTGACTTCTTGTTGAAAGCTAACTTAAGTGTTTAATTTCGGTTTTTAAAATCAATAGTGCGAAAACAAGGCTTCAGATTTTTAATGGTTTATGCGTTAATTTAAGGACAAATGATGCCAATTTAAAGGATAATCAGATCACTTAGTTAAGCAATCTTTAAAGGTTGAAAAAGGGAATTCTTTTCCTTCGATAACCAATCTAATGGTTAAGGAAACTACATCCCACACACAGCAATTTATCAAAACAAGTTCAGCTATTTCTCTCAAATTCGATTCGTTTTATTGCCGAAATATATTTTATGCTGCAGTGGAAAAGCAATCCATGTTTTCCCCGTTTCAACTAATTTATTACCTCAAATTTTCTCAGTCGAATTGTGGTGTTCCTCAATTTAAGCTCATAAAATTGCGGCATGTTAAACTTAAGTTCTTTTTAGCCCCGCACGTAGAAAACTTCAGGTACCACGTACGTGGATATTGAATGTCTTAGCACAAGATAAAAAAGTATAGGATAACAAGACCAAAATAAACGAATGGTGCTGTCTTAAAAATTTACCCATAGCCAGTTAAAGAAAATCCGTGAAAAAAGTGGAGAAAACTTTGGAGCAGTATTTAAGAACACATCAAGAAACTTTACAGAAAAAGAATTTAAAGAAAGCACTTTAAAGTCATGTTGTTCCTAAGAACATTTGTTCTACTTAATTAAAATTAGCTTCTACGAAAAAAAAAATCCTTTTGAATTAAAATTTTTTGCAAAGTCAAAGGTCAAATCTAAAGTGTTCTCATTTTCGCAGAAATGTGGGTGCATTCATTAAAGTTTGGCAAGACCCTGAACTTTAGATATTTATTTTGCTGCCGAAAAGGAAGAGAAAAGCAATAATTTCTTCTAAAGAGGCCGAAAAGAAAATGTTCAAAGGCGTCTGCAGTTTCCGGTGCAAACTTTGCATTGAGTTTTCCCTGTTATCAGAAGAGGATATTTTGGCCTCGTAAATAACCAGAAAATTTGTCAGGGTCTTAAACTTACATTTGAAAACTTGTGTCACTTTAAAGATTCGTAGCAAGGAAGAAACGATTAATTACCTGAAATTAAAAATAATTACGCATTAGTTAGTAACGTTTATTAGATGTAATTTAATGTAGTTTATTGTTTGTTATAATAAATAATAAGGTAAACAGATATTAGTTTAATCCCTTTTTAAGAAATTCTTTTCACTGAATACCCATAATATATAAAAGAGGATCATTTAAAATGCTATAATTTAACAGCTGTCAAAAGAACAACAAAGAGATCCAACATTTCATAAAGTAACATTATCCTAGGGTGGCCCCATAAAGCTATAGGTTTAAGGTGTCACATGTGCGCCAGAATAGCTGGGAATCCTCCCATTCCTATTTACACAAATTCCTGTTATGTTTTGTTTATGAAAAATTCCCGACAAGAACCCAAAAGTATGCGGCAATAATTTTCACATTAAAATTGATTTATGACGCACCATGGCGTACACACACACCGCACACACACCATACTCCAGACTCCTCCACACAACAAAAACGCCGAATATTCAGCAGCCGAAGCATTCGACAAATCTTGGAGCTATTTGTGTTTTTGGCTCCCACATCCACATCCGGCCAACAGGCAGCGGATGACCAAACAAACCGAGGAATGGAATTGGCTTGCAGCCTTAGCGAGGGCTGCCGGCCATAAATCATTTCCCGTGGCCATTTCTTCTTCTGGCAGCGCGAAGGATTCCTTGAGCGAAGGAGCCACTTTCTTCCCACTCCCCACCTGACTTTGCACCTTTTTTTCGGTGCCCGGACGTCACGAGTGCCTAGCACGGACGTCATCTGAGACCTGTCCCCCAGTTTCTGCACTCAGCCAAAAATTAAGTTCCATCTTCCTTTGATATTTCCTTTCCAGATGCCACGAAGGCAACAACAACATCAGTAAAAAATAAATACTATGAAAACTAAGCGTTAAAACTTTAGTTTTGGAACTTAAACCTTTTTTAGAACAGGTAAAAACATAATATTTATTACGTTCAGAGAATGAAAACAAATTTATACACACACTAAAATCAATTTTAATAATCTCTTATCTCTATCGAAACAATTTTGTACGTTAATCGTTAATTTATAGAATAGAGGGATACATTTTCTAAGCTCTTAATCAAAGTATTTGAAATACTGTATAATATTGAATTGAAATACTGTATAAAAAACAAGTATACATTTTGAGTTAAATGATTTAATGTGATGTTAGGTAATGTGATTTTTTTCTTTATTGGAAGACGTTTCATTTCGTGTCCCCTGACACGGCAACAAAACTTCGTTTTTCCTTGTGCACGGCAGTCCAGCACGATTCTTGCATTCTTGCTCATAAACGAAATTTATTAGCATTTAAATGTTTCAACGGAGAACGGGGAACGGCACATATGGGCTGCCTAGGTAATGAATATTACAGCAGGAGGAGCCGAAGGAGCAGGAGGAGCAGCATCGATGCCGTGGGCCGGACCAAAAAGTATGTTGCATAAGCCAAAATTAGTTTATGCATATTTGAAGGCTCCGAAGAGGGCCGAAAAAAGTGAAAGGAAGGAGGAGCACAGGATGCCATGCCGCCCACTCGCTTTTGTGTTTCCAATAAAGAAAACTCTCCGCCATGATTACATTTATCTAGTACTTTTTATGCCTGAAAGTATGTTAAGCATTACAAATTTACAAATCTCTGTCGCAGTGAAATAAACGCCGAGAGCAATTCCTTGTGGAACGAACATTAATCCACAGGCTTGTTGGAGATATCATGGAAGGGAAAATTTAATACCTTGCAAGGAGAGGATGAATTTAAGACTTTAAATTTAGATAAGTAGACAAGCCCTGAAATTTGGGCAACGAGACTAAAACCAAGATTTAAAGGACTTTTATTAAATATTAAAACACAAACTCAGTCTTGTTTTGTTAACTATTAAATATTTTTTAAATATTTTTAAATATTTTCCTCTCAAACAAAACATATTATTATCATGCTCGAATCGGTTTCATTACCATATGCTTATAAATAGCACGCTTATTAAATGGTTCTACTGTTTTAATGCAAACGAGTCAACGAGAGTGTAACATTCATTAATAATGAAAGCCATTGAAATAAATGATTTCATTGAATTTTTATGGCCATATTTCCACCGCCACTTCTCTTTCGGTAATAAAAAAGAACGCAGGACATTCTGTGGAAAGATAACGCATTTCCATGTCGAAATGTAAACAACCAAATGCGTTGTTTCTTTAAAAGTTATTTTGTTGTAGCTTCATAGATTCTTTAAAATGTGCGCCCTTTTCTATCTATCTAATGACCTTTTAAAGTCATCAAAGCAAACGTCGGAATCAAGGACAAAAGTCGACTGGCTTCAAACAAGGATAAGTGACACATCTACCACTGATATCTTACAGTGCGATCCGAATTTATAAAACTAATATTTTTGTTGTTATCGTGAATTGTAAAATGGTAAATTTGTTTTTTAAGTTTTTGTGAATTGATAGAAAATAAATTATAAAATTTAAACTTTATGCAACCCCTTAATTATACTAACCTAAAAAACACAATTTAAATGGAGATAAATTCTCGAATTTATTTGGAAGTAACGCTTTTAGCTTAGCATCCCATTTTAAAAATGCTGCTTTAGGTTTTTGGAATTTGTCATCCACTTTTGTTTGCAAATTTCGTGGTCACCAGAGTCACTCAGTTGCGAAACGCACTGTAGGCAAAATCGGTCTGGTAACGAATCCGATGTTTGCAAACAAACAATCATGGGGACGAGCTCTTGTTTACCGTGGATGCACCCAGCAAGGCGGGTATACATATTTCAATTGATTTGTTATTGAACGAGGAGGCTTTACTTTATTTTCAGTCATGTAACTCTTGCTCTCTTGTTTACACTGTTTTAGTTTATTTTTTTCTCGTTTTTTTTCCGTCCGAGTTACGGCACCAAAAAACCAACGGATCAAAAGCGTTCTAAATCGCGTTGACAGCGCGGCAAAAATCGCGTACGCCAGCGAACTGATGTCAAAGGTCGGCGGTCGGCGTTCCGCTTTCGATTCATCCGCACTGTGGGACTGCTGCCGACGAACTGAGGCGACTGCGACGCCATCCGCTCGTTTAAAGGACCCCGAAGGCAGCGGAGAAGCCTGGCAAAACACACTCGCCTGATAAGGATAACGACGGGCACGAAGACGGGCTTCGGCAATCGGTCTGGTTAAACAAGACGCCCATACACCCAGTCCACTCACGGGTCTATGACTGTAATGGCACACATATGCTTAAAAAACTAGAATTTTCTATAATTTTTTTTTTTTTTTTGAATTTCCGAAAAAACGTTTTAATTTTCTTTTACTATAATGGAGGATTAAAAACAAGGTATATGAATATTTTTCTGCATTAATAAATTTTTATTGTATATCAACTCATTGAGAACTACAATTTGAAACCCCATACATGTTTAATCACTAATATCTCCTCATTTATTACTTTTCTACCCCCTGATATTATTTTTTTGACCCGTGCTGTATGCTTGTATGCCTATAACTCTATAAATATGAGTGCAAGCGTTCAGCAAATGTCATAAAATTCTAGCCAAACACATTTTGGTCAATTTAAAAGTCGAACGTAAATAAAGGGGTTGACGATTTTCCTTGTTTAACAACACATATAAATTAATTGAAAGTCGCTAAATAACTCATAAATCTTTTCAACTTTTTGGTGGTGTAACATATTAGTTTACCGCAATTTCTAGAGTGGCGAAAACTTTTCATTTACGACTGTGTGAGTTTTGAACTCGACTGATAAGCATCCCACTCTCTATTTTTACTCTCGTGCGAGCTTTGTGCGCACGCTCAAAAGCGCAAAGGTAAACAAACGGAACTTTCATTCATAAATAGCAACAACGCAGCCGGCGGAAGAAGAAGAGGCGAAATCAAATGGTAATCAAAACAAAATCGAAAAGCTCATCCGCCATGTGTTTCATTTGATATTTTCTGAGTCACTTTGTGACTGTCTGCCAATTAATTTCAATCCGCCCACGGAGAGCGGCTTGAAATCTCATTACCAAATCGCTGTCACACCTCATTGACGCCGGGTAGTCCAAAAATGGCAGGTAAGTGCTCCCGAAAAGGTGTGCGAATAATCATACCTAACTTACAGCTGTTTTGTAAAATACTCTCGCTTGAGATACAATTTACATAGCTGGAATGTAATGCTCTGTAATGTTAAGCGGCGCTTGCATAGGCTGATAGCTACAACACCCACTAGAACGCACGCTTCAGTTGCAGTGGTGTCAAAGTAGCTACTTTAAAACTAAATGGGGAAAAGTATTTATAAAGATTTATATACAAAATACAAGTAATAAGTGCAAGTTATTACATGTTTTTATAATATGTCTTATATTATTTAGATATTAAATAATCTCAATATAAATTGAAGGCTTTTAAACATTTTATCTTATCACTTTCCATGGTGGTCACCACTGTTTAGTTGGCGCCTTATGGCAAACAAATGCTGTTTGTTATAAAATGAGTTCTCTTTCCCCATAAGTGAATGAAGAGAGAGTGGGCTCCAAATAAGAACCGCATTTGTATTGGTGGCAGTTGCATGCCGGTTTTTGTTGTTCCGACGCTTTGCCTCTGCCGCTGTTTTTTACTTTCTGCTTCTGCTCTCCGCCAAATGATTCATCGACCACAAAAACACAGAGGAGACAAAAATTCCAAAATTAAAGACTCTTTCTGGGACTCCATGGGGATACGATACATGGGGAAGAATCGGGGGGAATTCTTCGGGAAGAAACCTAAAGAAAGAACATTGCAACTCTGCCCTGTGGCCTTGATTTGGAAAGAAATTCCTGCACTTATTCAGGCACAAGACAATTTGCATTTAAAATGTAATGCCGGGCTATATCTGGATTATAAAGTCAGCTTGTACATATGTATATACTCTTTTCAACCTTTTATTTATTCTTCAGTGCAAACATTATTTTAACAATGTTTTGCTTTCGATTTTATGGACCATAATCGATTTCGATGTTTAACATTAGTCTTCAGCTAAATTAATCTCAATAAACACATTCAACGCTATAAAACCTCAAAGAAAACTTGATTATCTTACTTAATTCGCAAATGCGGAACTAAGAAAAACTACCTTGAAATAAAAGTTTATAATATTCTGTGGAAAACATTTTTATTTTGCACTGCCTTCAGAATTTTATGCGTTTTAAAAACATAAACATTTAAAAGATTAAAAAAAACCTTAGTTTGCAAAATATAAACTACTGGAATAAACATTTGTCCAAGCTATCTAATAAATAGGTATATATACATATATATTATATTTTATATTTTTGTTTTCGAAGGAACTTGAATTTCTTAGTTTTCCGGTTACTCAACATCCGAATGAAACCCAATAGTACCTCGCACTGAGTAAATTATACTCGTTTATATATAGTACTCATGAATCTGTGTGTATACTTGCTACTCAATGGCAGGTCATAAAAAAACCTCTTGATGAGGTGTGATGTCATGTTCGTTTCATGTTCTGAACTTATGATTTATACATGTAATTTTAATGGTGCTTATAAATATAAAAAAAACGAGCACGAGCTGCAAAATGTGAAATAAAATTCCCACGTTCTCTATTACAAAATTTATGCATATTTTCCATACAATTGTAATGATAATCCTTTATTGTTCTAGACTTAATTAAGTGGTTTTTATCAGATACATTTTAATATTTTTTATATATCAAGTAAATTCCAAAATAATTAAATCATTGGATTAAGACTAAAATGAGTATAAGCGAATTCATCCAAAAATGAATGAATACACATTTGTACAACTAAACACATTCATTTTTTGAATATTTTTTTGGAGGAATGAATCACTGAGAGCATCCATTCATCCCCATAAATCATCAAACCAAACCAAACTTTTACCGACTTTTCTATTTTATAAGTAGCTATAAACAAGGAGTCTCCAATCGAACCGCAGAAGAGACTTTACTCTCGGCAATTTTCGCTATCATTTTGCATTGCGGTCTTCCAATTGATTCGAGATCTCGAACATGCCATGATTACTGTGCTAGGGTTGAGTTAATTGAAATGCAGATTAGTTCGAGTGACTTTGTGTGGGTCTTTTCAATCAGCAGCGAGAATTAATGTAATCAAACTGGGCTATCGATCATCGGAATAGAGGCAAGGTCAGTGGATTTTCAAGGTTTTTCGGTGTTCGGTGTTCCGGGGATGCATTACGGGAATCCTTATCTAGGGGAATGCCAATGCCCAAATGGCTCACCCAAAAGTATTTCAAAAATCCATCGATGACGCAAGCATAGCTGCTTCCGGTAGAAACTCAGATCCCCGGCTTTGTTTTCCACTTTTGTGGCTTTGTGGCCGCCATGAATAATGTTTAATAATGCTGCTGCTGGAAATCGGAGCACCTGATATCGGCGATGTAAGGCGACGAACGCGATAATGCCGAGCGATAAGCGATAAGATACGCGGGTGTGGTTGGCGCATGCGCATCTAGGTATTTTTGTTGTTTATCTTTCTGTTTTTTTTTCCAATTGGGAACCGCACCACAACAAATTAGTAACCCATTTCGTATGGCACCTGTTATCGTATAGTCGTCGGTTTGCTTATCTTATCGCTGACCGTGTATGCTCAGATTGCAAAAGCTACAAATTCTTGGCGACAATATGAACTACAGGTTGCCTGCCTTTCAGTTTAACTTTCAGTTTAGTCGACGAACGACAACGATACGAACACGAATCACTTTTGTTGTGATTTCCGCGTGAAAACTACAGAAAAGATTGTGGGTGCCTCATTGATTAAAACCATCTAGAAAGTGTGCTGTAAACTAAGCTTTCCCTAACAAATTACAGCCAAACGAATACGAAGTCAGCATCTCGCAGTGCAAAATGGTTTCCGTGGAGACAGTTGGTTCTATTTTCATCAAGGCCCTTAAGTTGGTGAGTTTCGGTTACTTTTTCGTTCGAAATTGAGCAATAGCCGTGGTGTAGTCGCAATAACTTGTTTGATAAGCCAAGCGTTTTATCAGTCCGCGCGTATTAGCAATGTTACTCATACGCAGCGTTGTACCGCGAGGCGTGGCTGGAATGTGATTCATTCGAATGTGACCTCATTGCTCTCCTGCCTCTCCTGCTTTCCTTGCAGATCATCAACCTGGTGATCATCTTCCTGTACCGTTGGGGCGATGGCGGCGAATTTCTGGGCATTGGCGGCACTTGGAATCTGAACGAGGAGAAGAGCGCCGATGCGGAAATCGTGGCCTCGGGTGTCATGGTTGGATTTTTGATTTACACTGGCTGCCATACGATTGCCTTTGCCTTTGGCACCACCAAACATAAGGGGTAAGTTGATGGAACAAGGGGAAATCAGCAAAATATTGAGTCGCAAGTCCAAGGTTTTAAAACTTGAATGATGTTTACTTCTTAATAATAAATCTATAACAATTTGTGATAAGTAAAGGGGTTTAAAGAATTCAAACAAATTTATATATACAAAAGTTGTAATTTAAAAACCCTTTTAATGGGAGAACTACATATCATTTAATGTTTGTACTTTGACCTGCAACTTGTCTGATTTTTCTTGTACCTCCTAAGATCCTTTAAAAGAATCGTATTATATCATTACTATATCTTTCAGAGAACTGTGCGACACCATCATGAACGTGGTTGGCTGCATCATGTGGATCGCCGTGGGAGGAGTGGCCCTGCACTACTGGAAGGGTTACATGTCCGACGAGGGATTCCTGTACGTGAACTCGGAACGACAAGTGGGCATTGCCATGGGTTCGCTGTGCGTCATCGAGGGCGCACTGTACCTGCTCGACACTGTGTTGGCCTGCATTCACTATTCAAAGGGCGACACCGACTACACGCAGTAAATTCGCAGCCACGGGGAATCGCAATCGCAATCGCAACCGCCGAATAACCACATCCACATTTGTCTTTATACTTAGATCGCTTTAAGTGCAAATTAGTTTGTATCCGCAATTAAACTACGTTCGTAAGGGTCCCTTGTCGCCAAACTAAACATCAAACACCAATTGTTTTAACTTTTACAAACCATATTAACCATCCAATTTTGGCAAATACAAATAGTTAAGACCACGCCACGGATTCAAGTCTTTATCCGATCGGAAAATACAGATGGGATTTAGTGGTAAGTTGGTTTAATTTAATGATTGTTAGGGAATAATATCCGAAGCTCTTTCAATCGAATTTTTGATTCGAAATAAAAAATTTTGTATCTTTATGTAACACAAATTTTTTAAGCACGAGTAGAAAACTTTGTTGTTATCAAATATGTATTTCGCTTTCTAAAGTAGAATAGTATTCCAAATTGGCTTTCAAGAACAACCTTGACAAGTTATATAAAAGTTGCACTTCCCAAGAATGAATTTTCCATTTAAAGAAGTGGATTGCAACACAAACACACTTTTAAAAGAACTTGTGCATGCACTTTCAATTCTGTGCAGAGAACCTACGTAGAATTGTAAATATTGCACTCAGTTCTTCGATAAGAAGCAAAAGCTCGTGAGTTGTTTAACCAAATCGATGACGCTTTAGTACGAAGCCCTTTTCGTTCCATGGGAACTTCCGGAGTAAAATGAGTGTACTATATATTGTACTCATATTGATCATTCCGGGTAAAGCTCCACTTTTATAGATAATGCACAGCCAGAAGTCATAAAATGATGTGTCATATGAACTACGTAAGAGTTTTTGGACAGTGCAGTTATGAGTGCTTCAATAAATGATTAAGTTCTGAATTTCAGGTTCCGTTTTACAGGGGTTAGTCACTTTTTTAAAACTTAAAAAATTAAGGGAATCATAATAGAGATTTTGAGAATCCTTTTTTAAAAAGGAATATAAATCATTTCTAATTAAATTTCTAGTAATTAAGGGTATGGGTACTATTCCGTCCTATTAAGTTTTCATAACAAACAATATCTGTAGGTAAGCTCACCTGTTTGATTGGATTCCCTCGCCCGTCCACGGCGTCCCGTTCCCGCTGTCGCATACTTCCGCTCCTGAAAACCCTCTTCGAGCACAAGGCACACCGCCTGGCCACCGATCCGTCCTCCAGATTGAGGGCATCGAACAGGACCGCCTGATCCTGGATGAACGAGTTGCGCGATCGCAGATTCAACAACTCCAAAGTACGCGAGTCCAAACTCTCCCGATAGACATTGTGCACCCGATCCAGATTGTGCTCGTAGTCGGTGTCCAGGTTGTAGGCACTGTTCAGGCTGGCCATGCTGCTCCTGCTCCTGCTGACCTCCAGCGAGTTCTTGCTCCGCTTGCGCCGCATCACCACCGTCCTGACCGACTCATCCAGGGATGAGCCCAGGTGGACGGGCGTGCGAGGAGCATCCGCACCACCCATTGGCGAGGGTGAATGCGAGTGGGAATGGGAGTGGGTCAAGGCCGACGGTGGCAGTGGCAACTGGGTGGCAGTGGGAGGTGGTTGCTCCGCCAAACTCATCAGCGATTGCTGCCGCTCCAGCTGCTTCTCGTAGCCATTGAACTTGTCGTAGTCGATGAAGGACATGTTGGCATAGCTCACCATATTGTCGATCGCCTGCAGCGACTGCAGCGAGGCGCTCCACTTGGGGTTCATCTTCTCCTTCTTCTCGGCTCCCCCACTGCTGCTCTTCAATCCCGAAAAGGTGCTCTTGAAGGAGGCAATCAGCGTATTGGATCTCCGCTTCTGGAAGTTCAACTGGGGATTCGTGGGTTCCGTTTGGTTCAGCGACATCAGCGATCCCTTCCGTTGAACCTGCGACTGGGTCTCCTCCAAGGGAGTCGAGGTGAAGGGCTGGGCGGATTGGCGTCGCTTTGGAGTTCTCACCGAACTTGTGAGTTCACTTCTTCTCAGTAAAACTGGAGAACCAACTTCGAAATCAGCCACTGAAGTTTTTCGCGGTGAAGCTGGCGAAGTGAGATCCCCGGATTTCTCCGTCTCCTCGGATAGCTGCTCCAACTGAGGTTCTATAAAGCTCCGGCGATTCGGTCGCCTCATCTGGATCATGGAGCGACTCCGGGTGAAAGTGAATGGTATCCGGTCGCTGTCTTCGTCGGTTCTGGATAGGTTCTCCTTGCTGCCCGTCAGATGGTTTATCAACTTGGAGAGCTTGTTGCGTATCGAGAAGCTATTGGATCGCTCCATTTTGGGCACGTTCTCGTATCCTGGTAAGGTGTTGGCTCCCATTATTAAGGTCGCCTGGTTCCTCTTCTCCGCCTCGTAGTGCTCCTTGATTTTTTGTGCCGTGTTTATTGGCAGAGTGCTACTTTTGCTATTATTATTTGGAACTATATTGCTATTGTTGTTATTGTTGTTGTTGTTGTTGATATTGGTTTGGTTATTGTTGTTATTTGGCTGGTTGCTCTTGGCACTCGCTGGCGACTTGACTTTATTTCCATTCGCCAATGGTGGCTGCTGTTGCTTTTGCTGCTGCTGCTGTTGCTGCTTTTTGCTGTTAACCTTTTGCGTCTTTTTCTGCGCCTTGGCTGCGCTCTTTGTCTCCTTAACGGAATACATTCCGAAGCCAGCGGACTTCAAACCCCTGCAAAATAGAAGGAGCGTGTTAATAAACTGATTAAAAGTCGGGTAATTCGCACGGTCAGCACTTATTGCCGTTCGGCTTTCATATCAGCAATACTTCGGCGATTTTCGACTGGCAATATCAATTAACTAATGAGTGAATACGAAACGTGTGTTTATGTGTTGAGGGAACTCAGAATAAAATAAACATGGCTATTACTTTTAAGCAGTTCATTGTTCCAAGGGGATTCACTAAGGTTTTCTATATGTTGGGATTTACCCAATATCTGAAAACTTGCAATATATTTATAATTTAAAAAAATCTAATTATATTTTTACTTAAACTTAAATATAAAATGAAATTTTGGTTCGCTTTCATTTTTGTTCCTTGGAAGCTAAAATAAAACTGTCATAATCTACACATTATCTCTGCCATTATCTTCATTTTCACACTTGTATTTCTGAAGAGTTGAAAGATGAGAACACCAAACTAATGTTGTGAGATTTTATCTTTCGAGTGCTTATGTTACAATTTGTTGTCGTTTTTAAGAGTCTCATTTACTAGAAACGAGTGACAATTTATGAAGGCTCGAGGTTAAATATTCTCTTGATGTTTAACACTAAATTTAGTCATACTATAACGAGTTTTTTATAAAGTATTTAAAAAGTATATTTCAGTTGGTTGAATCCAGAGAAACACATTCTTTAGAAACCTTTTAAATTTTATTATCGTTGAGATCGTTTAACTATTCTCAGAGTAAATAATTTTTTAATTTCCTTCTGTCTGGCGGCTCTTAAAACTGAGAGTATGCGAGTTGTGTGCGATCAATCGAATCGGACATTTTCACCATTTAAAGTGACAGTGACCTCAGCAGTATCTCAAAACGGGGGAGTAGTGCTAAGCGAAAACGCTGGGCAAGTGCAATCTGTCAATTTATCATCGCCAAAGGACGACAGCCACTCGTTACATTGATAAACGCGACCCACTACAGCAAAAAAAAAAAAAAAAAAAAAAAAAAAGAAAGAGAAATACTCGCATATATCACTCGTTTGTATGGGTTAGTATCTACGAGTGTTGGGGGAGCCATTATCTCGTGTACAGTGGATACCGCACAAGCGAAACTTTCACTCAAGTTGTACTACTCGATGTTGCCTCGCTCTCAATACGAATCAATATGCATTTAATCTACACTCAGATACAAGATGAAAATTTCTAACTATAAACTTAAACTAACTAAAAATTGTTTAAATATTTTAAAAAGGTATTAGTGTCGATAATTTTAAGACCTTAAAAAACCGTTAAGATTTAATAAAACTTGTTCTTATCCAACACTAGAAAAATTATTGTTTATGTTATCTGATAACACTTATTTTCTGAAGTTCTTAAAGTTTAGTTGTTAACTTAATTGTTTTGGGTTTATTTTGAAAATCTTTGCTTAAAAACTTTAAAAGATTCTTTCAAACACTTCACCCTGTTTAAAAATAAAATCTAATTCCTTCTTTATCTATGCTTCTTTTCCAAGCTTTTTCTCTAAGTGCTTTCTTGCTGTGCATAAACTGGTAGATACGTGGCCCATATAACCAAAGATACAGAGGCAACACTTGGAGATACTTGCAGCGGTCGTCATCAGAAGTCCATCTCCTCCATTCGACACAATTCCAATTTACGATTGACACTCGAACGACTGACATATGTGGACGGGATGAGCTAGTGCTCCCGGAGAACTGAACCGGGCCAGAAAAGAGGGACACAGGCAGTGGAATTGCCTAAATGTTATCGCCAGCAATTTTTATTTCCAGCAAAGCTCAAAAACAACAGTCGACAGCCATCGCGCTGTGATAAGATTTCGAACCCCCTAAAAAAAAAAAAAAAAAGAGACCCAGACAAGCGCACTTGTCTGAGTTCCCGTCGGTTGGTTTGTGCGATTTTGGTTGGGCTTTGGGCCAATTGTTTTGGTTCCGTTTCCAACGGGCTTGTTTATACAAAAGATTGCATTGCACAGCGCAATCTTTTCGCTCGATGAAATGGAGTGGTGCCTCTGATTTGGCAGTGATAATAAGTATTTATAGAAGAAATATCACAGAAGAAATTTTCACTGGTATTACACCATTGTCCGCCTTTAAATCAATGTCTTTACGATCCTCCAATTATGACGCTATCACTTTACAGATTCTTGGTGACATTTGTATTGCTTTGGGAGTACCAAAACTAAAGATCTTATCAATCCTTTAAAATTTATTCACTTGTACCCTTGTCTTTATCAATGTCATTGCCACTTCAGTAGAACTTCCCGAAAGCAAACAGAATTGTATTATGATTCATTACTGGTTCGTTTCTACACACATTTCTAGTAGCCGAGGCCAATTATTTTTTAGCTGAGAACTCAATTGAGAAACATGCTGGAGCTGTTCGCAAGATATTGCGACTTTAAGATACCCAAACCGTTTTCTATTTTTGTATACATTGAGCCAAAGTTAATTATATCTCGAGAAGGTTCAAAGCACAATAAACAAAAATCTCAAATAATGAGCGAGTGAGTTTGCATTGCTATCAACACCAAAAAAATAAAAGGAATCAATCAATTGATATTCTCGTGTTTTCAATCCCCGATTTTATCGGAAGATAATGGCTTACGTCGCAATTTCATTTAACTGTTGAGAAGTTAAGTTAATATTATTCAGTATTTATTTCCGATTTACCTACTTTATGCCCAAGTAAACATTTTCATATTTAGTTATTAAAGCTGCTTAAATAAACGTGACCGTTTGTCATAGTTTCTGGGCTTTTTTAAAAACGTACGAATGATTTTTTACATACGTTAATAATATTTTAGTGCAAAGTGCAAGCAACCATGATAATGAGGTGGTCGTGTCATTGAGACCCCTTTATTCCTAACACTGAATAGCTCGCCGGCTTTAAATGGGTTGTTTTAAATTGTGTTGACCATTGTAACTTAACATTCATGGCGAAACGTGAATTGAATGGCTTATGGAGCCGACTTCGAAGATATATTGTGCAAACTCTGGTAAACAAAAAACAAAAGTGCCTGAAATATTTGTTCTGTATAGGGTCTGCTCAGTTAAGTACCACCAATAAGTCTGTATCCAATGCTACACCGAAAACAAAAAACAATGGAAGACATCAACAGTTTCGTTTTGTTAAACAATTACCCCACAAAAAACAAGTTCTCTGTTTTCTGGATTTTAATTAAAGACCCTAATTAAGCAATTATGTTTTAAATACATATGTATCCTCATAATTAGTTATTGTAAATAAATAAATGCGTATTTTTTTCGGTGCAGGATTTAAACAACCACACATTCGAATGATCGTAACCGCATGAGAAGCCATGATCAGAATATCAATAACGATTGGTCCCCTCAAACAAACGCCTGTCTCCATGAAGATTTGAGTCCCTTGCGAGCTTCAATTAGCCGCCAGTGTTGTGGTTAATTTTAGACCAGTCTTCACTGTCCTGTCAAGCGATCTTTTTGCAATTATTTCGTAGTGAACTGCCCTTGCACTTGCTCTACGCTTCGATACGGATATCGATTTCGGTTGCGTTTGATTATTTGATCGCTATGCTCCGCTGGCGATTTCGAATTTCATTGTGCGTAGAGCACTAACCAGATTTGATGTTATGATTCACTTGGTCTTGAACCGACTTCGATTCGCTTTTGTTTATCTCTCCGATCTCCGATCGAGTATTACGTTACCACTGGCCGTTTGCTTCTGTTCACGCCATCATGAGTGCAGACTTGGCTTTTCCATCGACTGATCAAATTTACCTGTCAAACAATTGATGTGATAGCGAAACTAGAGAGTTGCATCCAGCCTAGTCAGGGAGTTTGGATCGTACTCATTATATTTGCTTTCTTTTAATTAAGAGATATACATAAGTTCCACAGATTTTAATAAAGATTAAATATATTAAATTAAGCCAGAGTATTTACCAAAAACTGCAACACGTGCCAGGTTATAAATATTACTTTTAAATTATAATTACGCCGCCTGAAATTTAATAGTCAACAATGGGTATCGGTTATCATGTTGCTCAAACAAAAAAGTTTAAATATTTTTTGGCTGCCCTTCTGGCGCGATTCTTTTTGTTTATTATGAAATGGACACCCTGATATTTAAGATTCTCTGGGAAGTGCAGGGGTATGTGGTGGTCGAGCTTACTGCTTGCTTTTTTACTGGCCAACTGTGCACTACTGTTTGCGTTAATTTTCCTAGGCCGAAACCAGTTTGCGGCTTTCATTGACAACGCATTGTTGTCCGAGTGCACATACTCATAGAAATGTACAGGTGGACTTGTGTAACTTGAACCATTCAAAATAAAAATATTTAAAATAGTTACATACTTGTTTCCAAAATGTTAGCAATTTTGTAAAGCCTTTTAAACGAATATAATGTCAAGGACATATTAAAAGTTAATGTAAAGTACTTCAACTTACAAAAAAAGTTTTTTCGAAACTTAAAAAAAAGGAGTGTGGAGCATAATGTGATCTTTATAACACACAACTTCTTTAAAAATAATAATAGTTAATATTGTTTTTTTTTTTTTTTGTCCAAAAGTGGTTCAGAAAAAGATGAATTCAAGGTGAGAGATTGTGAAACAGGTAAAAAACTTAAGATCTCGAATACACAGTTTCTAGGCTCATGGAAGTTCGGGTTACCAAGGTTTGACTGTGGCGCTGATTGATGGCTCTGTGCACGGAGTTCCTGTGAGATGTACACCCGATGCACCCCCTTCCATTATGAGATGGGTGTAAACTTCAGGAACTCAAACCGGTTGTGAAACGAATTGAACTGAGATGTTCGAACCGAAAAGCAAATTACTTTGCCTAATGGATGAGTAAGAAAATATTTCTTGCTGCATTGCATTATGTTGCACCATTTGATAAGATATTTGAGATTCGGATAGTGAAAGCTGACATTTTGGAACTACGCCTGTTACATAAATCCACGCGAGGCTTGTTAGCCTTCTCACGTACTCGTTAGATTAGCCGCTTTTGATAACCAGAGATATGGCATCTCCAGCACGTGTATATGCTATAGTATATATTTATCTGCCAGACCTCTACAGTGTGTATTAGGTGCACTAGGTTAGTACAATTTGTATCGCAACACAACTGTGCAGATAAACGAATCGTATAACGAGTTCACTTGATAGATGTAGCACTTCTCATCGCACTGGCAAATTAATAATTCGTAGTTTTACATAAACAAAAAAAAAGAACTGAGCTAGACGTAAAAGTTTTCGTTTTATTTAAATTATCACCGAAATTATATAATTTTACTATTATTCAAATTTATGTTAAAGTAATATAGAATGTTTGTTCTCACCGAAATATTGCACGCAGATAAATAAATAAAATAATAGCCATAATAAATAAAATAGAACCAATTTTTTTTAATAAATAGCACATTTAAATTTCGATCTATTCAAATTTTGTTTAGTAGTTAACTAAACCGAACCGTGCTTTAAACTCATTTCTCGACGATTGAACTATGAAGTTCTTTAAAAATAATTATTGGCGGCCTTTGTAGAAAAAAGGAGTGTATGTGTCGATAACAAAAAAGATTTTAAAATGGGAACACCTAAAACCAAATCTTACCTATTTAATGTGCACAAAAACAAAAACAGGAGGGTCAACGATAAAAATTTTTTCGTAGTTCAGTTCTTTAAAATTGGCATATATAGGCCTTAGTTGTAAGAACCCTTGACAGTTGCATTATTCATCTTCCGGTCTTCAAAGTCGACTAATAATAAACACTTGCTGAGGGTCTAAAACAAAACTGACATAATGCCCAACAAAAATTATCATTCAGACGTGCATTTCCATTTTTAAGTAATGAATCAAAGGGACGTTCAAGTTATGTGTAAAAAAAAACGGCAAAACAAAAATTTAAAAATCGTACTTAAAAAATATTATTTCAATTATTATGTTATAAAGCTCTTAAGGATTAATTATTTAAATTAGATGTTGCTTTTGAAACGAGAAATGTTGTTGAATAATAGAAGTGATCAACTTTGTTACATCTGGATTATATAATTTACTGTATTGATTTACAAATTTGAACGATTAATAGAGTGGGGGTGCTAAATAACTGCAGGGTATTCAGTTTCGGATACTCCCAAGCACTGTTATACAGTGCAGCTGATACTGTGCCAGAATGAGTAGGAAGATAGCGAAGAGTTGGCAAATCGAGTATTTTTTACCCTTCGAGTCTTATCAGCTTTTTAAGTTAGTTTGGTGAGCGAATGTCGCTCGTCGTTGCATGGTACATATATACATATATAATATAATATTTGATGAACTTGCCTGCTTTACTTTCCGTTTGCTGACTTAATTCACTATCGTAGTATCGTTTCTGGTTTTATTTTGTGTGCTAATGTTGTGATGATTTTTCAGCTGATGTCGATTTTCAGGTGTTTATATTTTTCATTAACATTCGCATGGCGACGCGACGCTTGCGCTTTAAAATCGTTAACATATACATATAAACATACAGCCTTGCTCGATTTTTGAAGTTTGAAGCGATCTTTTGGTCACAAAGAAAGTGCACTTCAAATTCTACTTATTCAGCAATCGCCTTTGTTTTTGTTTCTAATACATGTGAAATAATCAAATAAATTTTATATTTTCAGGTACGCACACACACACGCACGCTTCTATATAAGCTGCTCTCTTTTGCTTGCGCAATAAGGGAGAGAGACTCGCACCTTTTGGCGCTCACCAATACACACACACCTCAGTACGCACCGCTCTCTCAGCTTTTTGCACGTTTCTTCCGACTTTTTTTTATATTTAATTTCTATTAAACAACGCCAGCTTTTTGCACTTGAGCACATATGTATATTTTCGCGCGGCACAGCTGTTGACTTTTCAAATGGCGCCTTTCAGGTGGCCGCTGATCCACAAAAATAAAAGACACGCGGAAAGGCGACGCGTGTCTCTGGCCAATAAAAACAACAACTATGTGCTTATGATTTCCATATGTGCGCACTTCCCTCGAAAAAACGGCGACGTCACTCGCGAAAAGCCAAACGGAACGGAATTAATTTAAGTTAAAATATCAAAACAAAACTATTTGCGGAACGACGCGGCAAAAAGAACTCCGCGCGCGGGTGACTAGCTTTCAACTCGAAATTCAAATAAAAAATAAACGGAAAAATCAACTGAGAAACAAACTGATCGCCAAACTGAGTACCACTCTCGTCGGTCGGTCAGTCCGTTAACAATGCTTAAAATAAGTGCGAGTGAGACGAAAAAATTAACCGATCAGCTCAGCGTAAAAGCGAGAGCGCCGTTGGGGAGCCGAAAAGAACCGCGCTCTTTAGCGTGCGTCTGTGTGTGAGTGTTGGGGAGAATGCGGCGGCGCAACATCAGCTGTTAACCACAGGGTATCTTTTGTAGGTTCCAATCTTGATTATTTTTAAAATTAGCAGCACATATATTTTGAGTCAATGAATAATATTTAATTAAATTAAACAATTAACGAAAGGCACACTGCAAAATAAGAAAATTATACTTGAGTTCCACAAAGTTCCAAACTGAAATAATAAATAAACTGTTTAAAGATGTGAAATTAATTCGTGACCGCGATTGTCAGCTTGTCAGCAGGAAGGGCGTGACAACACAGATGCGGACTTGAACTTGAATCTCAATTTGAATTTGCGCCGTTAGCGTCGAACCAAAGAATTAATTTTATGGTGGCAAAAATTAATTATTAAAATAAAGTGTATCTGTTTTACATACACACATAAATTAAAAAGAAAACTGAACTATATTAATAACAATAATTAATCAAAAACAATTTAAAGTGGCTAACATTTGTGTATTATATCTTCGGTTTGTTATCTTCCGGTCCAAAAAGAATTCGGGTCATGCCCACATATCTGCAAAGTTCAAGGATGTTTTATTTATACACACAAATATTTGCAATCGGAGACCTTATCATTAATAAAAATTTACATTATACATTCATTAATCAGTTAAGCGCTTATTGTTAAGTGCACTTAATTTAATACAAATTGCTTAATCGACAAAAGGGCATCGATCCATTGAGCTAATTAGCACAATTAAAAAACGTTTGTTTGTTTTAGAAATGTAAAATAAAGAGAAATACATTCTTGGTGAACAACTTTCCTTGTGATTCTTGCCTGCAGTACATATGTATGTATGTATGTATATATGTACATACATATGTATTTACTTTGCCGACAACCCCAAAACGATTTTTTGGCTTGCCATTTTGCCAGATATTTATAATGAGTCACGCGACTCCGCGTTTGACCAACGAGTTTGGCCAACGGAGACGGCTGAATTAATTACTGGACAGACCGCCGATTAGCTGCGAGCAGAAAACCAGCCCTAATTGAGTCCGACCGCCTTAGAAGTTAAATTTAAATTATACAAACACATCATCCAAACGTTTAACCACACACACATACTCATATGTATGTATATATATTTGCAACATAATCAAGCAACATGGTTTTTGGATAATTTATGAATGAACGGATCAATGTGCGACGAGATCAGGGACAATATTTCAAAGTTCGTTTGCCGAATGAATGACATCATTTATACGTTTTTTAAACAAAGTTCAGCATGAAAAGCTAAACGGCAATCACTTTTCCTTGACCTACCTTATTATATTCGTTTTAACGTTTAATTTTTGGCAAATATCGCTTATTATTAATTTTGTATCGTTCGATTGCTATCAATTTCAAGAATGTCTGGTCAAAATATAAAACATTTTCGGAAATAGAAATATGAAACCAAGTTAATTTCCTGGAATATATCAAATGTCAATAATTTAAAATATAAAATTTAAAATTTTAATATTAAGTATATTAAGCTTATATTACTGGAATATACAATTTATATTTTTGATATTGCTTGCATAATTTAACTTGATTTTATATCAAATTGACATCACTTGCATTTTAGTTTGATATTATATTCAAATAAATATTAGTTAAAAAATTATAAAACAATTTGATCGCTTTACTTATTATGTGTACGAGCCCTAAACAAACATTATCGTTTATAAATTAAGCTTTTGTGTTAAACGATCGTTAATTTTTTGAAGCACTCTTTCAGGCTGGAAAAAAATGTACAGAACTAATGGGTCTTGCTATCTTATCCATCTTCCATTCTGTCGTCTTTAAATATTTTCTATTGATAAGATTCGCAATTTCGACATGAGGCCAGATGATAAGTTTTAACAAGATCAGTTTGAGATCATCCCTGCATCAAAATGCAAGTTATCAACGGATTTAAATTGTTGGCTATTGGGATATTTTTCCTCCTCTTAGCCTGCAATTTTCAGAGCCAAGCAGTTGATGAAAAACCCAAAGATGTCGGATCTGTTGAGCCAAGTACTCTGACATTTTGGGAACGCATTGTGAGTGGAGTGAAGAACTATCCCTGGAAATCTGACAAAATCGAGAAGGAAAGCCCCGAAACTGCTCAAAGAAGAAACCTTTTTTGGCAACGACTGACGATGTCCACAGTGCTTTAATATAAAATCGGATGTACAAATTATACCAACAATTACCAATTATCTGATGTAACAAAATCTGTTTAAAGGTTAACTTTATCTGTATCTCAAAATAAAACACCATGTTTATTGATTACTTTTGGAAGCACTTGACCTTCTTCTCCATCTCGCAGTAGCCGGACTTCTGGTCCCAGAAGAGTCCTTTGGGACAGGAGGTGACCACCGGCATGCCGCCGATGCAGATGTAGTACTTGCTGCAATCCTCCGGATGCGACATGTAGCTCTGTTTCCTCGAGGGACAGGTCAAGGTGGTGATGTCCTTCCTCGGAGGAGATGGAGCCGTTGGAACCGGCGACAACTGGGTGGTTTCGGGATCCGTTAGCAGTTGCTGCAGAGTGCTATACTCGCTCGATCCCACGATATAGCAAACGGTTACAGGGGATCCACTGCTCGGTGTGGTGTCGCCCACGATGATGTCCACATTCGTCTGCGGTTCCGTTACGCGGGTTTCACCGTAGCAAACCGCCTGGTCGCTCAGCTGACACTCCGACATCTCGACATTCCACAAGGTGCCACGCCCACACTGATGGCGATGCAAGTGGCCGTAGGCGCAGATGAAGTACAGTCTGCAATTCCTGGGATGCGGCAGGAAGTAGGCTCCATAGTGACGGCACTCCACATGATCCGGATCGTACTTCTCCATCGGATTCACCTGCTTGCCACTCGTCACATCGACGGCCATGAAAACTGGACGCGGTTTGTGTGGCCACCAGTTCATCTCGGATTCATCCTCATCGAAACTTTGTGGTTCCACAGTGGTTGCGGGCACATCCATCTGTCGGCAATCTGTGTTCTCCGGCAGGTCGCAGATGCCGCGTTTCCCATCGAAATAAAGGCCCTGATCGCAGTAGAGCAGGGAGGGAATCCGCGAGCAGGAGAAGTAGCCGTTGCAGTCCTGCGGATGCGGCACCAAGTCGCCCTCCTGGCGACCCACGCAGATCTGAAGGCACGATATTCAATTTAAAGTAATTAATTAATTAATTAATTAATTAATAAGGTACACCATTGAAAAATCGGAATACATTAAGTACAGTTTTAAACTTTGGAAGGTAGGTTTTTGGTATCTTTTGTATTTCTAAGATACTTTTCGAAATCTTATATAAAATGTACTATGTTTCATGGGAAACTTGGAAAAATCTGATATAAATAGAGATAAAAAACCGACCTTTACCGAATTAAAAAACTATTTTAACGAAGTTCGTTTTGGAATTCTATTATATTATTGAAGTTGGAAAGTTATTGTCCGTCCATGATATTTTTTAAAATTTCATCTTTATAAAAAAATTTTTTTATTATTTATATATATATATATATTTTTTTTTTTAATATTATATTTTACTCACATGACTAAGGTCGCCCAGGGTAACACGAACTTTGGGCAGCTCCCAACTGCGATCGACGGCGTGATTTGCTCCCAAATGGAAGCAAATGCTGAATGCCAAAACTAATGCCAAAAAGCATTGCATTTTAGGTAAAAACTCCACTTGATTTCTCGTTCTTTGCGACTCCAAAATACTTATTTTAGTGGCTCGAGCGTCTCATGATCGACCCTTTTATGAGGTTGAAAAAATGGGTGGGGCAATTGTCAAAGTTAATCGAAAACTTGTGTTTGCAATCTGTGCTGCTAAATGTACTCGTATCTAGATAACATTCTGTGGATAAAAAAATTCGTGATATGCTCACATCTATTTATAAATATCACACAGATCCTCAACATCTAAAATTATCCGTAGAAAAAAAATAATAAGTTGAACACAAAAGATGGAAAATAAACTTATATTAATTTTAATTCCTTTTTGTAACTCAATTTTGGAAACTATCTCAATAAATTCTCAAAAATTAAGAAAACAATGAACTGCTTGCGAAAATAGTTTTATTGCCTCTTTGAACAAAACTGAATACTATATGGTAATAACATAATTCCAAGAATTATTATTATAGAGGATTGTGGTTGGAAAACATATGGCTTGGCTTGCAAACATACATTTTATTGCCTTTTTCATAAGCTGAATACTAGATGGTAGCTACATGGGATCGTGTCTGCTGGCGAGTTCCGTTCGATTTCCGAATCCCCGAAGGACATCTATCCCGAACCGGCTTCGGTGGTGGCCTCCGCTTCATCGGTGGAGTCGGTGGAGTCATCATCAGTGACGGAGGCTCCCTTGCAGGCTCCATGGGTGGGAACGTATCCCGACAGGTCGCTGTCGGGGACACATCCCTGCCTGTCCTCGTTGAAGAAGCGATCCTCCGTGCAGGACTCCACTTGGGAGGCCACACCGGTGGCGCTGCACCAATAGTAAGTGCTGCAATCCTTCGAATCGACGGCGTTGACGAATGAGCCCTGGGCGCCCTGGCAACGATTGCAGGTGGACACCGGCGTCGCCAGCTGGCGGAGCACGCATGCCTTGGTGTCCACATCGTAGTAGTAGCCGGTGTTGCAGACCACGGTCGTCCACTTGCTGTTCACGCACACTTGGTATTGGCCGCAAACGTTGGCATCTGGCTGCTGGGTGCCAGATGTGCAGGTGGCGGCGGTCTCACTCAATGGAACTCCGGTCACTCGGCTGCAGATGTTGGATGTTGTAGTGTAATCGCAGTTCTGGGCAGAAGGATTAAAGGCCTGCGGAAATTGAGACAAAAAATCATTAATCATATATAAAAAACTATATAAAATATTTGATTTCAAAATTAATACGGGAAATATTGAAGTAAGCAAAAATTATTTGAAATTCATATCATTAAAAATATTGTTCAACAACAGTAAACTTTAAGGATTGGCCATACTAAAAATAATTGTTTTATAAAAGGTGTTGCATTTTATAAGGTAAAACTTAAACCCCCTTTTCAATTATTTATATCTGTTATATCTGCTTACACTTTTATAGATTTTAAATATATAAATTAATACTGAACACCGTAGTAGTTTTGAAAAAAGGCAGTTGTCTGCAAAACAAACTTTTCTTGGTTAAACATTTTAACCATCCTATTTTCTTATAAGAAGTCAACCACCCGTTGTTGGCATTGATTCTTAATCGGCAAATATTTGCTATGTAAATCTAAAGATCATCAAATCCAGGAAACAAAAAATAATGAAAGGCTGCTTAAAGCAGAGATTCGGTATCGCAAGTGGTGACTTAAAGCAGAGATTCGGTATCGCAATTGGTAACTTAAAGCAGGGATTCGGTGGTAACTTACAGTCTGTTTGTCGGTGGAGCATTCACCCTTCTCGAGGTAAACGCCGGAGGAGTTGGACTTGCAGTTGTACCAGATGGAGCAGTTAGACGTGTCGCCGAAGTACTGGCCAGGTGGCACCACATCGCAGAGGTTGGTCAGAACGGTTTCGTTGCTGGAGTCCGTCGTACTCGGGCAGGATCCCCAAATGCAGGCCTGCTGATCGTTGTTGAACACCTGGCCGGTAGCGCAGGTCTTGGCCTTCGAGCTGACCCCGTTGGAGCACCAGTAGTAGCCGCCGCAGACGGCGGTGTTGGGCACAAAGACATTGGTCTTGCCGGCACAGGGCTCGTTGACGCCCCAATAGCACTCCACCTGGCTGGAGGGATAGCATCCGCTCCTCTTGTAATCGTAGGAGTAACCTGTCTGGCATTCGGCCTTCACGGGACCAGTCGACTGGCAGACGTAGTACGACTGGCAGGACTCGATGCTGCCCAACTGGGTGCCGGTCTTCACGCAGGTGCAGAAGGCAGTCACATTGTAGTTGCCCTCCAGGATCGCATCGCCCATCACACTGCCGCCCATCAGGCACAGGATCGTCGCCACAAGGAGTTTGCCTGCCCATCAAATTCCAATAGAGTTAACACAAAGAATCCTTCAATCGCTGTTAGCCACACTTGCCTGTCATCGTTAGTTGTGAGTTCTTTTGGCCTGTCGTCGAATTCGAAATATCACTCGTATTTTAGCCAAAGCCAATGAAAGACTGTCGAAGACTGATGTTGGAGTTTTCCCATCGCCTGGTTTTTATAGGTCCACCGCTCCGAACTTGGCCATCTAGATCGTAAATTGACTGAAGATAAGCCCGCTGTTCGCAGGAATTATAGACAGCGGAACATGGTTCAATTTTGTTTTATTTATTCCAGCCGATACGCGAAGAACATCGTGATGGCTGGTTATTTTACCAATTTTAATTAAAGTTAAGCTGTAGTTACCGAAAAGCCAACCACTATCATTTAATCTTTTTCTATCTCTTCTGCTAAGTTAATAATTAAAAAAAAGTAACGATTGACGCAGCCACAATTTTATCAACGGTGTAAGACTTACCTTGGAAACTAACACCTCGTGTTCTAAAACATCGTGTTGTAAGCGAAGGTCTTTGCTTAAGATAATCCATTACAACAATTAAATAATAAAATAAAACACTTACATTTTTTAAAAAATATTTTTGTTGTTATTATTTAATTTCTTATCTCTCTGTGATGACGTTGTTAATAACCATTTAGGTTTTTTTGACAATAGCAAAACCAAAGTTCGCATAATGTTTACTTTCGGTTTTATTACCATTTTATTTGGTATCCATAAAATATTGTTTGTGCTTTCTGGGACCCTAATTATATTGATTAGAATTTTTCGAAAAAAAAAACCCTTAAAAACAACCAGTGTTGCAAAAATGTGATGAATTTCAAATACCAGTTTTAGAAAGAACAATATTTGATGCCCAAAACTTTTACACGTGCCATTGGTAAAAAACATCACATAATCTAGATAATTGATTATGGCAACACATGTTTGCTTATCGGAAAGTGTAGTCATAATAAGACTTTTGTTATTCCTTTTTTTGTAAAGCATATCGCTTCATCGGAACATCAACAGTACCAGTTTTTAGATTATGAATGAAACCTAAAGCAATTATTTTTATAGAAGGTTAATATGGAGCCCATAAAGGTCGAATTGACTTAATATTTATTTCTATTTCCTGATTTAAAATCAATAAAAAAAGAAAGAACAATTTTAGAATCAAAAATAATTTGCTTTGCAAAAAGTTAACTTTTTCCTGATTCGAATTGATAAATTAGGCTAACTCCCAAAAAATACATTGCTTTTTATTAATATACGATTTTATCCTTTGGCAACCAAATACAGTTTAAGTTTCATTATTTTAAAAATTAAATTATTTTTTAGGAACTATTTTTTTTCTTGCAGTTATTATATTTATATATATATTTTTTTTTTTTCAGTATTTTTGAAAATAAAGAAGATGCGTATGGATTATTTTCCTGAAGTTCCGGTCGAAGTATCTGTCTTGGAAGAAGTATCTGTGGAAGTTCCGGAAGAGGTTCCAGAAGAAGTATCCGTGGAAGTTCCGGAAGAAGTTCCAGAAGAAGTATCGGTGGAAGTTCCAGAAGATGTTCCGGAGGAAGTTCCAGAAGAAGTATCGGTGGAAGTTCCGGAGGAAGTTCCGGAAGAAGTTCCGGAGGAAGTTCCAGAAGAAGTATCGGTGGAAGTTCCGGAAGAAGATCCAGAGGAAGTTCCGGAGGAAGTGTCCGTGGAATTTCCTGAGGAAGATCCCGTGTCCGTGGAATTTCCAGAGGGAGCCGGAGTGGTGGCAATGCCGCTGCTCAAGTTCGGGTTGCAGCAGAGGAACTGCGGCTCCGTGCCAGTGGTGCATCCACCCAGATTCTCGTTGAAGTAGTGGCCAGTGGGGCAGGACTCCACCGCTCGCTGGACGCCATTGACGCAGTACAGATAGTCGGAGCAGTTGCTGCTGGAGTAGGCGTTCACGAAGGTCATGGTGGTGCCGGCACAGCGGTCGCAGTTGTTCCGCGCATTCTCCCTCACCACGCAGGCCTTCGAGATGGTGTCGTAGAAGTAACCCGCTGGGCAGGTCATCAGCTGGTAGGTGTTGCTGGCCGAGCACATGTAGTACTGATTGCAGGCTGTCGCAGCAATGAAGGATCCCGGAGTGGAGCAAGTGGTAGCGATGGGAGTTCCGGTCAGGGAGGGATCGTTGGTCACCTGCGAACAGGAAGAGACCGTCTGATAGCCACAGTTAACCGCCTTCACATTGAACACCAGTCCAGACTTGCAGGGTCCCGAGTGCAACACATTATCCTGGCAGTAGTTCCAGTTGCTGCAGTTGGTCGGGCTGCCGAAGTAGAGACCATCGCGGATCAGGTTGCACAGGTTGAGGGTCTGGGAAACAGTTCCACTGCCGCTGAGGCTGTCGCTGCTACTCGAGGATGAGGGATCGGTGCAGGGATATTGGTTGGCATACACACAGGCCATCGTGGTGGGATTGAAGTTCTCCCCGGCCGGACAGCTTCCCTTGACGGCGCCATTGGCTCCGCAGTAGTAGTAGCCACCGCAGGAGGAACTGGAGGCCGCAAAGGAACCCACCGCCTTGCCCAAACAGGGACTGCTGCTGCTGGTGCAGGTGGCCGGCACCGATCCGGTGCACTGCTGGGCATTCTTGTCGAAGTAGTAGCCCGTGGGACAGGACATGGTCGTGTACGTGGATCCCTGGCACTGGTAGTACGTGCTGCAGTCCGTCTGGCTGGCCACATAGTTGCCGCTGCTGACCAGCAGGCACAAGGCGGTCACATTCACCTCCGCCTTCGCCGGAGCAGCGCACACAATTAGCAGCGCCAAAGCTGCAAAGATGGCTCCTTTCTGTCCACCTAAAAATTATATATAAAATATATATTTTATTTATATTATATATATTTAATTTCTCATTCAGTTTATTATTTATTTTAGCAAACCCACCCATTATTTAGCTCTTGATTTTTGGTGGCTCTTCAGTCGTATACTGTTCCTGGCGATTCGACTTGCCTCGGTTTTTATTTGCAGTCCAGTTGGGTTTTATCTTCGATCCTCTTGGATTTCAGAATTGATCGAGGACCTGTCACGTTAGTAAACTGACTTTTTGATGTATCGATATGGGCAACCAGCGAATCAAAATTTGTTTTCATGATCGATGGCCCCTCTGACAAGTCAACAAGGTATTGGATAAGAATATTCGCAGAATTTCCACTAAACAAATAGTTTATGATATTATTATTTATATATTAAAAATAATAAAGATTAAGAAAAAATAATCTTTATTATCAGAAAAATGTGACAAAAAAAATATAACATTATATTAAATATATTATAAAAGGTTAATAATCGAAGAAGATTCTCAAGCAAATAATATTTTTGTAGACAAATTTATTGAATACAAAAATAAGAACAATATATAACGTGACTTAGCAGCCAATAAAAATGTTCAGTAAAAATACAACCAAAATGTTTCTAAAATACCTAGTCCTAGTAAGATAATCTAAAAGTATGCTGACTTACAATAAAATCGATTAAATTGGCAAGAAAAAAGTATCGGCTGTTAACCACCGAATTCTAGGAACTCAACCTCCTTTCAAAATATAAACTATTATCTCATTCTAAAGCCAACATCGGTTTTATTGCCAAAGCGCAAACAGCTATAAAGAAGATTCGATTAGATAATTTTCACCAAATGAAATCTTTCCAGTCGTAAGTCAACCACATGATTCCCGAATTTAATGATACATTTTTAATTGTTTTCTTAATCGATTTGGGAAAGTCAGGCGTTAAGCAAAAAGGAGATACCACCAATCTAAATTGGCGTTGAATTGCCCACTTTATGGCATTAGCCCCCACAATTTATGAGCCGGTGTTCTACTTTAAAGCATTTTCACCATTATGACTAACCCATTTATTTCGCATAACTGACGATTCTTAGCATTGATTGTTATAGTAAGAAAAGCAAAATGGTCATTTAATGGGTAAAGTCCAGTTGAATGTTGTTTCAAAGAAGTCTATAAATATTATTTAAGCCCCAACAAAATGCAAGATAATTTATTTGTGATTATAATTATAAGTGATAGGGATATAATTCTGTGTGTTTCTAAAGTAACTGGTCATCGGGGTCTATTAATACCATAATGTCGTATGTACCTACTATTCTTATCAACCTCAGACACTGAAGATAAGACTATTTAGCTATGATTTTAAAACAGTCAACCATACTCTGTTTAGTAATAAATTAACCTATACTCCCATTGATATGCTTAATAAGCAATAAATTAGTTTAAATATTATTGGTTTAGTTATATACAACATACAAACATATTTCCAGAAGTTTCATTCAGAAAAACTAAAACGTAAATTGCCTTCTGCGATCGAAATGGTAGTAGTTTAATTTATCACTTGTCAATTTTGGAATTAACGAAGCCTGATAAAACATGAATATGAATACGCCATGCGTCCAATTTAGCCACTGACGGCAGTTTTGGCACCAAAGTAAACCTCCCAAATTTATAGACCTTTCGGAATACCCCAAAACAAACTGGAGAAGGTGTTGTCTTTCGTTTGGTATTTAATTCCAAAGTTCTGGGGCTACCAGTTAGACGTTCTGCTCCTCGGTTGCCGAAAAAGTCTATTTACTTTCAATTTTTACTAAATTTTTAAAGCAAAGAAGTGAGATGAGTAAGTATATTTTGCAAAAAATATTTATATTCAAAAAGAAATACTTGCTTTCTAACTTACTTAATTAAAATTCATCTTTTCAAAAACTTGATACGGTTATTTACAAATATTGCATTAAAATCATATTTTTAGTTAAGGAATAATTCAATTGAACAAATTTAATATATTCTTAAAATTGTATGCAGTTTAAAGGACTTTATGCACTACAATTAATAATATCTTTTGCAATCAGATTCGTGGTACATCCTCATCTTCGGACTGGTCGGTGTTCCCTTGATTTCTGGAGCCTCCACCTTCAATGCGACTCTCATCTGCGAACTGGTGGTCAATGGCACCAAGATGAACGATCCGCGTGCCTGCAACGCGTGGGTTCAGTGCGTCGATGGAAGTCCTGTGGGTGGAACCTGCGGCACAGGACTCTTCTACGACAGGGAGAGCCAGGAGTGCCTAACCTCGAGCAGTGTCAAGTGCCTGTCCAGTGATCCTTGTGCTGCTCTGCCCACCGGATTCGCCGCGGATCCCTATTCCTGCAATGGATACTATTACTGCAAGGATGGCAAGGGAACTCACGGAGTTTGCAACACTGGAATGAACTTTAACCCGGGAACGCAGGATTGCATTCGCGATTTTCCGTGCACCGATAAAATGGATCCGGATAGCTATTGCAACATCCTGCCAGATGGTGTCTTTGTGAAGAACCCGAACAACTGCAATGGCTACCAGATGTGCTGGGATGGCCAGGTGTTGAATGGCACCTGTCCGGGAACATTCTACTTTAAATCCTCCACCGCGGAGTGCGATTACCAGCAGGATGTGGAGTGTGATGTCACCCCAGTGACGGATGTTGTCGAAAAGGGAGTTTGTCCCGAATCGGGAGGATTTATCTCCGATAACAGCACCTGCAATGGCTACTACTACTGCAAACCGATGGCAGATGGTGAGTTCACCTTGGAGCATGGCGAATGCTCGGATGGAAGGTTCTTCCTGGCCAGCGATGGAGGCGCCTGTGTGCCGCGTTCCAAGGTGAAGTGCGACTACGATCGCTGCGTGGGATTGGGCAACTCCACCATCCAGCTGGCCAACGAGTCGGATGACGGATGCCGTGGTTACTCCATTTGCCAGGATGGCGTCGTCATTGGCCAGGGAACCTGTCCGCAGGACGAGTACTTCGACGAGGTCACCCAGCGCTGCACCACCCAAGTGATAACCTATGCTGCCTGTCAAACATCGGGTGGAACCACTTTATCAGAAGTCGAGCTGCTGACCGCTGGTTCTACCACATCTTCGGTGTCGTGAGAAATTTAATGGTAATTAACAAATATATTTATAAAGTGGACATAAGTGCAGCAGGTTTTATTACTTGCTTTTGTAAATACAAAGCCACCTCTTTGTTCAGATATCACTAAATTGATATGATTGATTTTATACCTTAAAATTATAATTTTTATTTAAATTCAGATACCAGTATTACCAAATAGTATTCGAAAATATATATTTATGTTTACTGACTTTGCTTATTTATTTTATAATAAATCAAGTTTATCAAGTATAAAAAATTTACATTTACATTATGCTTCCTTGTTTCCCAGAAATAACTAATATTTATTTCTAATAATATCCTTATTTTTTAAAGGCTTTGTTTAAGTACAAAAACATTCTTTTAAGTGTTAGTTAAATAGAGATAATGTATTTTTGTATGTTGCTATGCATACTATTTTTTTATAGTTAATACAAATTATAATAGCATGAAATTCTGGCCATACTTTGGCCAGCTGAGTCAGCTCTGAAAAATCCAAGCATTATCTTATCCCACCTGCCAAAATATTAGAGGGGACCACCGTCCGGTGATGAATGGCAATACCGAAATTTTGGTCTCGTGAGCGACGTACGCAATCAGTTTTAATTAGACACATTGTTTTTCGCAGCCACAACAATAAATATATGAGAACATGAGGTTCTTTTGGCTGATAGACGTAATAACGATTAGGTTACCGGATCACTTTCTGGCTCAGATTTCCGTGAAACGATTGGAGAAACCCTCGGTGAGATAGGACCGTGATGTCATGCCTGAGAACACCACTCCGGAATTTGGAGGTGAAGCGAGAAAGTACTCGGGAAGTAGCCAATAGAACTCATTCATTTGTTGGGAGAGTGATATCAGCAAGTATCACGATTTTAACAACTGCGAATCGAATAGCAGCAGCCATAAATAAGTTGAATGGAAAAGTACAAACTTATCAGAGGGAAAGTTTTTAGTATTTAAATTACTTGATTGCAACGCTTCATTCATTACTTGTTTGAGTACTCATGAACTAAGAACATGCTCAGAAACAATATATTTTATACAAAAAATACTTAAATTCGTATAAATAAATCATACGCAGTGTGGGCCGGTAACATAAATAGTTTAGCTCTTAGGATACTAAAACTACTCCTACTATTTCCAAATATCGATTGGAATTTCAATAGGCTTTGTAGGCTTATTGATTAAAGAAAACAAGAATTCCTGAATTTCAGTTTAATCCAAATCATATATCACTCATCCGCCCGGTGGGCTCTATTTTACCCTAAGTTGTTATAGTGGGATTTAATTGGTCGAATCTTTCGAAGGCTGATACTTCTTGCCCGCCTCGTGGCAAACAAGGAAATAACCGCTCACGACATTGGCAAGTAGCAAATCTGTTATCGGCCTATCAGGAATCGGTTCTGAATTCTCCGAACGCTGAACTGGGGTACTCTTTTAATTAAAACTGATAATTTTCTAGGCACTCCAACTGTCACAAAAAAAGAAATAGATTGCCAAAAAAGAACCGCTTTGATAGCGAAGGGTTGTCAAGAACTCGATCGCCCTGTTTTTTTGTTACCCTAATGAACATTTCCGCCCTCAGCATAATATGGCATAATTCACTTAGCTTTTCCAATTTCAAATCTTATAAACATTGGTAATACATTTTTTGTATCCTTTAAATGTGGTAAAACTAAGCAATTTTTTAAATGATTCTTGAGTTAACTTTTTAAAACGCAAAAACCAATATATAATATCTGTATAACATACTTCTTTCCGAGATTTTATGTATTTATTGCAGTAGTTTAAACTTAAATGAAAGTTTTCAACAACTTAAATTTACATTGAAAATACAAAATAATTTTTTTTTACATCTTTAAACCTTTTCTTGAATGGATTTTATTTATTAGGCACCCACCACAAAGTAATTAATACTTCTTATGCATTGCATTTGACCTCCACCTTGAATTGGATCGATTTATTGGTGCTTAAATTCGTAAGTGATATTGAAAAAGTGTTTGTTTTTATTTTAGCTGCTGAAGCTGCTGATTCTGCTGCTGCTGGAGCTGCAAATCCTAGACGGAGCAGGCGATGTAGTGGTAGTCGGTCTGCGTGCATCCCTGGTTGCGCTCGTCGAAGAAGTATCCCGAAGGGCAGCGACCCAGGCTGGCGGTCACTCCATTCGAGCAGCGACCGTAGCTCTGGCAATCGCCGGCCACATTCACGTAGGTCAGATTGGTGCCCACACAGCGATCCAACTGGCAGCGAACATTCAGCCTGTCGCGGCAGGATAGCTTCTCGAAGTCAAAGTACTGACCCAGAGGACAGCTCAGGTGCTTGGGCTCCGTGTCGTGCTTTCCATTCACCGGCTCACCGCAGATGTAGTACCGCGAGCAGGACTCATCATCAGCGAAGTAGCCCACTCGCGCCGACTGGTTGGCAATGTCCAGGCAGAAGGTGTTCTCCGGTTCCGGCAGAGTGGCCGTCTCGTAGCAGGTGACGTGCTCCACATCCACGCAGTAGCCCAGATCCGCATCGTAGGCCTTCAGCGGACTGTCGCAGGATCGACTGTGAAGGACCTCGTTGACGCACTCGTAGTACTGATCGCAGTGGACGGGATCGGCCAAGCGGGTGTGGTTGCTCAGGGATCGGCAGGCGGGACTCGTCTGGTCCTTCTGTTTGGCAGGACACTTGTACTTGGTCTGGTAGACACAGGATCGGGAAACCGGATGGAAGACCAGCTCGTTGGGGCAGTTGGCCTGGATCTGCTTCTGGGCACGACAAAGGATATAGCCACGGCAATCGCTGCTGCTCGGATCCACGACGAAGGCTCCATCCGTCTCGTTGGCGCACAGGTTCTTGGGCTCCTCCTTGATCACATTCTCATAGGGACAAACGGCACTCGAGGCGAGGGCACAGCGACCCAGCTCCTTGTGGAAGTACAGGCCCGAGGCGCAGGCACTCTGCTCCAAGGAGGTGTAGTTGTTGGCGGCACACTTCACCCACGTGTTGCACGTGTTCGGACGCAGGAAGATCGTGTCCAGCGGCAGCAGTTCGCAGATATCCTCCACCGACAGGTACTCAAAGTCCTCGATCACGCCGCCCAAGGCGCTGGCCACAAAAAGCAGCGACAGGATACCGCTGGCTGCAAGGATACCAATAAAAATATAGAGTTTCTTTTAATTGAAAGCAACAGAATTAAAAATACTTCACCTTTCCTTTCCTTGAATTTAATATTAAATTACAAAACTCTTTATAAAACCTCTAATAACAATACTCTATCAAAAAGAACTTTTGTTTTAAGTACAAATAATTGATTGATATTTGTTTAAAAACTCCTCATTCCTTTTATATTCTCTTTTATAAAAAGTTATTAAAATCCTTTTAAGAAGTTCTCAAGTATAATCCGATTTTAGGGATACAGCAGGAAACGTCGGTTTTCGTTTTTACAGGTTAAATTGCACTCCTTTTGATTTCACTTAAGTTAGCAGAATATATAGTAGTACCTCTGTTCATGGTTTATATCCTGTGGTTAACTCGTATCCTGGTAAATGGAACGTCCCGTTGCGGCGATCGAAACACAACTGATACTGCAACTTCGGAAGCTGGCGCCCTTAAATATTCAAAGACCATTCCGCTCCGTTTTGTTCGGCGAAAAAACAATTTCCAAAATGCACATGCTATCTCAATCAGAATGGACTGATAGCGCTCCCGTTTCGTATTTCTTCTGATTTTCTGATGTACGATAGCACCGTCGCATGTAAATTACACGGCAATAACATCGGAGTTGTCTCGTTCGCAGAACAACAGACTTTTCGGAGGTATCAATGATCAACGATCAGTGGCCCCCCATCGATAGGGAAATTGCATGTGTCACTCGCCGCGATCCCCATCAATGCCATTCAGAGTTCTTGAACACCGAAAAAGCAACGAGAGGTGTAGTGATAATATTTTTCTACTTATTAAAAAATTTTCCAGATTTTTCAAGGAAATTACTATAGAAGAAAGTGATCTTCTTTTGGATTAATCTTTGAGTTTCTACTTCTTAAGTGCTGCAAGTGTTATGGTTATTATTATTTGATTGATTTTTTTCTAAAACAATTCAGTGTCAACAAGTTGACGTCACCTATTTTTCTCGAAAATTCCAGGCGACCGAGTTAATTATTTGATTGTTTGATAGCCAAAACTAGAATAATATCTAAACGCTTACGTCAATCAAACGCACTTTTGTTTAAACATTCAAAACCGATATCAACGATACCTTTAAAAAGTTTATGGGATTTTTTTCTATGGTATAAATAAATTCTCCAATTGATAAGACATACAAACTATAATGCTTTAAAAATTATATATAGTTTTCCACAATACAAATTGAAAGATAGATAAATGATGGCCAAAAGCTTGGAAATATAATAAATACTTTAAAAATGTTCTTCATTATCTCTCGAAAATTTTATTGTTTGTTAGTCAAAACCAGAATAATATCTAAGTGTTTACTTTAATCAAACGCTATTTTCTTTAAACATTCATAAATTTTTTCTAACAATGCAAACTGAAAGATAGCTAAATTATGACCAAAAGCTTGGATAACATACTATAAAAGCTTCTATATTTATATAGATCTTTATCTTAAAAAAAGAATATTCTGGGTGAGTTATATCTGAAAGAAAAAATATTTAGAAAGTTAAAACCATTTCAGAAACACTATCTATCACACAAAATCGGAAGAAGTGTCATCTAGGGTTCCTTAAATAATATTTTAAGCGGAGACACCTAAGCAAATTAGATGGGTTCTACCCTTTTTAAGCTAATTAACTCTGTTAAGCCCAGCAGTAAATAATCATTGACAAGTCGAAGCTGAGGTATTTTTATTGGTTTTTTAATGCTTTCCCCGCAGTGGTTGCAAGGGCAAAGGAGTAAAGAACGCGGATAGGATTTAAGTTATGTCAAATACAAGGTATTCCGGAGGAAAGAAAACTTAACCCTTCGTCGGAGCCGTGGCTGTGCAAATCGCATAAGATGGTCGCGTTTGGGTGCAGATATTGTTGATCTCATCGTAGTAGAGGTCATTTTGGCAGGTTGCCTGAACGCCTGAGGCACAGATCGAGTAGCTCCTGCATCCGGTATACTGAACGGTCATGAACTGCCTGTTCACATTGCCACACCGATTGAATTTACAGGCAAAAGCGGCAGGCGAAACGCACTGGCCTTTAGCGACATTGAATTGGGTTCCGGCTGGACATTGGTTCCAAATACCACTTGCAGTCGAATTGGCACAGTAGAAGTAGCCATAGCAGGTGGTATTGTCCGAGACATATCTATAGGTCTGATCCGTCTTATCCGCAACAGCTTCTTCAGCATCTGCCCAAAAACTTGCACAAACTCCCGCGACTTCCTCACCCACTGTAAAAGGACTAGAGGAATCACCGCTACTGTCGTTGTTGCTACTGCCGTCGCAGGGATTGGCATTCTGGCACATTCCAGTTGCCAAATTGTAGTACTGCTTGGTGCAACTGCCAGCGGTGCCGTAGCCATTGTTGCAGGAAATGTAGGAGCCGCAGTTGTCCGGATCGCCGATGTAGGAGCCCGACTTGATGAACTTGCAGATGTCGTCCTGCGGACAAGCGGGTCCCCAAACACAAGTCTGATTGTTGGCCGCATAGACACCGCCCTCGCCGCAATTTCCGTACTGAAGAGTTCCGTTGCCCGCGCACCAGGCGTACTGGGTGCAATTCGTCGGATCCGCCACGTACATCGGTGACTTGGCATTGGCACACGTGGTCACCGCACTGGTGGAGCAGATCGTCTGGTTGGCCGGCAAGCAGGACGACTTCTGCGAGTCGAAGATCAGGCCGTCATCGCAGGTGCCCCACCCGGCCAGCTTCTGGTTCTCGCAGTAGCCCCAGGCGCGGCAGCTGCTCGGATTGCCCACGTATCCCGTTCCCGATATCTGGGCGCACATCTGCTCCATCGTGTAGCTGAAGCCGCTGGCCTGCGACGCCAGCAGGAGCACACAGGCCACGGCGCAGATCCCTGCACTGAATGTTTGCTCTAGAAAAATAATTAAAAAATAAGGAAAAATATAAAAAAAAATTCCCAGTTTTAGAACAATTTCCATCCAAAATTTTTAAAGCACTTCTTCGATCAAAGAGATAAGCTTCTCTTAAGATTTGCTTGTTCTAAAACTCATTGATAAATCACCATTTTTAGCTGACTAACTTCTTAAGCTAAATAATAATTTGCTTATATTTCTTAATTTGAAACTATTGATTTGAGTTTAAAAAAAATTTCATACAATAAAAACTTCATTCAAAAACAGCATTTTTACTTTATAAAATTTTTTAAATTAAGCTCATATTATAAAAATTTTTAAAACAAAGTTTTCACTTATTCAACTTGACCTTTTTTCTTGAAACTTGTTGTTTCAGTTTTTTTTTTTTAATTCAATTTCGAAGCAAAGGACTATGTTATGAAATTCTTCACCAAAATCACAGTAAACTCCATTTTTTTTAGGTCCAACGTACCTCCCATTTTGGATTGGTAATATTATAGAATAATTCGCTTGGTGGCCGACTGAAGCGAACGATCCGTTTCCGTTACTAAACCAATCAATCGCAGCCTCAACGTTTTTATAGTTGGCCAATTCCCCGGCTCGGCGGAGTGGTTAATTAAAAAATTGTCAGCCAGATAAGCCCGTCGCCACCACAGCGTAATGTATCGCAATTAAAACTAGATAAGATTCTAAGGTCTGGGGTAAACCACGCACCTTTCATCCTTTTAATTTTGGTTAGCTCCCAGATCAACAAGGTTGGACGACGAAAGTTTAACTAGCGGCCACCGCCAAAATGGACTGTCTTATAAGTTCTGGTCAGCGTACCTTCTCGACTTTATATATATTTTATTTTTCTTGACAGACCTGGTGGTTTTGGTTTTTTTTCTTGGATTATCAGCTGCTGATTGCAAGCCCCCTTTGTCTATAATTGATTTTTAATTTCAGAGGCGAGGAGTCGGAGGAATGTCATGGCTCTTATTGATCGCTCGGCGGCGTTTTCCCGGTATCTCGCCATTCATTTCGGCAACACGACATTAGGCAGATATCTCAATTTGAATCTCAACACGATCCTCCACTCCTTCCAACTTGGTATTATCAGTTTTTGCTGAAAAAATAAATGTTTACACACTTTTAATTCAATCACTTGCTAACAATAGCTGGTAATACTCGAACGTTTAAAAAATATAAATAAAATAAATTAACTGATTTTTGGGAAATTTGTTATTTTATAACTATACTACTCGATTGAAACTACAGTACGGTGAATTTTATTTTTTTTTAATTTTGGATTTGTACTATCTAAAACAGAAATGAAATATATCAATTATATCTTTTAACCAACTCATAAATTCATAATTCCACGATAAAAACGAAAATTTTATAAATTCCTTCTAGAGTTTTTTAGGTCTAAGATATACAGTAGAATCCGCTTATAGCGACTTTCAAGGGACCGACGATTTTTCGTCGTTATACCCGGAAGACGCACTAAGCAGAAGGATTTAAGTGTATAAGTCAGTCTGGGGACCAATCAAGCCATCGAGTTTTCGTCGCAATACCCGGACGGACACTATAAGCGGAGTCGTTATAACAGGATTCTACTGTATATGTTTTTTTTTTTTAATTTTAGAAATAGTTATAAAACTACTGTTTTTTATTTTTTAAATTCAATAAAACCCAACCATTTTGAAACCCTATAACCTTCCTCTTTTGACTGATAAATTTATACGATTTTTTTTGTGCCCGACATTTTCAAGCACTTAAAGGCCTAAAAGCAAACTATTGAAACCATTAAAACTCGCCCACAAATAGACAATGAAATTTGATTTAGTCACTTGACTTTTTACGAATTAAAAATAAAAATCAAAACAAATGACTTAAATAACTTATTTTTATTAATATTAATATTATTATTATTGTCTGTTGTTCACGAAAATTGTTTTAAAATTTATGAAATAACATAGGTGCGTCTCTTTTTATTTTAATGCTTTTCGACCCAAACTAATCTTATCTATTTCCTGATATTTATTAATAAGCAATTGGCAATTATCAAATGATTGAAACTTAAGGCAATTTAAAGACAGATTTATACCCAATATTTATGTTATGGTAAAAATGTTTACATAAATACAATATAGATGAACTAGAATATTTTTATTGATAACTTTATGGTACGAATACTATCATATTTCAAATGTACTAAATAAACAACAGATATTTTTGGATGGTTCATAAAACCCTGTTTAGTACCCCATAAAAAATCAATCCGCTTATCTTACCAAAAAAAAATTCCGGTTAGCTGATCCCCCTTAAAAATAATCGTTAGTCGCGAATCGAATTCAGTAAGAGTTTATAGTTCGTTGGAAGTTGAGCTGCTTTTGCAATGGAAAGTGAGTGGTTCTTTGGCTGCATATAAAATTCAAAATAATTAAATTAAGTCTCCCAATTGCAGAACCCTTCATTTTTGTTGGAGTGGCACTCCTGGTGCTTCTGCAACTCAGTGGTTCGGTAAAAGGGGCAGATATCTGCCGGTTGTTCGCGAACAACACGGTGATCCGAGATCCCGATTCCTGCAGTCGATCGATCACGTGCATCGATTCCGTGAGCCACTACACAACCTGTCCGCAATCCGCGTCCTTTTTCGACAAGGATGCGGGTAAATGTGTGAAGAGCCTGTCGGCCAGCTCCACGTCCAGCTGCTCGATTTCCTGCCAGGACAAGGCCACCCAGTTCGTGGCGGATCCAAAGTCCTGCACCGGATACTACTACTGTTCGGCTGAGGAGGTGGCCATGTACGGCAGCTGTCCGCAGGACACCCACTTCAATGCCACCACGCAAACCTGCTCCCGGTTGCACGAATCGGAATGCACGACCAGCAGTTTCGAGTACTGCAACATTGTGGCGAACGGCGTGAACTTTGACAATCTGCTGGGATGCAACAGGTATCATGTGTGCACCAAGGGTGTCCTCAAGGACCAGACCTGCAAGGATTCGTATTATCAGGCCAGCACTGGCCAGTGTGTGTCCAAGGCGCTCGTTGACTGCGATGCCCATCCGCTGCCCACCGATGTTTGTGGCACCGCCAAGAAGCCGAAATCCGATGCATTTGTCAAGGATGGTGCCACCTGCCGTGGGTACTTCTATTGCGCCCTGCAGGCTGATGGCACTCCCGATGCCAATCCCCTGTGGCATCAGTGTCCCGAGGATCGGTTCTTCGACGAAAAGAGTCAGGCATGCGTGACCCCCAATTCGGTGAAGTGCACCGAGGATCGTTGCGATGGCCGCACTTCCGACTTTGTGGTGAGTGCAACATCCGGTTGCCGGCATTACCTGCGCTGCTCGGATGGAGTCACCCAGTACGAGAGGTCCTGCGGCAACTACTTCTTCGACGAGGACCTCGGCGGCTGCGTCGCCAGTGTCAAAACCTACACCGCGTGTACCTAAAAAAAAAACAATCAATAAAGCTCAGCAATCTATGTTTTTAAAACAAATGTAAATGTAAAAGAAAGGGGATTTCTTGGCGGGGTGTATAGAAGTTGGTGTTGAAATAAAATTAATTATTAATTTGTTCAATTTTATGCATTACCATAAGCTTAAACTTATCTGGTAAATCTGGTAAATAAATATACCAAATATGTTTGCGATAGTTACAGAAATATACACTAAACATTTTTTGAGACCTGTGGAAAGGTTTAAAAACTTTTCTTTATAATTAACCAATAACCATTCCATTGAATTATTTAAGCAACTCTTACTTACTTATCTGACGAAAAAGCATTTTTAATATTCCTAAATCAAATTTAAGTTATAAATAAAAAAGACATTTATTTGATTTTCCTATAAAATTTAATTTGCCTTGTAAATTTGTTTGATTGTATTATCCCTACCCAACTTTGCTGATCTTTTTAATAAATACAAATTATTTTAAACTATATTGAGTTATTGCTTTAAGTGGAACTGCAAAATTTCAAAAAAAAAAAAAACAATTATAAACATATTATAGTGGCAAGTAAACACAAAATCATGGAAACTTTATGTGCTGGTGTTGGAAGTAGAATACCTCAATCTAATTGCCAATGTCATAAATGAAGATCAGTGTCCTTATTCGCCTGACATAATCAATGTTTTTAAACTGTTCTGATTCCCCCAAAAACAATTGAAAGCGACAACAAGATGGCTGAGCACTGGCTTTATCACTTTGTCATATTTACGATGCCATAACACACAATAACTTGTGACTACTGTCGATACGATTAATATATAGCTCTATTAATTAATAACCAATGAGGTTAATTCCGAATCAAAATCAACTGAAATACTCATTATCTACTTTCATACTAGTTTTCTGTTTTCATTTCTGTCCACTTGCCAAAATTCATTAGTCAGTCGTTTGGGTTTTTAAGCCATATGCATACAAATAGATCCAGATTTAAATCTCAAATTAACTGAAGCACTTGAATAGGCTTACGTACTTTCGCACGAGATCGATAAGATTTTTTTTTCTTAAGAGTGGCAATAAAGTGCGCTATCAGCAGAGGCAGAAGCTAGTAAATATAAACCTTTTCCATTCACGAAACTCCATTTAGTCGAAGGCAATTGGTTGGCGAGACCTCATCAATCCCCTCGAACTGATTTCCTGCAAATTCTGCAACCAAATTCTCAAAGAATCAGCCATGACGAGTAAGTTTTATCAACCGAGCGAAGTTCACCGCTGAAATGAGACAGATATCTCGCCGGGAATTTTAATACAACTTTTATAATAAGCTCATTCGAAGTTATCTCTATAAAATTGAAAACAAAAATATTGGTATCGCAAGCTGGCATATACTTATAGGCCATATTTAATTGGGAGAACTATTTTTTGTTACGGGAAATCCGGTAAATAAATAAAAAAGTATAGTGCTAATAAAAATAATTTGATTAAAAGCTAAAATTTAAGAGTATCGTTTGGTTTATTGTTATTAAAGGCCGCTTTATGACATGATAACTTATTAATATTTAGTTGATTTTTATAAACTGTATTGCACAAATTTTGATAGTTATTTTTTAACTATGTATTATTATTCCGTATATGTATAAATGTTCCTCCGAAATCAAATCTTAAATTATTTTATTTGATTTTCAGTTTCAAGGAAGTGTAGAGTACTTCTGGGATGTCTTCTGATGGTGATATGTCTGCCGTCCTCTCTTGCCGGCTCCGATGACTACGAGGAGCTGTGCCGGCTGTTTCAGAACGGCACCCAAATCCGCAAGCCCGGCACCTGCGACCAGTACATCCAGTGCTACGATGGCGAGGGCACCCTGTTAACCTGTCCCACCGGCAAGTCCTTCGATCCCAACCAGAAGCAATGCGTGGACACGCTAGACAACAGCCACAAGTACTGCGGCAATCGCTGCGAGGGATTGGACGGAGAATGGGTGGCGGATCCCACGGAGTGCCACAAGTACTTCTACTGCAAGAGCGGCGTGCCGCTGGAGGGGAAGTGCCCGGATGGCCAGCACTTCGAGGAGAGCTCCCAGTCCTGCCTGTACGGCGTGGACTCGCAATGCGTGGACGTGAACAACATCTGCGAACTGGTGGCGAAGAAAACCAAGTTCAGGAACGAGACCGACTGTTCCTACTACAACGAGTGTGATTCATCCGAAAATCATGCGGCGAAATCGTGCTCCACCTCGAAGGCTTTACTCTATTTCGATGTGGAGACCGGCAGTTGTGTGCAGCCGAACAAGGTGGAGTGCTCAGCCCATTCGAAGGTGAATGTCTGTGGCATTTACAAGGAGGTTACCTTCAAATCGGACCAGGCCACCTGTCGCGGTTACTTCGTTTGCAAGGCCCTCTATCCCGTTGCCGATCTCGATCCCACTTGGCAGCAGTGTCCCGAGGGATACTTCTTCGACGAGGCTTCGCAGAGCTGCGACAAGGCCACCTCGGTGGTCTGCACCCACAATCGGTGCGACGGACGTGGCACAAGGATCGTGACCAGCAGCAGCAACGACTGCCACAACTACATCCGGTGCGTGGACAACAAGGAGGTGGTGGAGGAGACCTGCCACTTCGACCACTTCTTCGACGAGACCCTCGAGGCCTGCACCTCCAAAATCATATACGACAAGTGCTGCGATGGTCGCGAATGAGCGGGGGCTCTACCTATAAATTGAAGTTTAAATGCAAAAACCAAACCAGTTGTATTATTTTATTGACTACCTTTTGTTTTAATAATTAAGAACATAAAAAATACACCTTTTGTTAAAGGGTTGCACGTCATCGGATTTGTTTCCCAGTTAAAATAATGACCCACATTCCTTATTATGTTACTATCTTCTAATTGCCACTTGAAAAGCAAGACCTCTTTCAGTTTCTAAGTTTGGAAATTATCCAATTAATTCATATCTTTCTGTTGAACATCGGCAAAGAAGACAATTGTCTTGGGAAAAACCGAGACCATATGAATCATTATACCTTTTTAAATCTATGTTTCGCAGAGGTTCCTATTCTATTTGTAGTCTTATCCGATTTGACAAAAAAAAAAAAAACAACAAAAATTTAGTAAACCAAACGTACAGATAACAATTTAACTTCCCCTGCAAAGCAAAAACCGTTAAATTTTAAATTATTCTTTACCGATTCCGGTTTAAAACGGTTAAGTTATCGATTAGTATGCCAGCAAGAAATCGACGGCCTTTTTCAAATTTAACTTGTTTTTAAGAAGCGAACGTCGATTTATAATTGCAGAAATTGAAAAAATTTTCACATAATTACTGATTATAAGATTTAAAAACATTTTCAAACAGAATATGAAACGTAACAACGTTTAACGGAAAAGCGCGCAAAGTCGAGCAGTATGACCAGGTGGCGCAGCCTAAGTTGTCTCCACCGGCTAAAGTATTTCAGCGGCAATATGCGTCAGCCACACCGCCAAAACCATATAAACAATTTTATAATTTGCACTTTTGAATGTCGGAAAATCGATCTAATAGTTGACGTAAAACGAAAAGCAACGCATGGAGCAATTAAAACTTCAACCGAGAATAGTTTACTTCATTGAAAGCAGGCAGGCAGGAAGTTGTGAGCAGATAAAACGTAACCCGCAGGCCGATCAGCAAAACGTGTGATAATAAACCAACTAAAATTTCGGCTACATCGCAAGAAAAGTATGCAACAGCATTCTTGTGTTTTATGCTGAAGGATCATCCGTGACTTTCAACCGTAAGTTTTCGCTAGAGCAAGAGCTTTGAACTGATTTTCAGTTCGTTTAAACTAGTTTTGTAGAGCTTACTTGTCGGTGTTCATAGTAGAAACTCCATTTTCCAGTGATGAAGCCAACTCAATCCGGCGGCAGTGGGTCGAAAATGACCGAGCCCATTGAGTATGTGACGCTGATAAGCGACGATTCGGACGGTGAGCCATCACCGAAAAGAAATGCACCTCCTCCCGCCAATCCATCCCAGAAACATAAACAGCCCGATGAGGACTCCAATGATGCACCGGCCACCAGCGATGAACGACGCACCAGCAGGCGCAATCGACCAAAAGTGGATTATAGCAACCGGCCCAGTGGTAGTGGGGAATCCGTCTCGAATGACAAGTCAGGTTCGGGATCCTTGGGATCGAATACTCAACAGGCTGAACGACGTAGCCAAAACCAAAACCAAGCCCGAAAATCGGAGGCAAATGCCACCTCTGTTTCCGGTCCGAACAGCGCTAATCCACGACCCTCGCAGAATGGCGAAGCCAAGGATCGAGATGTGGGCACACCCACCGTTCTATCCGGTCAAGAGGGCGCCGTCTTTCAATCTCGCCTGCCCTTTAATAAGATGACGCCGAACGAGGAGGCTTGCTTTCCGGACATCAGTCGCTCGGGGATTCTGGGCCATCGGGTGTTCCTCAACATCCGGAATAGCCTGCTGCACATGTGGGTGGATAATCCCAAGCTGCAGCTAAGCTACGAAAATGCCCTTAAGAACCTGCCACCGCCCTTTGATAGCGAACCTGGTTTGGTAAGGCGGGTGCACTCGTTCCTCGAGCGACATGGCTTCATCAACTTTGGCATCTTCAAGCGACAACGTCCGATACCCACCAAAAAGCTGGGGAAAGTGATTGTGATTGGCGCTGGGATCTCTGGCTTGGCTGTGGCTCAGCAGTTGCAGCAGTTCGGCATGGATGTGATCGTTCTGGAGGCGCGGGATCGAGTGGGCGGGCGCATTGCCACATTTCGCAAGAACAGTTACATAGCAGATCTGGGCGCGATGGTGGTGACCGGCGTCTATGGCAATCCAATGACCATCCTGAGCAAGCAGATCGGCATGGACCTGGTGCCCATCCAGCAAACGTGTCCGCTCTACGGTCCGGATGGGAAACCGGTGCCAAAGGAGAAGGATGACGTGATCGAGCGGGAGTTCAATCGATTGCTCGAGTCGGCCAGCTACTTGTCCCACCGCCTTGACTTCAATTACGCTGGCAATTGTCCAGTTTCACTGGGCGATGCCCTCGAATGGATCATCAGTATGCAGGAGATGCAGGTCATGCACAAAAAAGCGCAACACATGCAAGAGATTATAGCTGCCCAAACAAAGATCATCGAGCATAGGCGTCGTTTAAAGACACTAAAAGAAAGTATAGCTACGCTTAAAAGTGAGCGACAAACGATGGTGAAGCAGCGAATACCCAAGGGAACGGAGAGCGATGTTAACTACGGACGCCAGGAGTTCAACATACGGAACACACAAATCAAGCTGGAGGAACAGGCAAAGCTCTTTAGCGAACTGCATGAAGAGGACAAGCAAATGGAGGCCAAGCTTCGCGAGCTAGAGCAAAATAGGCCTAGGTAAAAAATAAGAAAGGTTTTGAAGAGTGAAATAGGTTGTAATCTACTTTATATTAACAGCGATGTGTACCTCTCCTCCCGCGATCGCCTCATCTTGGACTGGCATTTTGCCAACCTAGAGTTTGCCAACGCCACCCGTCTGAACAATCTCTCTCTAAAACACTGGGATCAGGACGATGACTTCGAGTTTATTGGCCACCACACCACCGTGCGAAATGGTTATTCTTGTGTGCCAGTAGCTCTTACCGAAAACCTAGACATTCGCGTTAATAGCGCTGTCAAGGAGATTAAATACGGCACCAATGGCGTGGAGGTGGTGGCCGAAAACTTGAAGACCTCCAATTCGCAGATGACGTACAAGGCAGATCTTGCCGTCTGTACCCTCACTTTGGGCGTCCTTAAAGTGGCGGTGGCCCACGAGGAGTCGCAGCAAAGCAATACGGTAAAGTTTGATCCGCCGTTGCCGGACTGGAAACAGCAGGCCATACGCAGGCTGGGATTCGGCAATCTCAACAAGGTGGTGCTCTGTTTCGATCGCATCTTCTGGGATCCTAACGCCAATCTTTTCGGACATGTGGGCAGCACAACCTCCAGTAGAGGTAAGTGGTTAACTTTGCTTGTTCTTGGTTTGATATAAATATTATAAAACAAAACAACAAGACGTAATTGACAAAAACTCCATTAATCTGTAAAATAGATTGAATTCACTTTGTAAACATTATAATATTTCCCTTGTGTTTCAGGGGAAATGTTCCTGTTTTGGAGCATTAGCTCATCTCCGGTGCTGCTTGCCCTGGTCGCCGGAATGGCAGCCAACTTAGTGGAGAGTGTGACTGATGACATTATAATCGGTCGGTGCATGTCAGTGCTGAAGAATATTTTTGGAAACACCTCTGTTCCGCAGCCGAAGGAAACGGTCGTCACGCGGTGGCGCAGCGATCCATGGGCGCGTGGCTCCTACAGCTACGTCTCCGTGGGCTCCTCCGGCAGTGATTACGATCTGCTGGCGGCGCCAGTCATTCCGCCTTCTAGCAAAGAGGCGGAAGGATTACCACGCCTCTTCTTCGCCGGCGAGCACACGATACGGAACTATCCGGCCACAGTGCATGGTGCCTATTTGAGTGGATTGCGGGAAGCTGGACGAATTGCGGATTACTATCTGGGCTATCCGGAGGGAACGCCAGCGGATATCGGCTACTCGGTGGCCGAGGCGGCCAACTCGGTGTCCGTGGGAAACGTGGTCAAGCTGCGCGATCTCTCGCCCAATCTATCCGACTCCCCGTCGTCGAAGAAGTCGGAGGAAAACTCAAATTCAAACACTGCCGACTCCACGGAGCTACAGTAACCATGTATTTAGCTTGAAGAACTTGGGCCCCGCCATTTACTTCTAAAGCGTTTAGTTTTTGTATCATACAAACTTGGGGCTCGCTGTTAAAAACTAAGCTAGACCTATGTAAATACCTAAGACTATTCCACTACACATGATGGACTATTATGAGTTACCATTCAACCAATTATTTTATTATTAAGATCAAAATAAGCAATAACACTGAACATAGCAAAAACTTTTCAACGTTTCTTTCAGTTCAAATCTTCTTTTAGGGCGTCTCTATCCGTGCAACGAATCCAATTATCTTTCGAAACTTGTTCAACTTGTTTTGATGCGTGTAACTATTTATAAAGTGAAAAATAATTGCGAAACATAAATGTTTAAAAAGGTAAACCCTTTAAGTGTAATTGTCAAATATATGTTAGATAACTACATAAATTCAGATTAATTATGAGGATTCTGAAAAACTATTTAATTACGAAAAGTGAAATAAATTTTATTTAGGTTTATTTATCAACTAATTGAACATGATTACTAGCGACTTTTTAGTTTAATTTTTGGTTTAATTTCCTGGGCTTATTTTTGTAAACATGTTTCTTAAAACTTTAAGAAAGTATCTAATCCGTTAGATTTAAGAAAAATGCATTTACTATAAACCTACTATTGAAATTTACCTTTTAAACTTTTCTTATACTTTTGCATGGAACTCCAAAGGAGATCAAAAAAGTTAATATTTGAGAGTGCATTGTGGCAGAAAAAACTAAACACAACTATTTTATTGTTATTACGAATAAAGAAATTGTGTAAGTAGAAAAATATCACAGCAAAATGCAGTTTTCTAAGTGTTTTCTAAATATTTTTGCACAAGGAAAGGAAGTGAACGGAAAGCATCATACCTTCCAAGTAGCGGGTATCAGAAAGCGAAAACTATTTTGTTTTGGGTCTTTCGGGCAGTTGGGCAACCGCAGTCGCGCTTCTTTCGAAATTGGTGTCGGTTCAACGACCTCCACAGCTCGCTTTCAATGGCAACGAAAGCTAAACCTTAACCGTCGAAAGCTCCCGCCTCCTATCATCCACAAAAATAGGGGGCCTCCTCGGGAGAAAAGCTCGAGCCGAGTGCACCGATCGTTCGTTTTGGAGGGGTGAGTCCATATCATTAGAACGGGTTAGAATCGATCTTCTCAGGGGGCTTGTAGTATAGTATTTGCGAGCTTTTTTGGCGCCGTGCATATACCACGATTGTCAAGTTCAATGGCCGATACGTTAAAAAAAAACAATGGTAATAGACTCAAAAAGCTTTGGGAATCGTTAGGGCAAAAGTTAGATTTTGCTCAATCGCTTGCTTGTTTTTACTACTACTACAATTGGCTTGCACATACGAGAAAGTCCATCGTCATTGTATGTTTGCATTAGAAGTGGCCTTGAGTTGGGTCATCGACCGAAACTACTCACATTTATTCCACTGACGTTGGATTTAATAATAGAGCACTACGGGAAGTGCACTATCTTTAGGGTCTATTGGTTTATTTTGTGCAAACCTTCTGGAATGGGGGCATTATTGGGGTTTTCAAAATTAATAATTATACTTACTTTAAGCACATATTGGTATTATTTTAATGCGCAACAGAAAATCCTATTTCTGCAGCAAACTATAAGAAACAAGTTAGATTATATGTAAAGTTTATCATGTCCTAAATTTTAATATGCCCTTAATTTTTAAATAATATGCTTAAATTTCAATTATGTTTCAGATTTTGTAAAGTATTTTAAAGAATGTTAAATAACATATCACGGTAAGAAGCTTTGGGGAAAACATCAGAAGGGTACTTCCCCTAAAGTTTATTGCTCTTTCTCAGTGACGCAATTTTGACATTTTAATGTTAATGCTTCCAAATTTACTTACAATACAAAAAAGGTTAGTTAAAATTCGTATTTTTGTATTATTTTTTATTACCTCTTTCTAAATTTTGTTGTTATTTAATTTTTAGAAAGGCCACAGAAACATTATTATTATTGAAATATTATTTGCCTAAATTAATGTGAGATGTTCATGATTTTAAGATTAGTATTCCATTGAATAGCCGAAAAGCGATAAGTTCCCAGAACATTAAACTATATAAGATCTGGAGTTCCAAAGCAATAAGGATACCTTTCTTATCACCAGGTCACATGGTCTTCTCCATCATCATCGCCCACAATGCAGCAAAACTAACGCGAAGCTTTTGACGTTGACGAACTATAAAAGCCGGAACACCCGCTGCAGTGTTTCAGTTGGAAAAATAGATTCATCAGCGAAGCTTCACAACCAGGTACCTAAAATGAGCGAGAGCGAGCTTTCAAGCGCCGTGACCAATACGCTATTGGAGCTCTACCAACGCCAAAATGTTCCCATCGACTCGCAACCGATGGCAGGAGTTGGGGAGAACGCCTACGGACAGGTCCTTCGAGTGAGTTGGCCAACGATTTCCGAGGCCGCCTCTGTGGTCGTGAAAATGGCGCCGAAAAACGAGGCCCGAAGATCCCACATGCATGTGGTGGACTACTACGCAAGAGAGGTGTTCATGTACCAGGAGGTATTCCCCATCTTCCGGGAACTTTCGCCGAACCGGAATATGTTCACCGTAGCACCTGCTCTACAGGCCAGTGGCCTGAATGCTCCCGATGAGTTCCTTATCTTCGAGGATCTATCGGTATCTGGTTTTAGGCCCAACTCGCGAAGCACGATGCCCACTTTTGACATTGTGATGTGCTCTCTGAAAGCTCTGGCGGAGCTCCATGCCTGCTCGTTTATCCTGCAGAAAAGAAATCCTTCGAAGTTCAAGGAATTGGTTGAGTTCGTCAAGAAGGATAATTTATTTACTTCCGAAATTGAGGAGGTCACCATTGAGTTTGGAAAGGCTCAGCTGCGAAGAGCGAGAAATATTCTGGAAGCATCGGATGGAGATGAAGTGCCTGCTCTAAAAGAAGTACTGGAACGCTGTGAGAATCATCTGAAGTCCTTGGCACTTTATTGCGTGGATGGTAAATCGCAGGCACCACACTCGGTTATATGTCACGGAGATTTTTGGAATAATAATATTCTCTACCGACATGAGGTAATTAAAACTAATATATTTGAAAATATATAAATATATTATTATTTTTAATTTAATAAGCACTATTTTTGCTAAGATACATATCTTTCATTACAATCTGTCCTACAAATTACAAAACATTTTGCTATATTCCATTCATGCCTTGTTAGATACTAAAAATGCATCACTAAATTGTACATATTGAAATTTTCGAATCCCTTTTCTATAACCTCCAGCCGCATCATAATCAAGCCGTGGAGGCTAAGCTGATCGACTTTCAGATGTCCCGATATGCACCGCCAGTACTTGATATAGTCCACTACCTGTTTTCCTGTACAGAGAAGCAATTGAGGGATGAACATTTCCCCACCTTTATGAATACTTACTACGACACACTGGACCAGAAATTAGCATCGTGTGATCTTCGTATTGAGGAAATATATCCTCGCAAGATCTTTGATCGGCAGTTGCAACTTTACGGAGTTTATGGCTTGATAATGGGTGCACTTTCCCTGCCCTTTTTCGTTTCCAATGCTAATGAGGTGCTGGATATCGACACCGTTTCCGAAGCAATTCAGGATCTTTCGACATCATCCGAGGAATCCAAATACCAAGAGCTGATTGAGGAATTCGATATGCTCAACGGCCGCACATTGCCAATCTTCAAGCGCCGAATTACTGGTATTGTCAAGGACTTGGTCAAGTACGAAATGACTGAGCCACTATTTTCAATGGATTCCTAAAGAAGTAATTCAGTATTATATAACCAAAATAAACAAGAACATTTCCATAAAAGATATGGATATAAACACCGCACAATTTAAGCCAAGCGTTTGCCAGTATACAGATGTGATTTTTTTTTCATATTTATTCAGGGAACTCTATGATTCTACAAACTTACAACTTAAGTTTAAATACGCATAACAAAGGTTGTCAACTAAAATGTCTGCGATTGGATGTTTGTAACTAAGGTTAAAACTAAATATGTACAACTCCTTAACTATAGTGATGATTACGTCGGTTCCCTAACCACATTCGGTAGCGAAACACAATTTGATTGTTTGCGGGAGAATGATCCTCTTAAAAGATCCTACAAAATAAAACTTAATTTGAACTTTTGCGAAAAGAATGTTAAAAGCAATTTCAACGAAACAGAAATATTATTTTCTTTCAAACTAATGAGTGTGATTCTACTCTATTATTTAGTACTTCAAGTTCCATATATGTATATATATATATGATATAATGCGCGGCTATAGCTACATGTATAGCTATTTACATGGCATGCATTTTGCGTAGTCCAAGAATAGACTCTATCTTAATATTATGGCCTACATAGTACAATATGTGTCTTGCACTTTAACTAAGCATATGCGTGTCATCTCGTATAATAAAATAACAACTCATTGAGTTTATTGCAGCAATACGTGGGCTTGGCGTGTTATTATGTCCTAATGTCCAGCACTTGGATACGTAATGAGGAGTCCTTCTTGATATTGGCTCTCGATGCTGTTGGCTTCTACTGCATGACCTCCCGGAAACGCTTCTGTCGCTCTAAACTCTCCACTTCAGCCCAGCAGTTGCGCATGTTGCGGAAGAGCTAAAATTGTACATTTGGGGTGGATAAACATTTTTAGAAAAAAATTCAGAAAAGTAGATAATTTGAGGTTCTACCTCATCGATCCAATTGTGTTCGGCCAGCAGATCGTTTAGTATTTCAGTGGAGGTCTTCCCTGGGAACTGTTGCTGCTGCTCCGTCACTCGTTGCGAGCAATTGATGAACAGATTGAATTTTTCGTGTGCAATCTTGTGGAAGAGATCAGCACGAGCGGCACAAATGCGACATAAAACAATGTCCTAAAAATAAACAAATCATTAATATAAATGAGCATTTAAATTCGAATTAATTTACACATAATTAGTAATAACAACGAAATGAAAATAATTTCACACATATTTACCTTTTCGTATACTATACGCGGATCCACGGGTATGGTCTGCATGGTATTAGGATTATACGGCTCTCCGAAGAGTAGGAAACGCACAGCGATGCCTGGCTGATGGCAGCCGGCGCAATTCTTCTGGGTAAGATTGTTTTGTTCCCACTCGGAGAACACATGGCACTTGGGCCAAGTCTCAATGGAGGAGATGGTACTCCGCGTCCAAGGAGTTATGGCCAGCAGCTTGCGCTTGCAGTTTTCCATGATGGTGTCCACCACGCGCACGCTTCCCAAAAAGTAGTCGTCTGACAAACGAAATATATGTTGAATGAGAATATATTATATTTGCATATGTTAATCCAGTCTTACCTTTTTCCCGCGTTATTTCCGAGAAGAAGCTCGGATCGAGAGCTTGTGAAATCATGGTCTGAATGTAGATCTCAAAATTGTCCCTGTAGGACAGGTAGTCCTCCATGATCTTCTCAATAAATTGCTCCGTGTCGTCGGCCAGCAGCTCGGATCGCATGAACTCGACAATTGTCTCCGTGTGGGAATGCAGCTGAATGCGCACCGGTGCCTTGAGGTAGAGTTTCTTCGTTTCGAGATTCCATGACGCGTACTAAAAACCAAATCAATGCATTAAAACGTATTTAACAGATATAGAGGAATCCCTGAACGCACCTTTGACATGTTACGATAGAAGGTTTTTCCGTTTTGACGGAAGGGCTCGTACTTTTGCAAAATGCACTTGGAGTCTACCTGCCAAATGGTGGGCCAATCGTTCACCAGATCCGAACGCAAAACTATAAAGTCGCCCGTCTGGAAAATCATTTTATAGTTTACAAGAATTTTGGTTGTAAAGATAGCTACCCACTTTAAAGTTCTCCGAGTTGGCCGCTGTGCCCGACGATGCACTGGCATAGCCCACATCCGACACTCCGGACATGTTCTGCTGTGAATTATAGTTGGACTCGCCGCCACCGGCAAGTTGTTGCACCTGTTGCTGTTGTTGCTGCTGATGATGTTGCTGGTTGACCTGCATCTGCTGCAGTTGCTGGTGATGTTGCTGCTGCTGTTGTTGTTGCGACTGATGCTGGAGATCCGAACCATGATCGTAGGTGTTCTTGCGCGGTGTGCCCTTTGACCGTCGTGCCAGCTTTCGCTTGCCATAGCCCTTGCCATCATCGCTCTGCGTGTGAGGAAATGAGGGTTTTTTTGTTTTTTGAAGCAGAGGTTACGAGACCGGAGGCGAAACACTTACGTCTTCCTCCTGCGGAGTCCACACGGGATCCGTGTCCGAGTCGGTGAACTCCTCCGGCTCGCCGATGACTCCACTATCGCCGGCAACGGCGCTCGAGTTCATGAGCATGGCGTGCATGCTGCTCTGCTTGGCCTTGCGGGAGCATTGCTCCCGTCGCGGCGGCACGCTTAATGGGTCTGTGGAGAGCACAAAAGTGGGGGGGTTAGCAACATTCAACTGGACTTAGGGGGTGTACCCCGCGGGCGGCACAAACGGAACAGGACGTGAGATCCACCAAAATCAACAACAACAACAACATCAACGACATCGTCAACAACTAACAACAACTAACACACCAGCAACACCATTTCCCACGGCCATGAAGGAACACCAGCACCAGCACCTGGATCGAAATCGCAAAAGGCACCGGGACGGGACTCTCTGATCCGTCTTACAAGTACAAATAATAAAAATACACGGTTTATTTGGGTTTTTGAAAATTAATAATATTTGTTCTTCTCGATTTCATCTCAAAAATACTTCATACTTTTGTTCATGGGATTCTCCTTTTGTTTGTTTGTTTTGTTTTTTTTTTTTTTTTTTGTTTGCTCTTTTAACAATTTAAAAGTAAGCGTTTTCCTTGTTTTTTTCTTTTTGATGTCATTATGGTTGTTTTCTTAATTTTTTTTACATATACACACCGTCCAAGGGTCTGTCTAGTGGTCACTAGATGACTGTCTGTCGTCTGTCGGCTGTCTGTCCGTGTGGTGTGGGTGGTAATGGTTGTGGTTGTGGTGGTGGTGGTGGTGCTGCGTGGGTGGGTGGTGCTGCTGCTACTTATTTTTTGGCGGCCGCTAGTGCTGCCATGGCCACAGCAGGTTTATAAAGTGATGAGGATTCGGCGCTGGTGCTGGCGTCGGCGTTGTTGCATTCGAATTCGCTGTTGCATTCGCGCTGGCTGGCGTGTGGTGGTGATTGTTGTTGTTGTTGTAGTTGTTGCATGGCGTGGAAGTAGCGATAGTGGAGTGCTTATTGGTACTATGCTGTTGGTCAAGTAACATACCTTGACCCGCTCCAGCTGTCAGTTGGGCGCAATGCTGCTGCACAAAGTGTTGTCCGCTCATCGATTGCTGTTGCGCCTGCGCCTGTTGCTGTTGCTGCTGTGCCTGCTGCTGCTGCTGCTGTTGCGCCTGCTGCGCATATGGCCGGAAGGAGGTCTGATCCCCGGGCTGCTGGATCACAGACGACGGTGCTGATTCCGCCGCCGCTGCAGCAGCCACCATTTGGGCGTGCGGACGCTTCTTGGGGAGTATCTGCGTCTGCGAGAGTATTTTGATGCGATGCCCATCATCGCCCACGAGTCCCGTGAGCCCGTCGACCGCCACCTGGCCACCATCCCCCGCCGCTTGTGTGGCCTGCGAGGTGGTGGGCTCATCGGTGCCGCTGCCCGATCCTTTTCCTTTCCGCTTGTACGGTGCTCGTGGGTAGTTCAACTTCCGCGATGGCTTCACCACCGGCGGCGGATCGTCGTCCCGCTCGCCCTGCAGAAACTTCAGATAGCTGTCCATGAACTGCGTCTTCTTCTCCCCGATCATCGTGCCAACGCTCACGGGTTTCGGAGCGGCAGGACTGTACGATGAGGGTGCACTGGCTCCACCGCTGGTCGAAGGCGTTGCAGGCGTGACCACCGGGTGACCATGGCCATTGTTAGCGGCATGCGAATTGGGCGCACAGTTTGACGGCTCCGGCGACGGAGTCTTATTCGGATTGCGTATCCCAAAGTTGGTGTTGTTCGTGGAGGAGTTAGTGCCGCGTCCATTGCTCGATAGCGAATTTGCGTAGCCCTGCTTGGGTGCACTCGTGGCATCGGCCAAAAAGTCCAGCTCCTCCTCGATGTTCGGCACTATAACCTTATTGCTGGCCGCTGCTGCTGCCGCCGCCGCTGCAGCCGCCGTCGCCTCCTCCTCCTGCTGCTGGGCGGCCTCGCTCTTCTCCTGGCGTTGCTGTTGCGCCTGCTGCTGCTGCTGTTGCGTGTACGCCTGCTGGTGCTGTTGCTGCGTGTAGGCCGCCTGCTGTTGCTGCTGCTGCTGCTGTTGTTGCTGCTGCGCCTGCTGCTGTTGCTGCTGCTGCTGCTGCATGCACGCCGTGTACTGGGAGGCAATGGGCTGTGGGAAGGCTGGATAGTATTGCGCCAACTGGGTCAAATGCGACTGGGCCTGCGAGGATTGCAGATGAGCGGGCTGCGGTAAGTGTTGCTGCTGCTGTTGCTGCGCCTGTTGCTGTTGGTGCTGCTGCTGTTGGCTCTGCTGCGGATATGTGGGTATATTGATGGTGGCCGCCGGCGACACGGACGCCGCATTGTTCTCCGTCTTGAGCGGAGTGTTCCACTTGCTGTTAAAGTCGTAGTACGTATTCTGCTGCTGCTGTTGCTGATTGTGCTGCTGTTGTTGCTGCTGCTGTTGCTGCAGCTGATGGTGCTGTGGCTCCTGGGGACTTCGCACGTTGCCGTAGTCGCTGCTGCTGGGGATGAGCGTTTTCTTCGGCTGGCGCTTGCGCGGAGTCTTCGCCGGCTTCGGCGGCGGCTTCACCTCCTCCTGAAAAAATGGAAAAGAAGATTAGAAAACTCAGCTTCAGCGGAAATCATTAGCGAACAGCACACTATCAATAGCTTGGACATTGGGAACATTAGAGGAACGTTTGGTAAACATTTACACTGGCTGATAAACAACGGGTTGCTCCCAGAGCATTTTTTTTGTTTTGTTTTGTTTTTTTTTATGTGGGGACTTAACAACTGGGCTGCGAGCAACAAACGTGATTGGTGCTTGGGTTTACCCTCATTAAGAATTGGATCATACCATTACAACATAACGTCACAGTTTCAAAGTGGCCACAGGACTTTAAATTAGAGAATTAGTTAGCAGTATTTTAAGCAGTTTTGTGTTAAATCAAAAAGGATAATTTAAATAAAGCGTATAACAAAAGGCCAAAAAAAAAAAAAAAAAGCTTCCACCAAAGTCCAAGATATATTCAAAAAGGCATGCATTACGATAAACATAAAATGAATAAAAGTTGTTCTAAAGGTTTTATATTTGCAACAAAACTAACAAAGAAAAAAAAATACATTTTTGTAAATACATATTTTAAAATAAGCAGAATGTAGCTCATTTAAAAAAGGGAAATAGGCACTACATTACTTTTTAGATAATGAACTTGGCTTGGCAGAGATTTTAAGAGAATAGAACGAAAGGCACATAAACCAAAATAAAGGCAGAACACAAACGAAATAAACAAATAGGAACGGAAATAAAATAAATGACATACAAACCTTTGGCACTACTTGAATCTGTGACGCTAAGTTGCCCGCCGCCGGCGACATGATCATGTTGGCCACCACGTGCTGTCGCCGCCCGGAGGACTGGGATTGGTTGGGATTGTGCTCCTGCAGCTGCAGTTGCTCCCCATCGACCACCACGCCAGCGGGATAGAAGGTTTGCTTGATTTCCAGCCCAGGCGGCAGGTTGAAAACTAGATTCTCGCCACCACCGCCGGCGTCCACTGAGGATGCCTCACTGGCAAAGTCCAGTTGCCGCTGCTCCTGTTTCACCTGCAGCTGCAGCACATTCTTAATATCCTCCGACCCCGCTCCGTCGTCCTCCAGCTTCGTCCAGCAGAGGCTCTGCTGCTGCTGCTGTTGCTGATGCTGCTGCTGCTGTTGCTGCAGGGTGCTTTGTATCACAGATGAGTAGGCTACCGTTGTGGGCGTGACAGCTGCAGACGATCCAGCGCCTGCCTCCGCTCGCCTGTGCACCGGTGACGCCGTCTTGTAGACGATCACCTGGGCCTGCGGTGTGCTGACCACGTCCACCGCGTGTAAATTCGTTATCGGCGATCCATCGGCGGAGCTCAGTGCCGGACTGGCATACTGGACCGGATAGGATCCCACCGGAACTGGCACCGCCAGCGATACCGGACTGGCCTCCTGTTGTTCGACTATCGTCGCCCGAAACGGCTGGCCATCCTTGCGCGTCACCTTGACCTTTCGGCCATCGATCGTGTAATAGGTGTCCGGTTCGGGCTCCGTTTCGGTGATCTCCTGCTGCAGTTGCTGTTGCTGCAGCTGCTGCTGCTGTTGTTGTTGTTGCTGCGCCGCCGCTTGTTGTTGCTGGTGCTGCTGTTGTTGCAGTTGGATCAGGTAAACGGAGTCGTTGTAGGCTTTTAATTGCTTTTCCTGCTTAATCTGCTACAGCGCACCGTACATAGATTGAATCGGAATCGGAAAGTGTTTGGTTTGGGTTTGATTCGACATAGAGGAAGGCTAGACTTAGTCTAAGCTTTAATGATTTTGATTCGGGGGAATTGGGTGGTTAAATGTTAGTATGCGATAAATGCGATAGACCCTGCAGGGGTTTTAATGAGTGGGTGTGTGTATGTGTATGTTTTGTGCTTCCCCAGAAGCCATTTTATTGAGGGAGTGGAGTGATCTGCAAGCCGAACAAAAGGAAAAAAAAAACAAAAGAATCCTACTCACCACTTTGTCGGCCACCAGATTGAGCTGTTGCTGTTGTGCCTGCTGCTGTTGCTGCTGCGCCTGTTGCTGTTGCTGCTGTGCCTGTTGCTGCTGCTGCTGCGCCTGCTGCTGTTGCATGGCCAGGAAGGTGTTCGATATCATGTTCGGCGTATTCCAGGTCAGCGACGTGGACGTCAGCGCCACCGTTGTCGGCGATGGCGATGCTCCGCTCGACGACGAGTTCTCCCCGTAGTAATTCGAGGCCACATTGTTAACCACAGCGGCCGCTGCCGCCGACACGGCCGCCTGATTCTGGAACGTGCTGAGCTGCTTGTCCAGCGAACTGGGCAACTGCAGCTGGCGGTGCGGCGTGCTCACCGCCGATGAGGCATAATGGGCGGGCTTCGGCTGGACACTGGCCGCCGCCGCATGGTGGTAGATTTGCTGGAATACTGGGTTGTAGCTGCCAATCGGCGACGGAGGCACAAAGCTGCCGCCACTGGCGGCCGCCGCATTAAAGCTCGCAATGCTCGCGGCCGTGATGGTGGCCAGGTGTGGATGCTGGAAGTCCTCCGCTGTTCCGCCGGAGCTGCCAGCGCTAGCGGGCACGATGCGGTTGTAGGCGTACGACCACGGGCTCGAGTTGGGATCCATGGTTGGCTTGGAGACTTCTACTGCTGCTGGCTGGTTACTGCAATGTAAATCATATTGTTAGTGGGTTTTGAAAATCTATAAAATAATTCAGGATATTCTAGTTCTATTTTTTTTATTCTTCAATTGTAGGTTACTTCTAAACATTATTTTTAAACTGTTATACTGTTTTTTTTTTAATTTTAACTGAAAATCTATTTCCATTATAGAAAAAGCCCGCCATCATATTTTAATAGTGATAATTTAAAAATTCGGTACAGTTTGAAGAAGCTTTTCTTTCTAAACATCAGGTTGGTTTCACTATAAAGATACAAAACTATTTTTCTGATGTTTTCCTATAATATATGGCGCCAACAAAATAAATTCTAAATAATATTAAAGTCAAAAGACTTCATATAATAGTAATTAATAATTAATAATAATAATCTGTATTATTGATGATATTTATTATTCCAGTTTAAGATAAAATATCGATGGTTTTTGTTTATAAAATAAGTGCATTTTTCATTAACAGTTGACTTTGTGAAACTCAGTTGGTTTCAAAAAACAGGAACTGGGGTGTTTGTGTCCATACTTTTTTGCACTCATTGTTTCCCCCTTTTTTTTTTTTTTTGTATCCCTTTTGGCCACGATGCGCTTGGTTCCCCCTTACAAAATTTGGCGTCTGTATTTTGTGTCTTGGCGCTCGACGGAAAAAAAGCCCGCATTTTTCCAACTAAATCGATCATGGGTTAATTGAATTCTCACTTATAACTTGGAACTATGAATTATTCACATTTCTTGAGGTTTTTTACTGATTTTGGCAATGTTTTTCTGGCTAGGAATAGGATTTTTTTCCCGTATTTTCCGCTTGTACATATATGTATCCATGCACACAAACACATACTCACACACACGGGCGTACATGCGTGCGTGTTGGAAGACAGTCACTAACTTTTAGTCGTTATAGAATCGGAACTGTTGGTCTTCTCGGGCCCAGCATTATCTTCACATCGGATTGCACAACGCTCCAGTGCACGAGCGGAATTTATGTTTAATTTTGGGGCGCAACGTATTTTTTTTAGAATCGGTGCATAACTTTTTTGTGGATGAAACAATCTCCAAAATGGCCGCTCTGCTGCCAGTGAAAAATGAACTACTGGCTCAGGTGAATAAAATGCCAATATGAACTAGTTCGCTGGTTCGCGCGGCGAGTGTTTATTGTTTGTTTTGCCGTGGTCGCTTTTTGTCTACGTTGGAGTTTGAAAAATATTGTTTTTGCTTTCGTGTTTTTTGTCAGGTGAGTGATTCAAATGATAAGTTGTTATCTGACGAATAATTCACAATAGGAAGTTTAACAAACTGACTTGATTCACATGTGCTGCGCCATGGTCCCAAGTGTTGTATAATACCCTTTTCATTGTAATCACACTCAATTTGGTTGTTGTTTACCATTAAGTAAGTGCTTATGATATTTATTTACATTTTATGAGCACTGATTAAGGCACATTTGATTAAATATAAACAAATTAATTGCTAGTCGGCTCCAAGCTGTACACACTCCACTCACGCGTTAACTAACACTAAGAAGTGGAACTAGTTGATTTAAATGACCCAGTAGCCAATTTACATTTACCCAATGATAATGCTGTTGTTTGAATTTAGCTCAAAAATGTTAGGTTATTATTTACTTCAGTTATTATTTAATTATTATACTTTTCATAAAAAAAATAAAACTAAACAAAACAAAGCATCGAAATTTGTAAATTTTACAACACTGTTTTAATAAATAATGATAAATAAGGACCCCAGAGGCCAATTTGAATTGGATAAATAGTAGTTTCTTTTTAATAACTTAAAAAAAAAACAAACTTTAAATCCTGTTGTTTTAAACTATTCAAGCTACTGAATGAAATATTAAATTGAGTTCGGTAAGCCATTATTTTATATGTTAATAAATTTAAAAACTAAGCATTATATAAATTTGTTGATTTGTTAAACATGTGTAATAATTTTTTAATTCTTAACAAGATGAACCGAACTAATTGAATTAAAATATATTGAGTTAAAAAAAAACAACCATTTCACCTTCCCGCGATATGTGAATTTCTATTCAACACTGTTTTCGGCGGAACCAGTTCGATAACCTGCTGTTTTATTGTTGGTTCACTTGCTAATGACAGTCATTTTACGTATTCATTGCTAAAAGAAAACTGAAAAAAATACATTTGCCCGAGTTTCCGGTTAGTCATCCGCCCACATCGATCTTCATTTAGGCCTAACCGAATCAAAGGAGAGGTGCGTAATATCCATGAACCGCGGAACCAGGTGGAAAACCGCCCGCAGCTGGTTGCTCCTCTGCGTACGTGTTAATCTGGGTGAGACGCCCACTAAATCGCAATCACAACATTTCTAGAGCACATCACCATGGACTTTGGAGACGATTTCGCAGCCAAGGAGGAGGTGGATCCGGCGGCCGAGTTCCTGGCGCGCGAACAGTCTGCCTTAGGAGACTTGGAGGCGGAGATCACGGGAGGATCCGCTCCAGCTTCGGCTCCTGCTGCAGCCGCTGCATCCACAGACGAGGGCTTGGGGGAGCTCCTGGGAGGAGCTCCATCTTCCGAAGGCGATCTCCTCTCCGCTGGCGGCGCCGGCGGTCTGGAATCCTCAACGGGCAGCTTCGAGGTCATTGGCGGCGAGTCCAATGAACCTGTGGGCATTTCGGGTCCACCGCCCTCGCGGGAAGAACCCGAAAAGATACGCAAATGGCGCGAGGAGCAAAAACAGCGACTTGAGGAGAAAGACATTGAGGAGGAGCGGAAAAAGGAGGAGCTGCGGCAGCAATCGAAGAAGGAGTTAGACGATTGGCTGCGTCAGATTGGCGAGTCCATATCGAAGACCAAGCTGGCGTCGCGCAATGCCGAAAAGCAGGCCGCCACCCTGGAGAACGGCACCATCGAACCCGGCACCGAATGGGAGCGCATAGCCAAGCTGTGCGACTTCAATCCCAAGGTGAACAAGGCGGGCAAGGATGTCTCCCGCATGCGATCCATCTACCTGCACCTCAAGCAGAATCCCATCCAGGTGCAGAAGAGCACCTAGGTAGTTTTAATTACGCACTCGCCTAACCACACATTGAGTTGAATATAAAAATTATTATTGAAAGTATTCGCTGTATATTCCAATTTATGATACATAAAATATTATTATTGCTGCTGAAACATAGCTGCGATCATCGTTTTGTCTAATGAATGCAATAAAAAATGTGCACACAGTTGTCCCGCTTTCCTTGACTATAGAATACCCATCACACAAAACACAAGAAAAACAACACTGGATATGATAAAGTTAGGAAAAGAACAAATGAAAAATAAAAATTAAAATATGACAACTGAATTGGTTCTCTTTTGTTTATACCACATCGATATGGGTTATATTTTTAGAAATTATAATAACGATTATTATAAAACGTAGAACGACATTTTATTAAAACCAGTTTTATTCAATCTTTATTAGCCTTATCGCTGAAATGTGCCACAATACGTACATACAACTTTTTAATTGTATATTTGTGTTGGAAATGTCAATGGGATGTATATGTATAATACTCATTCAAAAGATTAAGAAAATAAACAATAAAAGCTGGAGTTGTAGAGTTGTGATTCAAGAAGTCTGGCGACTTATCCATTAAACGGAAACTACCCAATTATGTGAATGAAACATTTCAATCAATATTAGTCTTTCGAGTCGTGAAAGATTTTCATTTTAATTCATATTTTTTTTATTTATTTTAGTAAAATGTCCGAAGAAATATCTGCTCAAAGCACAAGTGGCCCAAAGACTGAATCGCCGAAAAACCACAAGAGAAAAGACTATTTGCACTGGGATGACTACTTCATGGCCACTTCCTTGCTGTCAGCAAAACGCAGCAAGGATCCTGTGACCCAAGTGGGTGCCTGCATAGTTGACTCGCATAATCGGATAGTGGCCATTGGCTATAACGGATTTCCTCGCAACTGCAGCGATGACGAGTTTCCTTGGTCAAAATCCAAAAAGAAGTCCGTGGACTACGATCCGCTGGAGGACAAGAAGATGTACGTGGTGCATGCGGAGGCCAATGCGATCCTCAATGGCAACGGCATGACTTTGGCTGGAACCCGTCTTTATACGACTCTTTTTCCCTGCAACGAATGCGCCAAACTTATTATACAGGTAATCCCAATATATAGTATTAATAATATATTATTCCAAACAAAAATAAATACAAGTTTTACAAATTTTAACAACCATAATGAATCATATAAATTACAGGTGGGCATTGCTCAGGTGCTCTTCTTGTCCGACAAGTATGCAGATAAACCCACATATAGAGCTTCAAAACGAATGTTGGATGCAGTGGGCGTGGCCTACAAACGCCACGTCCCCCGACAGAAAAGTATCGTAATTGATTTTGACAACGTTATAGAAGAGGATCCGAACGCATCGCTGGGCCTAAATGAACTTCACTTGTGATGACGAATTGATGTACTGTTTTTAAATTATTTGTTAGTATGATTGTGACATGTTTTTAAAGAACATTTATTTTCTTTCATTTAGACAAATTGTAAAAATGATTAAATTAAAAAAAAAGGAAATGACTTACACAATAAAACAATTTTAACTCATTTAATTGGCATTTGCTATACCAAAATAATAATATGAATGAATAAATTCGGAAAAGAAAAAAGTTGTGAACAAGGGGAGCTATTTATCATACTTAAAAGCATCTGCAGCAATATTAAAAAGGTTATTTAACTAGAAATGCAATAAGTATACACTTGCACTAATTGACTTCAAAAACGTGAGGGTTGTCAGGTGAGACTCTTGGCGTGCTCAGGTATTCGCCGGAGACCACGGCGTGATAAAAGTGCCGCACAAAGGTCAAAGGACTGTCTGTTTCAAGGACAACAGATTTTTAATTCTTAAAGTAAATATTACCTTTGAAAAATTTTAGGGAGAATACATTTTACCTGGGTATCAAAATCAATTTGGCATTAGCAAATGGTTTTCTTAGTTTTTTTCACCTCTAAAACATTTTATTGCACCGCATGTCAAGGACCTTGCTAATTCTGTTACTGCCCTACACATTATATTAATTAAGTTAGCCACTTTTGAACTTTGATGTTGTGTTTGCTAAAATTTCGCATGCAGCACTTTTGAGTACTGGACTGAGCAAAATGTTTATGGGATGTTTTTAAATGGCATGCCAGCACGAAGGAGCTCCCACCTGACTTTCGAACCTATTCAGGCGAGTGTGGCGTGCGGCCAACCGGCCATTAGTACTGAAATATGCAAAACAGTCCGCACAACCGGATGAGGATGCCAATAAGAGCACCGCCGAGGACACGCGACCTTTCGGAAATCCACGAGCACTTTGTACTTAGCTTTCTGCACTTCTATCTACAGGCTGTATTTGAACGTGTCTTGTGGATTTTAATATGGATTTTAATATGGCTTTATGGTGATGATAGGTAAAAGCAAAAAACAAATGTCAAATATTTTATACTGTGTGCTGGAGAATATTTTAAAACTGTGCAAAAAGCAGCCGTCTTAAATTTAAAACGAAATTAGTTTTCAAATTGTCTTAATTTTTGTTATTATAAAATTATTCATAGAGATAAGTAATAAATAATTTTAAAACAATTTAAACTGATTTAAATTGGCAATAAATTTATTTGTTAATTTTTTTTATCTTTATAATGCAGCCTGGGGCCTTTATAATATCAAAATTCGGTCTCTGGTACTTTATTATTCCTTCAAACGAATAAACAAAACGGTGCCACTAACTAAAATCCTTCCGGCTTAAAGAGTTACACAGAAGAGGACGTCTGACGAAGAAGTAATCTTGGTATCCGGGCGACTAACTAATCCGCAACCGAATCGACATGTATCGGAAGCATTTCGAATTTCTTCAGTTCAAGGAGACGCATCCGTGGGGGGATTAGTTTCTGAATGGCTATGTGTCTTGTATCTGTGGCCCGGCTTGTTTGTATTCATGAAATGCAGAGAAAGTTTACCGACTGCAGCGGAAACTTGTATCGCACGCACCTTCGCTAACTGAATTCGAAGTGGGCCCGAGCATTCCGTAATCACTAATGGCGGGTTACCCGCCCAGGACCTTAATTGACATTAAAGTTAAAGCTCTGGCTGCCGAAAACCCAAAAGAGGGTCAGCGTGAAGGAGCTGGGGACAGCCCTACTTTTCGGTTTCGTGAATTTCAGCTACAAAATCCCCTCGAGCCTCGAGGACGTAGGCCAAAATCACACCGAGTGGCCAACTGAAGGCTTGGCGGCATGTGGAGTATCCATATACATATACGACACCCATAAAGGCCATGGAACCGACGAAATAATCAATATACAAGGAAGGACCCAAAACAATCCTGTATGTGGTGTGTAAGAATTTTCAAACGATTCAAAAGAAATGCCAAGAAAGGTATCGTGATAACTAAAATAGTTCTTAATAATTTATACTAATCAAACAGGTGTCAAATATATATGGGTCAACAAAAGACAGACAGATATATATTGACAAGCACACTAAAGAATTTAAGGTAGAATAAATATAAAAATATAATAATAATTTTAATCAAACTCTTTAAGTTAAAAACATAAGCAATTTCAAAGCGAATTTACATTTGTTGTTCCTTATAAAGTTATTTAAAAATATATTATATTAAATTTCTTAGACATGCCGGAAAATTATTTTGTAAGCGAACTGACATGGTAAGTTAATTATAAGGAAATGCGACCCAACAGATTATTTATGAGAAAAGTTGTTCAATTAAAGAAGGACATCTCTTTTAAATCCACTTCTTAAATCTATTAGAAATTCGGACCTAATGGCTTTTTGTTGGTTTTTCTGTTTACCATGTCTACTTCTATTTGTAGTTTTTAACTGAAAGATGCATATCATAAATTTAAAATGCAAACACGGAGGACGTTATCAAACTTGGTGTCTTAAGATTAGCATCACTATCCCACTTGCTCTCTTGATACACCGTTAAAAAAATCTAAGTGATAAATAATAATAAACAAGACGAAAACCCATGAAATACCAATTATACATTTACATATTTATTTTGACATCTTGTGTAAACGGAAAGGCCAAAAATATTCTTATATGGTTAATTATTTTCGTTGTCGATTATTTATAATATTACAATTAGAATTAGAATTTGTCTTTAATTTCTTCTTGCTCCTACATTTTTCAGTGTGCTTGGGAGAGAGCGAGAGAGCCTTGCGCAGCCTCCGCTGCAAAATGAACGGGAATGGCAATGAAATGGGGCAATCAGCTGATGCGGCCATCGCTCTTTGTTTTGCTTTTCGGCAGCATGGCGACAAATGGTGAGAGTAGGTGAAAGCGAGAGGCCAGCTGCGACGCCGGCTGAGGCAGAGCAGCGACCGCGACTGCGACTGCGGCCAAAAAGGATTTCCGAGCTTGTGGCCTGCCTTTCAGTTTGTAACGGTATTCCACGCGCCACGGACGCTCGACTAACGGAACGCGACCACCCGTACGTATACGTAATGCTCTCCGCTCAGTACGCGCTATTTCCGATCCATGGCAGCATATGCTTTGGTACCCCTTCTCCCCCTTTATTCCCCCTCTTGTTTTTGGTTATATCTGTCACCACAAGCATTTTTTGTGTGTGGCTTCATTTAATGCCTTTTGCCGCCTTCTTATATGCGGTAAATACATATATATATGTGTATATATTTCTGCCGTTATTGTCGTCGCTGTTTATCTCTCTCTTTTGGACCGATGAAATTTCTGTGTTTGTTTACGCTCACGCCTTTATGTTACGGCCACTTGTGCCGCCCAAAACGGAATGACTGCACATCCTTGATGCCAAAAACTTTTCAACCGAATCGGTTTTTTATTCGTGCTGTTCAATTTAGTGCGTCGTTTGGTAAATTACTAACAGATTCCGTGCATTAAATGGGTTCAAAAATCTAAAATTGACTGCGGATGAGAAGCACTCGAAAATACAGACAAAAAGCACATGCATGCCCATGCGTTCCATACATATAAATAGTACACGGAGCACAAAAATGTCAACAAAAGTTTAAATTAGAATAGACAATGTCTTTCGTCCGTTTTGTAAAATTAATTTTATCATGCCCACCAGTTAAAAGAGTTCTTAAAGGCTTTGTGTCTTAAAAGTTTGTTAAGCCTTGTTGATACTTTCGTGTCTGCCGGCTAAATTCATCTTGGCAAATTAAAAATAGCTGGATCGCTATATTTCAATCCATCAAAAAGTTGTTAGCTGTCGAAAGCGTAGAGCACCATTAAATATTTATTTTAATTGTAAGTAGTTTTTGCAAGGCAATATCTTTCTTATAATTCATATGGTAAATTTTGCACTGTTAAAATATTAATATAGCAAACATATTTTAAATATGTTTCAATATTAATTTAAAAATACCTACCCATTTCCGCCCAGAAAAAGCAGGAGAAATGGTTCAATGAAAATAAAGGGAAAAAAACGAAGAAATACGAAATGTGATGACAGCTCACAGACGAAAAAATTAGACATGCAGCCAATTAATTATAGATAAACGATTCCATTACGATCCTAAGGTGTTTGCCATATGAATTACTTATGGTATTTTCTATTCCACATGAGAAAACACAATATTTGCACAATCCATTTATCCATTTGCTTGTTTGTTTAGTATGTATGAACCTCAAGTATTGTGTTAACGCATATACATATATTTTCTGACCTATCTTTTTCCATTTCGCGGTGGCAAACTTTTTAGGAAAATGAGGACAGGCAAGTGCAGTGTTTTTAAAACAAACAAGAAAAAGCAATAACAAAAGACTTAGCCCAGCAGACTTGGAAAAAAATGTAAATACAAAGTGGCGGGCTTTTAACGTGTGCACAAATTTCGAAAGAATACTTTTGGTGTCTAAAAATGTTCCGTGATTTATTGTGTTTGGTAGGAGAAATTTAATAAATTTACTTTGTTTGCATACTTCAACAACAATTTGACAGTGTAGCAGACTTTTCATTTCAAAAAAGATGCATAATTGTAGAACTACCTTTCTTTTATTTTTACGTAACGCAAGTAAAATCCCTCAAAAGCTTAGTTTATGAATTCGATTTTCTTTTCAAATATTCCCTTTTTCTCTTTTTAGTACCCTTATCCGCCTTTATCTATGCGAATTACCATATCCAACATAGCTTTAGTAACAATTTGTATACCAATTAAAAGAGAAAAGGTTTTTTATTGCATACCCAAACAAGGCAATTTCAAGGCAGTCTAACAAATAGCAAACCAACTAAATATAAACGCAATTTGTTACCTTACATAAAAACCCCCCGAAATATAAAGGTCTTCATAAAAAGAGACGCACGAGACACGTAAGAATTGGATCGGGGATTGAATCCGAGCAGGAATTTATTAGGTCCTTCACATTGTGCCCGCCTCTTGGTTTCATACTCATAATTTGGCCAGAACCTGCCCACTCGGATTCCGGCCAATTGATGTCGGACCGGCGGAAGATTAGCAACCGCCCACCTCTGAGTGGTTGTAAAAGTGAGAATGAGTTTTATGCGCCGCACAGGCAACAAATCTCGTTGACGTTTGGCATTTGATTCCCAGCCTTTTCCTTTCGCTCCCTTTGTTTCCTCGGGATTTCACTGACTTATATTCGTGATTTCGTTTATTCTTTCCACAGTTCGGTTGAGTTTTCTTTTCTTTTCTTTTTTTTGTATTTTATTTTTCGCACGAATTCCCGGCGGCTCTTTTTCGGGGCGACACGCCAGCAGCCCCGAAAAATTCCCCACCATATCCGATTTAATTTTTTTCGTTATGCCTTTCCTTTAGCTGATCCCCAATGTTCCATGGTGGCCGAAACAGTGCGAAGGCAGCTCCTTGAAATTGCCTTGTTTCTGGTGTTTTCTTAACACGAAATGCCAACTGCGAGTCATTTAAATTCGGTACAAAGTTGCGGTAAGATGCTCCCCACCATGTCGGCATGAATTAAGTTGATTGTGCAAAAGTTTCATTGGCGGTCCACGGGAATCAGACGGAAACCAAAAAGCAATTAACTTAAGGCTATTAACCAAGATACTTGGGGAATAAAAGGTCGGATATATTAGAAAATATTTAAGAGGCTTAAGAAAGGTACAAACCACATTGAGGATTTCTTAAATTAAAGGGAAAGACATTTTAGTTAAGTCCTTTAAATCCTTTCCTTCAACAACATAAAGAAGATGGTAAATTAAAAAAAAAAAGAATAGGCAAAATAAACTTAAAAAAGGCTACTTTTTAGGGGTCCCATGAAAGAAATTTTAATTACGCTCGTTAAAAACTCACAACTTCCATTCGTTTATCCAAACAAGATAAGAAATTTAAAGCGCCTAACGAAAATCGATTAAATTAAGCAGTTTAGCTTCCATCCCCCAGGGAGTAAGGTGCCGTCATTTTCACGCCTGATTTGTTAACCAAAACGAAGGCAACTGCGTTGGCATCAGGTCGGTATTTGGATACTTTTCCATGGCAATTAAGCCGCATCCTTCTCTCCCTTTTTTTTGCTGTGCTGCACTGGCACAAAAGTTCTACGCAGTAATTCATCAAATATATGAGTGCTGGTTTCCATTTTAACGTCATAAACGTTTCCCTGCTCAGATTCGTTTTACAGCTTTTCAAATGTTACCTTTCCTCTGCATCCTTTTCAAATTGTATAGTCATCAAGTATAACAAGAAAATAAAAGCTTTCTTTTGAAAAACCTCACTCAACGAGTCGTCACATAAACGATGCAATCAGGCTTATACTTATTTAAGAGTCCTTTTTCACTAAATTTTTAAATCATACTGACTTTTATGTAAGGTTACCCCAACCACTTGAAATGTCCTTTGTAGGATAAATTTAAGTTATGGCTGAAGGAGCTCTTTTCTGAGTGTACTTGGGGTGAATAAATCATGGTTCTCGCAGCTGGCTGGAAATTTTAGTCCATATGGCTGTAGGTGTCGGCTGCCGACGCTCAATCTGCGTTAATTCCCAATTTGGTTTATAAATAAAAAGAACAAATCGGCCCTTAACGATGACGAACATCAGCATCCGAGCTGACATCATTTCGAAGTCGTTAAAACCTTCGTAGTCCTGTTAATGGGCTAATGCCCCAAAAGCGACTTCGGGGCAGTAAAAGTGCAAAATTGAACCGAGCACCTTTATGGGCAGCGCGTGATGCGCCCGAAGGTCCTTGCAGGTCCTTGGCATCCCACCTGTACGTCTGTACATTTGTAGTCCCTGTTACCAGACACGTTCATCCCCGAAAACAAATTGACTACAGCACAGCAACTAATTAAAAGCGTACGCAAACTAAATTACCTGTCGAAGAATTTGAGTGAGCAATTTTGATGACTGACCTTGTGAGTCCCGATAATTAGTTCAATTATTTCCAGGGAGGGAAATAAAAGCACATTAGTGAGACACTCTGCAGAATTATCACAAATGCAAGGAGCTTCTAATGTAGTTATTAAGAAAGGAAACTACTAACAGTCGCTAATTTAAGCCATGCATTTCCATAATTTATTTATATTTATTAACATACCTACATATGAAAATAATAACTGTTGATTTTAATACAATATTCTGTTACCAAGAAAGTTCAAATTGAGATTGATTGATATTTATTACTATTTATACTAAGTGATTTTCGTATAATTGCTACTAATCATTTGTGATAATCTAAGTGATGTTTTTATAATTGCTACCAATCATTTATTATACATTTACTTTTGTACATGTTTAGTATACCAAAAATACGACTCCCCTATTAGGAATACAAGCCCAAACTCAATATCCAATATTGGACAATAAAGAAATTACTGTTTGCCCATACATTTATGCAGCCACCGACTCCGACTTGAAACATTATCTTCGGTAAATACTAACCTAATTGCTGGTGGGCTTTCATAAGCGATGTTTGTGGAACTAAAATGCGGGCAAATTTGCTGATTGTCACACAGGCTGACGTGCAATTTATCGTAATTGAGTCAGGCGAACAATCATTTTTTGAACGCTCCACACACGCACTTGGGGAAAATGCGGAAAATGCTGGAAAATGGACTGGTGGATAAACATCCATGAGTTGCCAGGACCCATTACATTCAGTGTCCGACGTCTGTCGGCCAACTTCTGGTGGCGCTCGCTTTTTGCCAGGGGATTAATGGACAAATAACGTATTCCCGTCTGCAAATGTGCTGGCGGATAATCTCATTATCTTGCTGTCTTGACCCAAAACACCCGGACATCGACCGGCGGCCCGGAAACCGGAAATTGGCCACTAGGCTGTGGTAATTGAAATAAATAGAGTTGGCATTTAGGCCCTTAAAAGAGGGCCATGAATTCTCGGAATCGATCAAATAGGCCTAAAACCTTTTTCGTCACTGCCAACTGCATTAATTGGCTTATATCTTGTGATTCCCAAAATATATACGCACCAAAATTACAATTAGTTTCACCCTCTGGGAATCATTTGTCTTAATTAATTCCAAAGTCTATGTAAATCCTATGTGAGAAGTGTAAAAGGCAATTCAAATTTAATAACTTCAACATTTAAAGAAGAAATCAATCATCTATATTGTAATTTAGATAAGAATTTTATATTGATTCATCTAGAAATTAGCTTATTAATTGGGTAAACCAACAAAGCTTAAATTGCAAAATTATTAAGTCGTTTTTTTATCAAAAGTTGGCATGTAATTATGAATGCTTCTTACAATGGGATGATGATTTCTTCAAATTAGCCAAACTTTTTTCCGTCACTGTCAACTGCCTTAATTGGCTTGAATGGCTGATTCCTGAAGCAAGATAAATGTTGTATTCGTCGTCTTACTTAAGTAAAATGCTTTCCGACTGCGCAAGTCCCCCTCAAATTTAATTTAAAAGTTTTATACAGAAAGCCAAATCCTGTAATTGGGCACCAAAATATGGGCTATAAATTTGGAAAAAATAAATGGACTTAAAACATTTTTCAAGCCATTAAGTGTATTAATTGCTATTGATTTTTTGTTTCGGTCTAGATCTTTGCTGAATTTATGAAGAGGCAACTTGATATCTAATTTATCAAAATATTTGTGTCATCTGTTTTCAGCACAATTTATTTAATGTGTCTGGTCTTCTAAATTGTGCCAAATCACTGCCAAATAGTGATTTATTATTTGGGTCTTCGCCACATTCAATTGCCAAGTCAATTCAAGTGACCAAAAATTTTAAAAGAATTTAAGCCATTTAAGCTGTAAGTCATTTTCACTTTAGACAAATTACATTTCGATAAAAGCCTCACGCCTCGTTTTCCCGCCACATTTACATTTTTTTCCTAACGAAATTTTCGCGAGGAAAGTGCCATTGGGCCAAAGTGCAAAAAGCACAGCCAATGTCTGTGTGTATTGGTCCTTCTTTTTGTATTTTATTCCCAAACATTTCACCTGGCAAACGGTAAGAGGCCAATTTCCATGTCGGCCGGGTGGGAGTTAAGTGTTCTCCTATTTTTCTCAATCTTCGGCAACAGAATGTAATAATTGAAATTTGCATGAGTATTACATTTCAAAGAAACGTTGATAGAGTCTTGCCAACTTGGCAACCAATTCAACAGAATACATTATTCGATGTGTTCAAGTTGAGTGTTTTCAGCTTTAATAGTGGAAGGAAGTAGGCCAAGTTTGCCTCTCCACTATGAATTTTATTATGCTGGGAAAATTAAATTATCTGAGGAAATACAATTTCAATGCAAACGAACTTGATTGTCAATAAAAGATTTAAAAAGGGTTTTAGTAAGTGTAGACTAACAAAAATATACAAACCTTTATGAAGGTTTCCCACACAACTGAAAGGACAACTATTCTGGTTTTTAATGAAAGCATTAGTCTCTTTTAAGCTTATAACTTAATAACCACTCTAGGAAATTAACACGTTTAGGACAACATTTCCTTTGGAAATTCTATTAAGGCTATAAAATGTAATTTACTGAAACGTAATATTTTGCAAGCGAATTGCTTTCATGAGCTCCAAAGGAATAAAGTTGGGCGTCTGCGAAGCTCCACCGGAAAATATGGGATACGGCAAGGAATCGAAAGCGAAACGCTATTCTGGCAAATAAATTCCTGGCCATTCCATTTGGCACAATGTTTCCAGCGATTAATCAATATCACCTGGCACGCTGCCTTTATATTTAGGACGCCCCCTCATCTAGAAAGTCCTTGGTCCTTGGTCCTTGTGCCGCTACAGGTTAGCATTTTAATTTCACACTTGGTGGATTGCCCACTGGTGTGGTGGTGGTATGGTGTGGTGTGGTTGCTGTCTGCCAATGTGGCTGTCCGGGTGGCTTTATGGCTCAATTGGTGAAAATTGGTTTGTTTGTCTGCAGCCACTCAAGGGAACTCTGGCTTCATAGGAGCTGACAGCCACAAAGGACAAAGGACCTCGGGCTCTCGGGCCACTCGGCCATAACCCGTTTCTGGTGAATGGAGCACTAGCATACTATACACATATTTATACTATAGTGGTCGCATATCGGTTGAACGGTTCTGCCGTTCGTAGAACCACAGCCCCGCAAAAAGGATATAAAATACAAAATGATGGACAAGGCGGGGGCTTTCGTCCTGGCCAGAAAAGCCATCCTTCGCCTGCAGCAGTCAGTTGATTCCATACATAATATCTGGGCTTTTTACATATGTTTTGTCTGCCTTTTGCACGTATTCACCTATGAATGAATTATATTTTCTGGTATCGCTTCGGGCGATATACATGGGATGGCATCATTTGCATATTGTTGTGGGAGAATCATTTAGACTTTTATTGAATAAAATAATGTATGAACTTTTTTAAAGAAATATAATATTTATGAGAGGATGTATATAAATAAAGAAGTTATCAAATTTGTTAGATGTATTAAAGCTATGTAATTTATTACATTTTGTTAACACTTTAATTCCTTTCAAAAATTACCAAGGACTAATCAATCAGATAAAGTAATATATTTCATTCGTTTCCCATTTAATACCATATTATAAAACCATTAAAATAGTCTACCAGAAAATGTAATTTGCAATCGCTGTATTCACAATTACGAGAATTAGCATGCCCATGTCATTAACTAGAAATTGCTTATGTAATTATAGCCCTTACTTCCACATATTTACCACAATCAAAATGGACTCGCAGTACAGGTCATAATAACCAAAATAAACAATAATTATAATAGTGTGTTGGGCTACCACGTCATCGTGGTTGAGTAAGCAATAATGAATGTCCCAATTGTTCGGCCGCGACGAAAAGCTTAAATCCAAGTTAAATTTCCCTTAATAATTCATTTGCAGCTAATGCAAAAGTTTGTACGTTTTTTGTTTCTGCCAGCAAAAATCCCCGAGAAACATTTAAATCACTTTCGCCTTGTTGTATTTTTTTTATGATTTATTTGCAGCTAAGAGAAAGAGCGATTTAGGACGCGGATTTGGCACAATGAAAATATGAGGAGCGCAATCAGCAAGAGCGAAATGAATAAATTACGCGAAAATAAAATCAATTTGCATTAAGAGCCGGAGGAGACGAGCGACTGGCCAACGTCGTAGCCGTCAGACTTTTCAAGACCAAACCCAAGCCATATACCATCTACCATCTATATCTACGATATATAGTAGCATTTGCCATATACCATCTACCATCTAGCGTTCTTTCCCAACTGACAGCCATTTGAAGGACGAACAAGGCGCTGGCCGATGAGCTGGCTGGCGGGCAAATTATATTACCTTGTCAGGCGAGTGACATAAAGGCGGACCTCTTGGCCCCGCGAATCATCCGCTGAAGACCCATGTGTGGATCCCACTGAAGTGGCAGTGGCAGGTGGCAAAGGAGGTGGCTTTGGTGGCTTTGCTGACACACTGGGGAGGAGGAGGTCACGTCTTGGATTACAAAATCGCAAAGCCGGAATGCTACGCAGCTGCGTTTGCCTGCGCACCGACGATGATGGGAAGCGGCGCAGCTCCTCCGTGGAAGACGCCTCCTCGTGCCGCTCGTCGGAAATAGAGCGCGTGGGCGCCAGCATGCAGACACTGGGCCCCAATGGCCAGCCGCAGTCATCCGGACAGCAGACGAGCACCCGGGCCTCCAGTCTGCTGCAGCTCTTCCAGCGGCGAGGTTGGTGCAAGCACTTCCGCAAGCCGCTCCGTGGCATGAGCGCCTCCCGCGCCGAAAAGAGTGAGTACCGCCGACCATTACTGGTTTAAGGGGGGATTAACAGGGCTTAGCTGCAGTGAAAGATCATTGGGGGATCCGATAACTACATATAAAGAAGTGCACAAGAAATTTTCCTCACTAATCGGATAGGGGAAGGGATTTTCTAGGTTGATAAGAGTTAAATGGCCAAAATCATTATCTGAAGATCGTATCTGTCATATTTTATACACCGTAGATAGGAAAAATATATACCATAATATCATATACCCAAAAAAAATATGTTTAATAGATCTGTAAGCACTAATCAAAAATATTACATGCCTTAAAAAAGACAATTACATAGATAGTTTGGCCTTAAAAGGGAATTAATTCCAATCAGCGCAAAAAAGTATGCTTTATTTTTAGAGTTCAGGAAAAGTTTGCCAAAATGGCGCTCTTTAGTTGGAGTATCCTGCCTTTCTGAATATATTTCCTATTTTTAATACTTTTCATTTTATGGCACTTAAAGCGTGTTTGGTTGTTTTTCGCTGTGTAAGGTTTTTAGTTAATAGGGATTTGTGCGGAACGGACGATAAAACATACGATTGCAAACCTAATCAAGTTACTAGGGCCTCCGGGCTTAACTTAGTAAAAAGCTCCCTCGGGCAAAATCCCCTTTTTATTTATTACAGAAATAAAAGACCACTTAGTGGCCAGTCTATTCCTTTAACAATTTTAAAATGTAATTAATTTATTGTTATTGTAAATGAAAATATTATAAACTATTGTATTTAGTAGCTTTATAAGGCTGCTTTCTAAAATCAACTTAAGTAAGCACAAGATTGCCTATTTCCATAAACCGTTGGCCACTTTCCCCAAATTGCTTTTAGCATGTGGACACATTTCAGGACTTTAAATTACCATGTGCCCCGAATACATAATAACTGGGCTAAGTCCAACTTTATTACATTGTTTACCATTCGCAGTTGGTGGTGTAATTTAGGTTTTCGTAGTTTGGCTTCAAAGTAAAGTCTTTTTGGGACCTTGTACTGCAGTTGCATTTGGCCTTTCTTCCCGGCTTTTTATTTGAACACTTGGCTACTATGTCAGTGGTGGTGTTCCGGCGCTTGCGCTAACTTTTATTTATTGTTCCAATTTGCTGTACAAACGGTTCAGGTGGATCTAAACAGGCAGGAAGACACACGACACAAGCAAAGAAAAGAACAAACAAAAGAAACCCCATGCAGACGCCTTGGCTGGACAGCTGGCTATTAGTGAAAGCCCGACTACAGCCCAACATGCAGCCCAGATATACTATACTATACTATACATTGTATAGTGTACGACATACAAGAACACATATTTAGTAGACTCAGCCAGTCACGCAGCCAGAAATTAACCCACAAGCACGCGGACGTGGACGCAAATTGGACGAGGGAAAGGTTGCCACCACCCCAGACCAGCGATTCGGTAATTGGGGAAAGTATAGTGGGAAAGCTAGACGAAAAACTAGTTAAAAAGGATTTGAAAGTTATCCGTGCCTTAAAATACTAAGTAAAAACACTAATCGTTTTTATTATAAGATAAAAGGAAAAAGTTATAATTCAATTTTGAAAGGTTTAAGATTTTGGTTATCCAAGTGAAAAATATTTAAAATTTGAAGATCCTAAGAAAGTTATTTGTAATTGCACAATGAATTTGTTTAGACTTCATGTATACATTTTGTTTTTTTATGAAATTGTAAACAGTAAATTTCCCAAATATAAAATAAGAAAAATACTTTAAATGTGCTTTATAAAAATATAAATGGGGAAGTGTAATGAGTTTTCTTCTTAAAGATAATTATAGTCCTTTAAATTAGTCCCAACTCTTTTCAGTAATATTAGACAGCGTTATCTTATTTTTTCTAAATATATTTTTTCAATATATATATTTTTTTTTAAATATTGTTTTCGCCCATGGTAAAACTTGAAAAGAGCATTTAAGCCAAGAAAACTAAATGCAGACCATGGGTATCGCGCTCGAAATGAGCTGTTTTTGGTTCCAGTTCCAGTCGGTCGTCTATCTAGTTTCAAGTGTGTGCGGACAAATGTAAAATGTCAGAGGAAAAACCTCCTCGTCGATAGTCTCGTTTCTCCGCAATTCGAACGCAAAATACGTCGTTAAAATCCTGTGCAGCCAGTGAAGAAATAAATCAGCATTTAATGCCTTTTACTAGTGGAATTAAATAACCGTCAAATTACAATAAATTGCTGGATAAATTCAATAAATGTGGTGCACGTAAAAAATAATAATTCGAGATTTAAATTCGATATGAATAATGGCAATTACGTTTAACGCAAATTGCACTTAACTCTTGGGGAAACTCAAACAGTCGAGATAATTGCTTTAAAGGACTTTTAAAGGCTGTTCAATATTTTTCTGACAGCAAAATAGTTTCTTTAATTTGAAATGTTTTACGTGATTTAATGTGAATTTGTTGTGCTAGAAAGTTTATTATTGAATCCTTTTCAGTTCGTTATTTCTGTGAATTCAGATTATATAATATTTACGGAAGCAAAGCAGTTTCAAGCGGACGTTTTCAGCTGTTAAATTAATCCCCATCTTATGGGCTGCATAAATTTGAAAAAGAACAGAGGTCCAACATCGCCACCAAGCCCAGAGACAAGTGTGTAAAGACTTTAAAGCGGCAGCAAAAAATAATTATAGCTGCGTAAATGTTAACCAGTTGTTAGCCCGAAAAACCCCAATCAAACCCCTTCCCTTTGCCACAGTCTTTGACGTTTTCAGCATTGGGTTAATAGCAGACGAATAAATTTGCATCAAAATGGATGAGAACGGCAAGTACTTTGTGGGAGTAATCATTTTGAATTCCCCAGCATACCCAGTATCCGATTAAAATGTCCTGGATTAAAATGTGTATTTTCGTTAAGTGTACTGCGCTGTGAGTAATAAGCGACCAAGGCCAAAATGTCAAAGGGGAACAATTTGGCAGCCAAAACAACAAAAACTATCTAGTGGTTTTACTGGCCATAACAAAGTTTCATAATGTTGCATATTACTTGCACCATGCAGGCAGCCCTTGATGTTTTTATATCGCCATTAAATACTTTTTTTTTATTTTTTTAACTTTATGAGTCTCACGAAATATTTTACAAAATATTTTGCAGCCATTCGAGCGGCAATATTCATCCAGAAATGGTATCGCAGGCATCAGGCCCGTCGAGAAATGCAGAGGCGTTGCAACTGGCAGATCTTCCAGAACCTGGAGTACGCCAGCGAACAGGACCAGGCTGAGGTGAGTCAAGGACATCGATTTAAAATAGGTTAAGGCGCCACAGAGTGAAAGACTTAAGACAGCCGCAAAAACCGAAAAAAAGAACCCTCGACGACGTCAGTCGAGTGCATTTGTAGAGTTTCGAAAGTCGATAGCAATCAACTCAGCCGTGAAACTTTGTCGCAAGTCCAAGTGCCTCGTCCGAGCACTCTTGACCCACTCTCCCTGCTAATTTATTTTCATTTCTTTTGCTCGTTCCCAGCTGTACAAATTCTTCAATGACCTCATTAAGCACATGCCCCAGGCGGCGGGCAGGAAGAACCAGTACCAAGGATCCTCTCATGGTGAGTTTTTGAGATAATAAAGATAAAGATTGAGATAAAAAAATATTCAGAAATAGCTACATTTTTATATGATTACATTCTGTGTTTTCTTTTCATTTTACTATGTTTAAAACGCTTTAACATTTTTTTTTTTAAATAAAATATACTCTGCTTATTTTATTACCTATTTCGATACTAAATATTATTACTAAATATTTTTCTTGTTTCAGTTTCCGTTTTGGATGAAAAAGACGACCTTGTTGAAGAGTTTGGGGACATTGTAAATGCCAAAATCGAGTTGCCAATACGAAAAAATCATATCGATCTATTGATTGACGTCTTCCGCAAGAAAAGGGTAACATCACTTTTCCACACTTTGTTTGATTTTTGGAAATATTTCTTTATTTTTCTTAGGGAAACCGATTGCATCCCAAATATGTGGCCCTAATTCTACGTGAGGCTGCCAAGTCCTTGAAGCAGTTACCCAATATTTCCCCAGTTTCCACGGCTGTTTCCCAACAAGTTACAGTTTGTGGGGATCTTCACGGCAAATTGGACGATCTTCTTGTGGTGCTACATAAGGTACAAGGGGTTGCCCATTCATTTTCATTATTAATTGAGTAAATAAATCATGTTTGCAGAACGGTCTTCCCTCTTCTTCCAATCCCTACGTGTTCAATGGCGATTTTGTGGACAGGGGAAAACGGGGCCTGGAGGTCCTTTTGTTGCTCCTCTCGCTCTATTTGGCTTTTCCCCAGGCCGTTTTCCTCAATCGGGGAAACCATGAGGACAGTGTTATGAATGCCCGCTATGGATTTATTCGGGAGGTGGAAAGCAAGTATCCTGTAAGTAAGAGTGCTTTTAAGAGGCTTAGCCATTTGTACACAAAGAATAATAATATTAAAAAGCCATTCTGTACCCCTGTTGGAAATATTTTTCTGAGCTAATTGAAACATATTTAATATTATACTATTAATGTAAACAAAATAGTGCCTAATAATTCAATAAAATGTGTTGTCTTAGATAAAGAACTAAAAATATAAGCTTAATATATAAACATATTTATTTAAATTCGAAATATTAATGAAAATATAAATGTAAAATCCTACTCAGAAATTTATGTAAATGATAAGAATCAAATTTAAGAAAGAAGCAGAACTTTTTTGCTGCCCATAATGAGAAACACTGAGTACTGAGATGGGCTTATAAATAAATAATGTTAATTTCTCCTTTGAACCCTTTTTGCAGCGGAATCACAAGCGAATTCTGGCCTTCATCGACGAGGTTTACCGATGGCTTCCTCTCGGCTCCGTTCTCAACAGCCGAGTACTAATTGTCCATGGAGGTTTTTCAGATAGCACAAGCCTGGATCTTATTAAAAGTATTGACAGGGGCAAGGTATTTAAAAAAAAAAAACATTAATCTGCAGTAAGCTTCTTACATTTATTATTAATCATTTGCAGTACGTGTCTATTTTAAGACCACCGCTTACAGATGGCGAGCCACTGGACAAAACCGAATGGCAACAGGTTCAATAAAGAAATATTTGTAAAGAGCTTTATTTATAGATAATTATTTTTCAGATTTTCGATATTATGTGGAGTGATCCACAGGCCACAATGGGATGTGTTCCAAATACTTTGAGAGGAGCTGGTGTTTGGTTTGGACCCGATGTAACTGACAACTTTCTTCAGCGACATCGATTAAGCTACGTGATTCGATCCCACGAATGCAAGCCCAATGGTCATGAATTTATGCATGATAACAAGGTGGGTTTATCCCTTATTTATTTTTCTAAATTATGAAACATATTATTATTCAATTTCCCATTTCTGTGGAAGAAACTAGTAGGAAGTTTTATTTATAATATTCTCATGAATTAAGTTGCCTGAGAAATACGTTTAAATTTATGTGTGTACATAAGACCTAAACTATTTTGGGGTGTAAGTGCCCCCAATGCATTCCCCATACCACTTACTATGACTTGTCAGTTATGCAATTGCAATTTACATGAATAGTGCAATAAGTGGCTAGCGAGAATTTTGCGGTTGAATAACAATGATTAAAAGTGGTATTGATTATTTAGCTTTAATTAGACATGGGACATCCGACAGCTGTGCACAATTTCTTGCAAAGTTAATTTATTGAAACAATTAAATACCTACATATTAGTTAAATACAAATATTTGCTTTAATAATAAACAACCACTAATGTGCTGAATTTCTTTTTTTTTTAAATTGATAGATAATCACTATTTTCTCGGCTTCGAATTACTATGCCATTGGATCCAACAAGGGGGCATATATCCGTCTGAATAATCAGCTCATGCCCCATTTCGTTCAGTATATATCGGCGGCATCGCAAACAAAGCGATTGTCCTTTAAACAACGCATGGGAATCGTGGAAAGTTCGGCGCTGAAGGAACTGGCAGTTCGAATGCGAGATCACCGCGATGAATTGGAGGACGAGTTCAGGAGGTACGATCCCAAGGACAGTGGCTATATGTCCATATCGAACTGGTGCATGGTCATGGAGAAGGTCACCAAGTTGGGGCTGCCCTGGCGACTCCTGCGAGACAAACTTGCTCCGGGAACCGATAGTCAGAAGGTTAATTACATCAGGACATTGGATTTACTGGACACGGATGTAATAGTAAGTAGTAAAGTAGTTTTATATATTTGTATAATTTATATGTACTTATATAAAATTGATGTTACAAATTTCAAATTGATATTACTAATATAAAGTTTATAATTCTAAAATTAAATTAATATTACTATTATTTTCTATCAATTAAATTAAAATGAACCAAATTAAAATAATTATAATAAACTATAACAAAAGCAAATTACATTCCAAAATTAATACATTTAAAGGAAAAAATATTTTTAAATCTTTATCAGTTCTAAGATCTATTATTTATTATTCATATTATCCATTTTTAGCTTGAAGCTGAGGCTGATGGAATGTCGGTTATGGATGCCCTGTACGCCAACAAGGCAAGTTTGGTGGCCATTTTCAATATCATTGATGCAGATAATTCCGGTAGTATAAAAAGGAATTAAACCTTAATCGGGGTGACTGTTAAATACAATGTTTTCTAGGTGAAATAACCTTGGATGAGTTCGAAACCGCGATTGATTTGCTGGTGGCACACATGCCGGGTGCCTATTCGAAAGCAGAAATGCTGGAGAAGTGCCGCATGATGGATCTGAACGGAGATGGCAAGGTGGATCTCAACGAGTTCCTGGAGGCATTCAGACTGAGTGACATCCACAGGAAGGAGCAGCAGGACGAGAATATAAGGAGGCGTTCAACTGGCCGATCGGCCATAGCTAAAACCGCTTCAGATCCCGTCACTTTATTGGCCGACAAGATCTCAAAAAACACACTGGTTGTGGAGCACGACATCGATCCCACGGATTGCGAGGCTAAAGTTATTGATCCTAAGAAATCATAAGTGAATATCACACATTTATAGTCATCAAGAAACTAACATCATTTTGGTTTTAGCAAATTTATTTATTTGGTTAACTGAAGCATTTATAGCGCTTTCGATATTTTAACATCAATTTAATACATAACAAGTATTGCAAACGAATGTTAACATTTACGTATGATAGGTATACCAAGACAAGATCTAGAGAGAAATATCAAGAATTAAAGTATCTTGAGAGGCGAAAATGATAAAAAGTAAGATCTCTGCGAAAGCAAAGTAAGATTGCTAAACTCACAATGTTTTTTAGCAAGTCTACCGGCCATTCCCTTACGCTTTTGATTTAAACTACTTTTAATTATAACAACCTACTATGCACTCTTAAGTAAGCTATCATTAAACATTACTATAAAAGAAATAAAAGATGTTATAAAATTATAAAGATTATATAAAATTAATATTGTTAAAGTTATAAAAAATATTGTCAAAATTATACAAACAAATATCAGGCGCTTTTTGTTAAAAAAAACATACTTATTGTATATTTGTTTAACTTACAAAGTTTAAGCCCAGGGGATCAAAAGTAAATTTTATATACGACTACGGCTAGATCTAAAATTTTATAAAAATTACATGTAAAGTAAAAGACATTTCCCCTCTCATAAAACTTATAAAAAACAAATAATTATATTCTAAAATGCAATATTATAAAAAATACAAATACACTGCTTTAAATTGAAATTAATTGATTATTAAAATATATGAGAACTTAAAGAATATAACTCAGAATGAAATATAAAAAAAGTATAAAGCTTTTGAACCACCTTGCGTTTTATAAAGAATATTTAGTCAGTAAGCAGTTAAAAGAAATGCTAGAAAAAAATATATTAAATACATACCTGAAATGGACCATGCTTTGGCACAAGAATTTATTTTTGAATCCACTTCATGTTTTTCAGTTATTAAACCAATAAAGTTCAAAGCTTATACTGTTAAAAAAATAAACAAGAAAAGCAATTGTATCAAAGATATAAATTTCCCGACCTCTAAGAACTCAACGCAATAACAAATTTTTATATTACCGTACAGTTGATATCCGTTAAAGTTAAAAAAGTTACCTTAGATTAAGTCGTTTGGGGGAGATTGATAGTAGCTCCTTACCTAATAAAATACATAATATATAAAAAATATCCACAAGATCGTAATCGAGTACCTATAACAAACTAAAACAAAAACGCTTCTCAACAGGCACTACAGGACCAATAAATTTAGCCATATATTGGCACTCTTATAACAAAGAATACTACGCTAGTCATCAATTAACATTTTAGTACTGTATATCTACTATAAGAAGCACCTTTCCCTATTTGTATTTTGAGCCACATTTCATCGACAGACAAAATATTTTCCTGAAAACTTTATTAATAAATATGTTTAAATGATAGAAGACTTCATTTAATTGGGTATCCTTGCTTTACTTAGTAAGCCTATGGAGCTCTTTTCACATTCGCTTTATATTCTATATAGATATTGTATCAAAATTACTCCAATTCATAAAAAAATATTTTGAAGTCCAAATTGTCTGTTTATGGCGAGGCGACCTAATTGCTTACAGATAAATCCAAATGCCAAATATTTGTCCAATTCGATTTCGAATGTTTTGCACAGCATCCAGAACTTTGAGCCAAGAACGCTTGCTTGGCCAACTTGCCAAAAAAAAAGATGTTTGGAGGGGCAACAAACCGCCAAAGTTGTCGGAAGTTCCTTTGGCAGGAACTGCATCCTGTTTGCTCCCAAAATGGAAGTCAGCATTACGAAGTGAATCTAGAGACGCCAAGAAATGTACGTTTTACCAAATTCTTCAAGCCAGTCAATATCAGCCGCATTCTGAACAATGTTCCAGGTGTTCGGGTAGAAAAAAAAGTGTCCAAATAGAAAAAGATTTTAAAAATGACAGTGTTTACAACGACATATATGATATTGTAAAAACGCATCATCGATACATTAGACCTCCGCCTAAAATTAAAAAGGTTCCTACCGAACAAGAACCTTGCAGAGTATTATATCCCATCGAAGACAATTATGAGGTGCGTCCGGTCCCCAAAGAATCCGGAAAGCAGCAGAATAAATTAAGCTCAAATTTAGTAGAATATCCAATCATTGAGATCTACAAAGTTCCAGAAAGGACAAGTAAACCTGTTCACTCCAATTCGCAAACACAAGCAGAATTTATAAATGATAAAACCGGAAAACAACAGAAAAAATCGAAGTCAAGTCCAGTCAATTATCCATTCAGTAAGATCTATAAACTGATAGAAAAGAAAAATAAACTCGCACACTCTAAAAAAAATGACTATAAATTTGGACAGAATTCACAAATACAAGAAAATTCCATGCAAAAATCACCTGATGGCGAATACGCTCACTCCAAAAAAAAAGACTTTAAATTTGGACAGAAATCACAAGTAGAAGAAAATTCCATGCAAAAATTACCTGATGGCGAATACGCTCACTCCAAAAAAAAAGACTTTAAATTTGGACAGAAATCACAAATAGAAGAAAATTCCATGCAAAAATTACCTGATGGCGAATATCCTACTAAATATATTTCAAGAGGTGATGGCGAATATCCTACTAAATATATTTCAAAAGGTAGAAACTCACAATTGCAGACAAGTATGCAACAGAAAAACTCAAAAGCAAGTTCCAAGACTAAATCATTTCTTCCCACACACCAGCATCCCTATCAAAATATTCGAAACACTCAAGAACTGCAAATGAAAAAGCAAGCTATTAAAACACAAAAATGGAAAGATACTTCAAGAAAGAATAGCGACTTGAATCCACGGGCCAAACCTAATTTCCATCCAGGCAATCGAAGGATGGTAGAAGCTCCCAAAAAGATCTGGGAGTTTCCAAGTAGATTTTACAGAGAGCCAGCCAGACCATCTTTGCCATTGAGCATAAAATCTATCAACTCCGAAAAGTCTGGTAAAGAGATCGAGGACAACATTTCGATCAAGAGCAATGCATCACAAAAAAGATTGAAAAGATCAAGTCGGAAATATATTATAAAACATCCAGCAGGAAGACCGTATAGAAGGCTAAGATCTTTTCGAGGCGAACCTCCTATGGACGCGATATATGTTGTTCGAGGAAGAAATTCAAAAGGAAAGCCTGTCTTTTTGGGAAAACCTGAATTGCAGATCTATAAGATTCAAGAGAGTCGCACGGTGTTCAAAAAAGCGGATGACAGCACTTCTGAAAAGTCGGAAAAGGAAAAGGAACGGGGTTTTATTAAACAAATATTAAAAAGAGAACCTAATTTAAAGAAAAATTATGTATCAAGTAGTTCATCCGATAAAGTAAAGCCAGTTGCAAAAAAATCCAAACATGAGATCCACAAATCCCAAGATACATTCCAAAATCAAAATAAGGATCAGAAGGATTTTGAAGAAGAAGAAAATAAAGAAGAAGCTATAACAGAAGATAACCTTCCGATAATCGAGGATTCAAAAAAGATTATTCAAAAGGTGAAGAGACCAAAAAGTGAAAATTCCTTTTTGTCGTATGATAAGGAATTCCATGGATTTAAAACCTCGAAAAGCAAACCTCCGATAATCCAGGATTCAAAAAAGATTATTCAAAAGATAAAGAGATCAGAAAGTGAATATTCCTTTCTGTCGTACGATAAGGAAATCCATGGATTTAAAACCTCGAAAAGCAAATTTGGTTTTCACTCTAGAAACTCTCCGGGTGAAGCAAAACTTAAGATGCCAAAACATCTTATTACCAAGCACGCTAAATCGGAAATTCATCATCCCAAAACAGTAAAAAAGAAAAAAAGGAATCATATAAATAAAAACAAAGATAGTATCGAACCGGCTAGGAAATCAATAACTAGAGCGTTGCTTCAAAAGTCAGAATCTTTTTCCTCTTTAATGGAGCAACTAGAAGCTAATAGGCAGAAATCAGTGCAAAAGCTCAATGAGAAATTCACAACAGGACGTAAGTCAAAGCCAAAATTAACTAAAATGGAAAAAAGAAATAATTCCATGGAACCATTTTCATGGAGGAATCGTGAAATAAAATATGACAAGCCAAGAGGACCTCGTCCAATCGAATCCGATGGAAGAAGTAAAAGCAATATGGTGCCATACTCGAATTTATCAATTGCATCCGGATTTTTGCATTCGGAACCCTCATCACTGAAGCACATGGTCACTTACAGAAAGGGCACTGTGCTCCTGGGAAATCAAAGGGCGCTGGAGCGAAGACTTTTCCTGGAAAGGCTAAGCGCGTTTGTTGAAAATGAAAGCGGCAATTTAAGTTTAGGGTCAAGGCTGAACAACGAGATATTAAAAAAAGTTAAGCAATATCTCTTGCGAGATGATTCCGATAGTAATAGCATCGAAGACGTATCTTCCTTTGACCTCGAAGCAATTCAAAGCGAATTGCTGTACTTTCCATATAATGAAATATTTCAAAAGAAATCAGTGGTTCCAGAAGCCAAGGAAAAAGGTGCAAGTAAAAAGATTAAGAAAACCCCGAAACCTGTGCGAAAACAAAAGGAACTCACCAAGGCAGAAAATGAAAAGAAATCAGCTTGTGTTATATGTCGAACTATTAAGAAAAATCAGTTGGAAAAGGAAGCTCCCTTCATTGAGGAAATGCTAAAAGAACAGAAGCGGCGGGATTTGTTGGCCTATCGAGCAAATATTGCAACCCATTGTGAGCCAAGGAAAATTTCTGTTCCTCTTGATGATCAAACTGGAAATTTTAGCTTTCATGAGCTCAGCAAAAAAGAACTTTATTCCCTGGAGAGCAAATATATCGTTTTTACCAACGAAAAAAATGTTATTAATTACCCCGTGAAGAATAATCCAACTGCTTTCCCCCGGCAAAGTGAGCCCATTACTTTTCTCAAGAAATGTAATTCTCTTACTTTTCCCAAGGAAAGTAATTCTATTATTTGTTTTGAAGAAGAAAGAAAGATGTGTACGTAAAATTTTAATTGTTAATAAAATAAACTCTGCGAGTTCGACAAGACAATAATGAAAATGGTCTTGTCAAATCCGCATGTTTTAATAAATTATCAAAATAAATATTGAATACTCCTTGAATTTTATTATCTATACAAGTATTTTATTTCGTTTCTTAACTTACAGGTCAGGGTGCTGCAAAGGCTTATTTTCTGGTTAAAACAAAAAACATTTTTTGATTTTAAAATGCTAATTAATTTTGACTACCATATTGACTAGAATTTCCAATGCTTCGAAGCACAAAATAAAGATCACAAAATTTGGTAATTCCAATTGTCTAATTCAAAGTTAATGCCAAATAAATGTTGTTTGCAAAATCAATAGTTTTTTTCTTTTGAATAAATACTTAAGTGAACCTTAGCTAAGATATATACATTGTAACGAGAGATTAAACAGATTAGCCTTATAAGAGCTTTGAGTCTAGATACGAGCTTGCTCTACATTCTTTTCGGTTTTCAAGTATACATATTATTGAGATTAGCTTAAGGCTAAGCTTTAAAAACACAATTACTCCAGGTGGTCTACGTTTCTCATGGTGCTGACATTCATATGTATATATTATAATTACCCGTATTTTACAAGATCATAAACTAAACTTAACTTAAGCTGCCCTTGTGCTGATTTTATTTACAATATTCATTTTGTGGAATTACACTGCAACCTCTTTTGACTTTGACTCTTTTCTGCGCAAAAGTTTGGATCGAACATCATCCTGATTTAGTTTGAGATCCGTTTGGGCGACTTTCTTGAGATTTACAGCCTCGTAATCGCTGCCACTTTCATCGGCGAACTGGATGTCGTCGAGGGAAAGAAACTCCTGCAGATCCCCCGATGATTTCTCCACGGCAGTTTCCTTTTCGATATAAGAGCCGTTCATGGATTCGTTTGGTTCGAGTTCCGTTTCCAGTTTCTGATGCACTGCAGCAATTTCAATTAGTGGCTTGGTGTTCTTACTAGAACGCTGTTCTTGATTCAGTGAACCGGCGCTCAACGATAAATTAGATTGCATTTGCTGCTTGGACTGGCGTCTCTGTTTCCTGGACATAAAAGGAGTCGGTTGTTTCGGCAGTGATTTTCCACCTTTTTCCGCTCCTTCGCAGGGTGAAGTTGCCTTGGAGGGACGTCCACTGTCCGGAGGAGAGCGCTCCTCGGAACTGGGAGTATTATCAGCTGTGGTGGACTTACTGGACTCCGTGTTGCTGGCTGGACTCAGATAGTGTCCATATCTGGGCATCTTTATCTCCTCGTACAAGGGTTCGCGTTCCTCTCTTTCGGGATCCGGTTCGGGTTCTGGAGTCTTGTCATCCTCCTCCCGTTCGGCCACCTCTTCGAAGGGCGGAATCCATACCAGGTATGCCGGATCCATGCCCAGGTAGGATCCTGGTGCGGATCCAGCGTTGATCACATTGTAATCGTAGTAGTCCAGCTCCAGTTCCTCCTGATTGCCCAGGGAAAACTCCGATCCCGGTCGAGCCAGCAGCTTCCTGCGATTTTGTTTCTCCTTGGACTCCTTGGGATTGCTGGTCGTCCTTATTGTTGCCGTGCTCACCACGCTGGCGGCTGGGGAATAGCAGCCCTGGAATATTTAAACATTTAATTAGATCTCTTTTACCAAGTTTTGAGTAAAATTTAATCAACATTTTAAGAAAAATTTGTCTTGTATTTAACCCTCAAATAAAAGTGCATTTGAGTCCAATTCAAATTAAAAACTTAATAAGCTTTTTGTACAAATGTGTACTATTATTTTTGTGACTAAAAAAATATTGAGAGTAACCTCTTAACTCACATTGGTCAGGGAGGAGCTGACACTGCGGGATCCCAGGCGTCCCAGTCGGAAGGATTCGGTCACGGAGTGCAGAGAGCTGGCATCCTGGAGGCTCTCGTCCAATCTGGAGGACAGCAACTTCAGGGTCACCGCATCGTAGCGATCGGAGTACTTGCTCAGCCGCTTGCTGTTCATCGGCGGACTGTTGCACAGGGAGCTCATTCCCGAGGAGATGATGGACTCTGAGTCCCTGGCACTGTCCTTGCAGCTCGGCGGCTCCATGGGGTCATCGGTGGGTGAGTCCTTGGAGCCATCTGTCCTGCTGTGAACTGCAGCCAACTCCGCTTCAGCCGAGGAAGGGGATCCTATGACGCTGCCGGTTTCCAAAGATCTCGCTGGAGAGGATCTTTCGTTGCGCAGAGTGAGCATGGAGGCTGAGCTCCCCAACTCCTGAACTTCGGAGCTGCAAGAATATTAGAAATTAAGTGATCTGGCTCTGATTTTTTAATTTGCTTTAAATTAACTAAATATACTCAAAAAAACTAATTTATTGGAATTGTAAGATGTATAAAACTCTTAAAATAAATCAATATGTTCTTCTTTAAAATTTGAAATATTTTAGTTATTTTCTATAATAATGATGAATGAATTTTACAAAGCCTGAAATAAACATAAGTTATGGAATGGTTTTAATAGTTTTAAAATTTAGAGAAATAATCTCAGAAAAATTGTAATGCTTCAATTTAATCATAAACTAACGTTCTTTAGTTGTTCAAGTATTTCAAGATATATATGACTTACCACTTGGCCAACATTCCTGGCAATTCCGACTCCTTGAACTCAGTTTCGCTGGTCAGATTTTCGGCATCCACGCTCTCGCGAAGAATTGAGTGACGAAGATGATGCTTAGGTCGCATTTTGACCATATAGATGACCTCCGAAAGTAGAGTAGTGGTGGACATGGCTCGTGAAGGAGGTCCTTGCAGGGAACTCAGCGAAGCCCTCGGAGTGTGAAGTCGGGAGCCTTCGTCCTGTCGTCGACTGACAGCCAGATGGTATTTGCGATATCGCACCACATATTGAGCTCCTATTAATAAAACCATTAAATATTTATGAAAATCTAAAATACAACAAGCTAATACCCACCTAAAAGAGCGCTAATTATGATAATTATGCTGGCGAAAATCATGGCACTCAGATGAACCAAAGTAAAGCGAAGACGCGACATAGTTTTATGGGAAATGGAGCGAGTTTTTCCGGACAAACGAGTGGCGGCCACCAGTGTGGTGCTGCTGTTTTGGTTTCTTATTGCTGAAAAGGCAGTAAAATCATTTTCATTATTTATTTTTCAATTTCAGTTTTTGGTGGGATTTACATACCCAATAGCTGCTGCACATTGGCCATAAAGCCACCGGTGCAGGCGGCATTTCCCTGCTGATCAGAGGCAGTTGCATTGGTTGCATGTCCTTCGCCGGCGAAGAATTCCACCAGGAGTGGGCCACCACTCGATTCGACGGACACCGGAACGCCAACTCCCTTGAGGATCAGACCCCCGCCATTGAGTTCCACCAGCAGAGTGGAGGACAGCGAGGGACCATCGCGAACTTTTATGTACTGCGAGGCACACGGCAGTCGAAGGAAACTCAGTGCCAGCGAAATGCTTTCCTCGCCATCCACCTGTGGGGAAAAGAAAGCGATTTTTTCTTCTCTGAACATACGGGCAAATGTTTGGGTTTCCCCCTATTTCGGGTGGCAAGAAAACTCTCGAATTGGGTCAGGCATTCATCTCCATTTGCCCCCGTGCAATCAGCACATTTCCCCTTCATCCCAGCGAACGTGCCAATTGGCAGGTCTAATCATTCCAATTGTATCGAACAAAAAGGGGGAGAACAAAAGTGTGTTTGAACTGTTGGGTCTGTACTTCCTTTCAATTGATACCCATTACCAAAAAAAAAAATATAATTAAATTTGTGGTTATATCAGAACTTATAACATGACATTATACATTTGATTGGTTGTGGGTAAAGGTAATTGGCCATTTTGTTAACTGATTTTTTAAAGGCAAAAATAGAACATATATACATATATAAATTTTTTTCAAGAATTGTTTACATAACAGTTTTTAAATATTTAATAAATATAAATATTTTTGTATCTCTTTTCCCATATATCAACATATTTTCCTTATAAATTATCTTCTTAAGATTCTAATTTAAGCTATCCTATCCCTTTCCTCGTTGATTTATAATAAATAAATTTTCTTCTTGTGTTTCCAATTCCTAAGTTATACTATCCATTTTTCAATCCTATTCTCAATTTTTCTTTTTCCAAACTCTTTTCTTTTCATGCCATTTCTTCTATCTCTCCCTTTCCTAATTTTTTCATTTTCCACTTGGTTTTCTAAATATTGATCTTTAATTTCGCTGCGTTTCCTCTTGTATATCCCTGCCATTCATGCTCCCCACCTGTTTGAAATTTATGATCTGAACATCCTCCGCCTTGTGTACAGTATACCCTTGAAGGACGAACTACCCGGTACACAAAGTTCAATCCACCCCGATGGACCCCTTACGCATTGATAGTTTCGGGACTGGCCAAAACGCCTACCAAGTGGGGCATTTATTATGCATGAATTGAGTTCAACCCCCATGGCCAGAGAAATGCTCCGTTTGGTTCTAGCCACACTTTCCTGGGGCTGGCAACATTAAGTGGGGCTCCTTTGTCATTTGGGGCCAGCCTTCGAAGCATCCGAAGCGTAGCGGAATTTTATTCATGGACTCTCGGACTTCTGAGTGTTTGGCATTGTTCGTTTTTATAGTTATGGCGGCAGACAACTTGAATGCTTTCAAAAAACTTGACCAAATGCCAAAGGGCAACTTCACTTTGCTTTGGCTATTTTCTGGTGCTAACATAATTTTTTTTATTTGGGGTTGAGGGGTCAGTTGGTGGGTCGTACCTGTATTAACCAAAATGAACGGCCAGGGCAACTTTGTGTGGCCCCCGCAATGATTCGTTTGGGTTTCGAGGATCCCAAGTGCACAATACAGCCGCAACGACATCCTGGTCCGATTTCCTGGCTGACCTCCGTGCCGTTTTCTTTGGTTACCACTGTACCGGAAGTCTCGTAGATGCAGTCCCAAGTATCGGCGATGCTCTTGCCACACTTTTGGGTTTCCACTGAGGGTCCCTGTAAAAAATATAGAAAACAATGAGAAGTTGTTGAATGTGTTCAAAGTATTTTTTTTTGAAAATATTTAGGAACCTTTATTACTTTAATTACTTTAAGAATACCTATACATCCAACATTTTTAACAATTATAATTTCTACGAAATTGAATGAAACTAAAGCCAATTCTTAAAATGCAAAATGTCTACTTATTGTATAGTAAAATTTCTATTTGACTTTGGAGATATTTATTTAAGTTTCAATATTCGAAACAGAATACTCATAACCATTTATGTAAAAGAAAGTTCTCTATAAATTTTTGTACAATTTTCATTCAAGTTTCAGACAAAATAAAAGGCAATGAATTGTTTTATTTGACTTTGCAGCTATTTATTTGAATCTCATCGAAAGTCAAAGGCAAGATATTAAACATGAATTTGAGGAATTTGAAAACATGAAACTAGTAGAAGAACTGGACATCGAAGTCCTCCTCCTCCTCGCCGTCCTCCTCCTCTCCGGCGTCGTCATCGGTGATGCCAGTCAGCTTGGAGGTGCCCGTGAGGGTGTCAATGGTACCGATGCTCTGCTGTGGCTTGATGTCCTTCGAGGAAGCGGAAAGGGCGAGTGGAGCAGTTCCGGGCGGAGGAACAGAGCCCTCGCTGCTCGCCTTCTTCACGGAAACGGAACTGCTGCTGCCCTCCGGCTCCTCCAGCGGCTCCTCCTCCACCTCGACAATGTCATCCTCGCGGGAGGAGGACACATACAGAGTGGTTCCGAACTCCACATCAATGATGGAGTTCTCGTCGCCGTGCTGCCTGCCGTGCAATCGATCCTGCATCTTTGCCTTCTGCAGATCCTCGGGAAGTGAGCGATCCGGTTCCTGATCGATGACCTCACTGCGGAAGGCATCGAATGGTGTGGCTTTGGGTCGAGTGGGCATAAAGCCCATTTTACCGGGTTCGTATAGCGATGAGGTGGCACTGCCAATGGAGGCAATCGACGGAGTCCTTGGCAGCTCCTCCGAATGGGAACTCACTATTGTTAGGAGCTGGGAAAGCAAATCGCTGCGTTTCAGTTTGCAAACGGATATGGCTTCCTCTCGAACTTCCTTAATAACCGCCGGTTCATCCACATTCGCCTCCTCTAATCTTTCTGGGAAGGCTTTGGCCGCCGCTTCCGCCACAATTGCATCTCGAACGGTGCACTTAATCTCCTGGATTATTCCCCTCAAACGGATAATCTCCATCTCATGTTGGGCATGTACTACACCAAGACTCTTGTTTTCCAGCTCCACAATTTCCATTCTCTTGGCCAAATTACGTAGTTTTCCAGCTGCATCCTTTTGCTTGACATTTTCACACTTCTCCGCCTGGAGATGCGATTCATAGGCCTTCTTATAGCGTAAAACTTCTACATATTTTGCCTTGAGTTTCTCATAGTTTCGGGTAAGACCTTCTATAATCTTGATTTTGTTTACAGAATTGCGAACCAACTCATTCTTGATCTGATCGAGGGCACTATATTGCTCCTCCATTTCCTTATGTTTGGATTTCTGATTGGTGTAGGCTTGTTGAAGTTTTATTTGCGACATGACCAGTAAATCAATCTCCTTTTGCAAAGCAATATTTTCACGAATCAAGCGACGAGTGTAACCAGCATTTCGAATTTCACTGGAGCGAGTAAAATCCTCTGAAACTTGTAGCAACTTCTGCTCCACCTCCTTTTTCAGAGCATCCTTTTCCACCACAGCTCGTTGTTCCATATTATATAGAGCCTCCTTGTGATCCTTTTCCCTCTCATTAAGATCCGCTTCCTGATCATCGAATTTAGCCAAAAGGACATCTCTCTGAATCCGGAATTCATCTAGGGAATTTAGCTTGCCATTGAGTAGTTTTATTTCAGAAGTCAGTTGATCATGCATGGCTTTATATTTGGCCTCCAAATCCCCGATTTTCTCCTGAGCAATGCGGTTTTCCACTTCCCGCACTTTGGTGATCTCCACCAGACGTTCCTCCAGTTCCGTAATCGAATTGTTTCTCTCCGCCAAAGTGCGTTCCAAGTGGGCAGCCACATCCACGCCATCGGATTCCACTTCCTTGAGTTTTTCGGTGAGCACAATATTGGATTCATCCACGCTGGTTAAATGGGAACGCAGGCGAGCCAACTTTTGATTCAGATCCGTGATGGTGAGTTCATAGAAGGTCCTGTCCACCTGGGTCACCTTGTTTATATCCTTCTTCTCCTTCTTCACTTTTGGCGGCATTTTGGTAGCTTTCCTTTCCCTTCGTTATCCGATTTGATTGTCTAACAATTTTGTGTTATATTTGTGATTTTTGAAATATAAAGTGTCAGTGACATCGTTCGATTTGGAATTTGTACAACCATCGTTCTTTGTTTTAATGGAATAAATGAATATATAACAACAAGTTGTTAAAAGTGTATCCAAGGAAACGAAAGCTTTCCTAAGCTTAAATGCTAACCTTTGTATTTTATGTAGACCATAAAGCTATTTTTATTACAGCCCATAAAAAGGAGCTCAAATTTAAGCGGCTGATTTAAGAAGTTATTAACATAACAGAAACTCATTTTTTCAACCACAAAAAGAGGAAACTTTGTATTAAATAACAGAAAAATAATAACTGCTGAAAAAATATTCCTCAAATTCCTCAAATGCAGTAAAATGTTAAAAAATTAAAATTTATACACATCAAAATTTATACAAATTCAAAATATGTGAAATATACAAATTTTGCAACTACATTTTACTTTGTTTTTTAGCTTAGTTGTTTTTATTATTATTATTTATTCAAGTTAACTTTAATTCTGTAGTTTCCTTAATATACGCAAATTAATTTAATATTAAATCCCTTTTATTTGCAGCAACCTTCTGTGTGTTTAAGCCACTTAATCCCTGAGAAGCTAGCTTTAATATATTTAAAGTGACACTAGAAAGCCACTAATTTGAGTTTGTGGCGCTTCCGTGGTCACAAAAGGTTATTCCCGTGTTTTCTAAAAGCAAATAGTTGCCGGCGTGCGAAGGCTTTGTTTGATTAATAGCCCGTGGGGCAATATTTGTATACACACATGGGCAGCAACGCCTCCGAGCAATTCTTTGGGGGCAAATGCAAATTGTTAGGGAAAGTGGAGAAAGTAGATAGTGAAGGGTGGAGAGTGGAGTGTGCGGATGCCACCTTCTGTGTGGACACACCCACTCAATTGTTGTCGCCCCAAGGCGGATAACATTGTTTCAGAATCCGTGGAGTGGGTGGAGATGCTGCTCCCCTGTAGGAACTACTTGCAATAAGTGCGCAGAACATTTAAAAACTTTGACTGTAATTGTTCCGAACAAGTTGGCAAAGTGCGGGCGAATGTGCCCCTATCTGCTGGGCCGTTGATGCCGGAAGTTTTCGGATAATGAAATGCGCGAATGGTTCTTGCTCTGCCGGAGGTTCCTCCTCCACTTCCTCCAGTTCCTACAGTTCCACCAGCTCCAACGAGTCTAACAAAAGAAACAAGATAAAGCGAGGCGCAGTAGGCCGACAATTGTCGGAAGCGTCGTAAATTCCCCACGCAATCTGGAGCAAGTGTCGCAGTGTGGAAAAACACGCTCGCAGACAACGCACACACATTCCGCGCTTCAGTCACCCACACACACACACCCACACACACACACCCTCACCCACTCCTCCAATGTCCCACAAACAAAAACAATGGAATAGTTCCACTTTGCCCCGTAGGAGTACACTGGGAGAAAAAAAACTTTCGATAGTGTTTAATTTGGAATTATTTTATAACGAAGGATCTCCTATTTTAGGCATTAAAATTGTAACCTATAACAATGATAATTAAAATATAAAATTATTGTAAATTATTAACTAAACTTTAACTAAAATTTTTCAATATATTAGAAAAACTAATAAATTATAAGCAACAAAAAAAAAAAGGAACAGATCATTTATGCCATGTATTGGTATTAATTTTAATAATATTTCACAATCTCAAAATAATACCTATCTATTTTTTGTTTATATAAATTTTTTTTTAATGTATTTTGTTATTTTAGTTTCTCAGTGTAAGAAAGTCGTGTGAAATGTGAACACTAAACTGAAAAGCAATCTCTGGGGTAACAAAGTCGCCGGAGTCTTGTGAAGTTCGCCCGTCTTCAGTTGAATACGCATAGTAGTTCCGCACTTATTGAAATCGACTTGATGCTTCCGCTTAGATGTGCCGGAGTATTAATCATTTCGCAGGGCACTCAATCAAACTTTGACTATTAACGTTGTCAAATCGCTTGGCAGGTGGCAGAGGTCGCCCAGAGGTTAATCTACCGAGTTATTTGCCGGGTTAAACAGGGGTAATCAGGGGTTACATACCTCACAGAACTTGGCGCCATATCGCGGGGGTGGTGAATCGCAGAATCGGTAGCGATTGCGGGTTCCTCCCAGACAATTCGTAGAACACGGCGTCCATTCGCTCCAAGGTCCCCAGCCTCCGGTATCCGAATCTGTGGACGAGGAGGAGCTGTCATAAGCTAATCCATTCATAATTAATAAATGAAGTTTAAACTATGGATGAACATGTACTGTTAATTGAAGGAAGTGTTCATTTACAAGCTCTTGTAATTCCTTTCAGTTTATTATTGAAAATTATTAAGAGCTTTAAGTGCACAGTAAAACATTAACATATTAAACTGGTTTGAGAAGATTTCTCAGAATTTTGTATTTAAAAACGCGGGTAAAATAAAATGGTATAAACTAATGGTAGCTCTACAAATTATGTCCTCTGAATACAAATAAAATATATTATTTATTTGAGCTTCAAAAAATATATAAAGTATTATCTTTTATTTAAAGAATTCTTTGTCTGTGCAGTTTAGTTCCAACAAGAAATTAATATAAAAGAAATATTTCCTGTTATATTGATACTATAACACCAGAAAAATGTATAAAAGTAATCAATGCCAATTACTTTTATTTGTTATACTACTTTACACGATTGCTTTATTTAAGTGTATCTCTTCCGGCGGGACAATAAGCTTTTAAGAATTAAATAAATGGCATTTAATTGGGATTTCCTCTTAAACGAAGTTAAGTGCGTTCTTAATGCATCATCCATCCCATCCCATTCCATGTCATCCCATCGAATCCCATTGAGAACTCACCGCTGACGGGCAACGTGGGCACACAGTCCATCCGGACATCGGCGACGGCCCCGGAAATTGCCTGGCTGACGTACACGAAGCAGTATTCGACGTACTTCTCGTAGAAGAGGTCGCAGGCGAAGTACAGTGAGTGCTGGCTCTTCACGACCCGCTGCTCGGCGACGTAGTGCAGCGAAGTCGGTGGCTTCAGCGAGGCGACATCGGCGCGCAGCTTGGCATACAGACGCACCCGGTCGCCCTGCTCCAGGATGCAGCCAGGATACTCGTACAGGACACCGATGCCCGTGTGCGGATCGCAGGGGAAAATGCTGCGGGCGTACACATTGAACACGAACTCATCGCTCCAGTCCACGCTGAGCAGCCGCCGGGTGGTCGGGACATTCTGGGCGGGAATCATCGGTCGCAACTGCACGGCATAGTTGCCCGCCAGTCCGAATAGTTCGCAGCCCAGGCGAAGCGTTTTGTTCTTCGGGAATCCCCTTATTTGCTCCGCAAAAAGGACACTCGAACGGGTTATGTTCCGGCTGCAACTGCGCTCCTTGCCGCAGTAAATCAGTTCCAGCCAGAATTCCGGCAGTGGCAGGCTTCCCGTCTGATTGCAGTTCACTTCGGGAAATCGCAGCGTTACCTCCACGGGATTCTTGGGATAGGTTCTCAGTCGCACTGGACTCACGATCATCTCGGCACTGGGCCACCGGACATCGAGGGTCTGGAGCAATCGCTCATCCTGTGCCGGCACCAAAGTGGTGGTCACCTCGCTCTTGTTCACCGATTTCAGATTGCTAACCACCTGCATCTCGTAGCGACCGCCGATGAGGAAAGTCTGGCAGGGAACCGTCACCTGGGTGACATTGAATCGGGGATCCGGGAAGAGGGGAATGTTCTGGACGACCTCCTTGCGACGACGTTGCAGCAACACCTGACCGGTTGCATTCGTTTCCTGGGTGGTTATGAGGGATAAATCCTTTTCCTGCGGCGCTTCGAGCTCATCAATGATTTTGCTAATGACTAAAGTGCTCATTATGGTGTTGTTCCTGCAACTCAAGTTGTGGCAGTCAGTGCTCAAGTGCTCGCTGCTGGGTGGTTCCTTCTTCTCCAGCTTCTCCTGCCGATTCTGCTGCTCCTGGGAGGACATCTCGTTGCCATTGAACTGGATCTGCACATGCAGGTCCCCGCTGAGGGCGGTGAATGTGCTGGGGGACATCAGGCGACCCTTTCGCACCGCCAGCACGTGACCTTTTGTCGAATTCGAACCGCAGAAGGGAGCGCACAATGCCGCCAATTTCCAAGGAGCCACCACATGAAACGAGTGGAAAAGAGGGGAGGGAAAAGGGGAAGAAAAGGGGAGGGAAAGGGGAGGGAAAAAGGGGAGGAAAAGAGGGAAATGGGAAGGGAAAGGGAGAAAAGAGGGGAGATAAGAATTATAAATCCTTGTAATTTATTTCGCGTCGCTGCCTTCTGTTGGCCCCATTCAAGAGGCTCCGCCATTGTTTACTCCGCCCGGTCGTGTAAATTGAGTCGCATCCAAACAGCCCCCTCGGGTACAAATTATGCAAGCAAAACAAAAACAAAGGACAAGTCTTCGAATCCAAACACCAAAGATCAACTACTCTTTTCATTAAAAGCATCTGAATTAAAATTTTCTGTTTAAAAAGTTACTCAACTATCCAAAAATCTATCTAATAAAAAATTATATATTAGATCTCTTAAACCAAATGGATTGAGTTTTTTATATACAACATAAATTTAAAATAATTTTTATTAAGATCTGTATCTTATGATAGTAATGAAACTAAATGAATAGTATTTTCTAAGCAGTTATACGTTAAAATGTTGAAAGTTATTATTGTAAAATTGATTATATTGGGTAATTTCAATAAGAATTTTCTGTCTAAAATCCTTTTAATAAAATAAAACTCAGAGTATTTCAAGCAGTCTCCTTTTCTTTGTTAATTGCAACCAGAACCGTAAAACACTTGAGCCCACCATGCGTATACTCAATGCAGTGCTAAAGTTCAAAATTCCAGAGACTGACAAAATTAGCAAACTCTAAGTAAATTGTGCAGTTGCATTTGAACAATGAAATAACATTCCCAGCTGACCTTCTCAAAATGTTTACTCTTGTAACCACTCTCCATGCTCAAATATTGCGTATACGCATAGTGGGCCCACATATGTATTTATTTATTCAGTCCAAAGCAGTCAGAAGCAGTCAGAAGTGAGATGTTCTGCCGCAAATGAGTTTCACTCACTTGTCCCACTTAATAAGAGCAACATTATAGATGATATAATAATTTTCCACTTGACTACTGATTTTAGTCCCGATGTCAGTATGCCGATTGTCTTCTTTCGCCTCCGATTCGCCGCCATTTCCTTTGAGTTTTTCCGCATTTCCTTCGCTTTTCTTTTCGTTTTCGTCGCCACTGTCACCATTCTCGATTCAATCAGAGGTGACTGTCTAAGGAATCTCCTTCTGCCACTCAGTGGAAGGAAGCCAAAGGTTCCACGTCGCTGGCACACATTCTGCTCTTGCGATTGCGATTGCTGATGGAAGATGGAAGATGATGTCTCCGATCCCTATCCCTCAAAAAAGGAGTGTCATTTGTTTAGCTCTCATCGCCAGAAGGAAAATTCGCTGTGACGTTCGGTCCTTCGGCAAAGGAAAATGTAGAAGAAGTCTACCTGCCAGGCATTTTCTGAAAAAAAAACAGAAATAAAGTTGACGTTACAGAGAGAAAGATACACAAATCAAATTCGAGACAAATTGAGGTTGCCGTCTATAGATTGACTAACGAAATTATTATGACGGCAGCATTTTTCATTCCGTAATTTTAATTTGCTGGAGTGTGCTTGAATTTATTTGATGGACGACATTATGATGAATAACATTATTAAATAAAGTTTAAAGCAGTTTCCATCCGCTGTTTAAATAAAATAATTTCACGGTTCTTGTTAAACAAAATTTACCAAATGAAATATCAGATTTTATTTAGCTCATCATTTTAAGCTGATAAAATATTCAACTGGTATTTATTTTTCCTCACGGAAATGCATACTTAAACGTTAAGCCAAATGCAATAAAAACAGTTTAAATAAAAAAAAAGTTAGATATTCTACCTCAACAGGGATTTATTGCATTAACATATTAGCATTTAAAATTTAGAAACATGAAATAAAGTTAATAAAATTATCTTGTCTTATTCACATTTCGCTCAGATATTTTATATAAAGTATAAAAAGGTTTTTATCCAGAAAGACAATGGATCAGTATATGAATCAGCATTGGTAGTATTGACCTTTATTTTGACCTGACCGCACTGAAAAGGATTTGAAAAGGCATCAAGTCGTTCTCCACACAATTCAAATGTCATTCCGACAAAAAGCTTAAAAATGAAGACCAAACAACAAAGGGTGTCAATGGCCCCTATCGGAGCATAAAACATCCCCATCCCCCGACTAAAAATCCCCATATATATGACCTGTTCTATGCCTTTATGTATTTCGAAGGGGAAAGAAAGAAAAAGAAAAAAAAAAAGAAAACACAATCAACCCTCATAAATTCTTAAACCAATTACAAGTCGTGCACGAAACATTTTATGGCGATTATTTCCACAATTCAATGCAATTCCATCGAAAGTTATGGTCCAGCACAAAAGAATAAAACAAACATAAAAGAGGAAAATTCAAGTCTGGAAGTGACTAGACAATACCTACGGAAATTGTGAGTCGACTAGATTTTTTTGAACAATAAAATAATTCCTTTAATGTGAGAGTAATAACACAAATTAGAGAATTTTATTTATTTGTAATTTATTCTGTTTGACTCTATAATAAATTACTACCCGCAAACTATAATTCTTTCTTGTAAAGCCATAAAATTTACATAAATACAAACGATTTAAACGAGTAATGAGTTCACAAGTAATAAAATGTTCATAAGAATAAGTTCCAGTCAAAACAACTTTACGTTATTTAAACTTCAAATGTAAGCTGAAATTTATTCAAACCATTCTCTCTAAATGACGGCATAAAATCCACTTTTAAAACCGAAATTTGAAATGCCTTCTTTATGATTCGAGTGTGTGGCTTATGGCCGCCCACCGTAATTAAATAATCAACCACAAATAAAATATTAACAACTTTCGTGAACCCAACCGCAGGGGCTGCCATACATCACCAGCTGGCTGGCGAAAGGGGGTTAGTTTAGTAATAAGTTATAATTTGCCGACTGACAGGCGCATCTAATTCCTGTAGTTTTTCGATTCATCAACACAAAAGTTCCGAAGGTGATTCAGGTTGGGATAGAACCGGATATTTGCTGCACAGGAAGGCAATCCATCGGTTGCCCAACCCCCGCAGTCATTAGCGAAATCTGTCGCGTCACTGGGATATATATACTCCTATATATATGCGGACTAGGGTCGGAACACACCCCCTCTCCCCTCGTTACCCTTCCAATCCCCCGTCGTCACCTTAATTGCGGACACGCACGGATCGGGCCGATGGCCAGATGCTATATGTGTGCCATATACACGGCACATTGTACGCCCTTTGCGCTAATGAGTCCTGCGTCCTGCGTCCTGCCAATTGCCACATCCACTTCCATATCCACATTCACATCTACACACACGTGCCTCCTCTCGCATTTGGCCAAATTCGCTTTCGAATTGGAACGACAACAGTTGGTTGTTGCAAACGAACGCCTTTTACAGCCAGAATCATCGCTCCAAATGGACGATTTCCTGTGGATGTTTTGTGCCCTCCTTTAAAGCGATTCGAAAGAGCTGAGTGTAAATGGAGAATCAATGTCGTTTTTGCCCTGTTAGATGAGTTTAAGGTATTTTGAGGGAGATATAATATTCTCCATTCGTTTTTAGTTTTAAAATCCTTTAATCTGAAAAAACAACAGATGATTTGATACTATCCATATTTTGTGTTAAAGAACAGCTTCGTTTTTAAAAGCATAAAAACATTGTTCCTTCACTTTATTTTCAATATTTCATTATCCTTTTTTTGAATCACAAACAATGAACAAACTAAATAAAAACAATTCAATTATTATTTTGGTATTTTTAAACTTTTCTCTAAAATAAAGATATTTGTTTTTATACATTTTAAATATTTTGCAATGGGTTTTTATTATTACCATTATAAAAACATTAAAAAGCAATTGTTTATCAATTTTTTTCCCCCAAAAGTTACCCTGAATTGAAAAAATAAAATTTCGCTCATGAATTTCGAAAATAATCCCGGCACATCAGTTTCCCTCCACCAGAATGTGCAAATAGCCCGACTTACAGACAAATCCCATGGTCATCCGGCGAGCTGGGAATGTGTGGGAAATGTAGTGGAAACACAGCAGAGGGCCAAAAGCAAAAACAGGCATTTTCACCAAATTGAAAGCGGAGAGCCCACAGAGTTGTTTTCCACTTTTTTTCCCCCCTTATTTTCGGATCAGAAAAGCTGGAAACATTTTCGGTTGGGGTGTTCAATAGTGCAGCAGGCCCATCGGCATGATTATCGGTGTCGCCGTGGGCGATCCGAGGTCAGAGGTCAGGGGGCAATGCGTGTGTGCCGTGGGGGCATTGGAAAACTATTAACTGCACTGTGCGGTCCTTTGAAGCGGCAGTTATCCTCTAAACCAGCGACCACCCGAAGTAGAATGCTAATTCGCTATAGAGACACTGGAACAAATTGGGGGAAACTATGCAAGAAAGCCGTAATAAATTGATTATGAATTTAAAAAATATAAAAACATAACATTAAACTATGAGAGAGATATAAAACTATAAAATATCGTAGAAGAGAAGTCAGTTGTAGCTTCACATAATTTTTCTAATATATAACTTTTTTTAAGCTTACTAAGCCAGTAAATTTTTTTTAAATAATTCGGACCACATTAAATTATGTTGTCGGTAAGATTAAATTTTTGAGACATTTATAAACTTTCTGTATTATTACCAGATTAAATAAATAAAACTTTTTAATAGTTTTCATTATTAAATTTTCTCCTTTTAATAGTACCTCAGATATTTTCACGTATTTTAATATTTCAAAATTAAATATTTATTTAATTTCTTTTGGTGCATTACTGACCAGCCTAGTATTGCGAAATTGTCGCAGCGCGGAAAATCAAAGCGCTGGCTGCCCGAGAATTATGGTGGATGTCTGCTCGGGAAAACCCCGCAGTGGGAGGGAAAATCGAAATAGCAACGGGAACGGGAGCGCGAACTGGATCGGGAAAGCGCCGTGCTTAGCGCTCTATCCTCCAGTTAGACAAAATGTCAATGCCCCTGCATTGCGGGGTGGCATGTGGGCAGCGTTTTCACCACCCTGGACAGAACTCCTTTATCGCTCCCCGGGAGTGCTGTTATTCATTATACTTTGTGGGCGAGGAAAATTCCGCTTTGACTGGCTCAACATTTCGGGGTGACTCCGCCGGCATATTCACACAGAAAAAAAAACAGCACAGGATTTGAAAACTGGAGCGGGGCGAACTTTAAACTGCGCAAAAATTCAGCCACAAAGGAAAAATGCACAGTTTGAATATCCAAACATTTACATGCTCTGTTTACTCTTAATCAATGGCCAAGGATGGAAACGAGCTGAGTCTGCACTTAAAAGTCCATTTCGCCACCCGCATGCGGACCTCATTTCCCGACCACCTGGTGGAAAACCACCACCCCCCACTCACCCACCCACTTTGTCCCTCCTGTTTCCCCACAAATGCGGTGTGCAATTGGGTTAAAAACTAAAAATAAAACCCAACGGGGGGCAGCTGGGGAAAAAAACAAACAGGTATGTATGTAATTACCTGGAACGGACCTCATTCGCATTCAAAGAGCTGGGCAACCATTTGCTCATTTGGCCAAATAATAAAGATAAGTAAATAAGGAAATTGCGGAAGTCAACTGAACAATGCCAAAGTGAAGAGGTGGTAAGCCCCATGTCCGACGGTGGGAAAACAAAGGCCCGGAAAATCTGATTTCGCATCTCCTTTCTTGTGGGGAAAGCAACGGAAAAACCAGCAGCCCTTTGTGAAAGCCCAGCAAAAAGTGAGTTAGTTAATGAATAAGAAAATTATCTCAGCTAAATCTGACTCTTCATCAGCTTCCTGTTAAATAAAGAATGAAAGTTGGAAAAAGCGTGTACATTTTTGTAGAGTTTGCTAAGCAGCTTTGCTAAGATAATAGTTTAATATTGGTTCAAAACGGATTTTAATTGTTTGCTATCCCTAATTAAGTTTGTTCTGTTTTTTAACTAAAATAGCTCAGAATAATTCATGTTTGCAAACCATTGTAGAAAGATATATTCATAGGGTAATATATAACAAATGCAATTTTTTGTTAAAAGGAAAATAACTATGCAAAGTACCTTAATATATTTTAAAAGCTTAGTAAAAGTATTATAAAATCATGCACAAGCGGATTTCAGTTGTGGATTTCCCCAACTTGTTTTGCTTTGTAGACCAAAAAACTACTTGAAAGCTCGACACCCAAAACTATGGTGACTAAAATAAATGCGCTATAGCTGCGGGGTCTTCAGCGGACTAAAAACACAACAATTTAAAGAGGGGCGTGGCAGTCGTTGTGCTTGACACCAAAGCCGCAAAAAGACTTTAATGACTGCGACATCAGCCACAGAATCATTCAAGAGAGTCCAGCAGCTGGTAGACCGCCCTTTTGCCACCGCGAAA